GTCCCATGCACTGTAAGCAGGGCTGGCTGCGGAACTGATGCGTGATTTTTGAAGTTGCCAGTCGCTGTTTGGGAGACCATAAGCCTCCTAAACCATGGTTGAGCTAGTGGGACGCAGAGTCCCACCCCCTCGCTCCAGGGCTGTCAGCTGGGATCCACCTTCAGATAAGAGGCTGGACTTCCCAGGGCAGAGAAGTTGGCACATCACAGCCCGCTATGCAGCTCCTTAGGTTCTTGGTGTTAAGAAAAATTTTTAAAAAGACAAAGCTGAGTTCAGGTGGAACCCTTATCCTCCTAATGAGAGGAAAGGAACTGCTCAACCCCTGTAGCACCTTTAGTTATACACAGGGAAAGATGATGTCAATTTCAGCCCCTCTGCCCAGCAACCCACTGCTTGGCAGGCCTGGGCCCTTGACTTCTTGATTCAGGAACAGCCTGTTTATGTAGCTTGTTTTGGTTCCTCTGTTTTTCCTGGGCTGGTCTTATTTTAGCCCCACACATGTGATCAATCTCCAGCTTCAATGGCTCCCTACACTCGCCTGTGATCCCAGAACTTTGGGAGGCTGAGGCAGGAGAATCACTGCTTTTTTTTTTTGGTGCTAGGAATGAAACTCAAACCTCACACTTAACCAGGCAGACACTGTGCCACTGAGTTATATTATATCCCTGACCTTGCATGCTGGTCTTAAGCTCTCTATGTAGCCCAGGCTAGCTTGAACACACAGCCATCCTCCTGCCTCAGCCTCCTAAGTACTGGGGTTACAGGTGTGCATCACCATATCTGGCTTATATTTTTTATTTTAAATTGAGGTTTTGTTTTTGTACCTGGGATGGAACTCATGACCTCTGGCGTACCAGGCAAGCACTTGAGCCACTGAGCTAAATCCCTGGCCCCATGCTGAGAATTTTTTAAAGTGATGTTAAAGGGTTTAGTGGGAAATCTGAAAAAACCTGCTGTTTTGTTAATTATTAGAAATGGAATTTCAAATCCTTAGTTTCTTTAAATAAATTGGTCTCTAAATTGTCAACCATAGCCAATAAAAAGTGAAGTATAAGACAGTTTGTCACTAACACAGAAGTAAAATCCACTATGGATGTAGAGATTCTTCAATTATTTTTCCCTAGAAATAAAATCCCTTTCAGATTTGACCAAAGAGTTGCAAATTTCAGGAGTACACTGCCAAATTGTGAGTCAGGGTCTCTGGTGTCCCAGCAGGAGTTTGTCCTGGCCTTTGCTAAGCCATCACAGAGAAAGGGGGAAAGGCAGAGTGGCCACCAAGGACCACAGGATCGGAAAGGACAACCAAGGGCAGGCCAAGGCTCGAGAAGGATGGTAAAGGCAGAGCCACAGAATGACAGTACACTGCCACTGGTTTTGCCCCAAGGCTGTGACAGGCCAGTGCTCCACTACCTATGGTTGTTTGGGAGGTGGGACTATTTCGAGGGAAGGGAAGGGAGCAGTTCATTTCAGGCCTGACTCATGCAGTGACACCAAACCAGCCAGTTTCCCTGCACCCACATCCATCCTTCCCTCCTTTCCAGCTCCATTTCCCCTACTCCCAAACTCTCTCTCCCTGCTATATTCACAAGGGTCTCCCTGAGCAGACTGTGGTGTTATATATTGCTGTGCCTTTCAGCATTCTATTAGCTAGACTCCAGGTGAAGCTGAAGTAATCAGTGGACAGTGAGAACAGAGTGACTTGGGCCACAGTTTACATTTCCTCCCTGTAGCAGTCAAGAGGTTAGTGGTCCAGAACTGGCAGAGCGGCACGGCTCCACGGGATCATTTGGGAACCTAGTGCTCAAAATCCAGTTCCTATACCATCTCCTAGGGAGAATTGAAGTGTGCTCATCTTCCTGTCCAGCAAAGAGACAGCCCAGGGTCGGTGTGTTGGCTCTGTGTCTAAGGACAGGGCTCAGGAATCACACAGTGGGCCACTGCTCAGGCTGTAAGCTGCACTGTCACATGTCTGTGCCTCATGGCAAGGAGGCTGCAAAGTGTGGACCTTATGTGGTGGCAGTGTGCTCTTCCCCCACACAGCGTCTTCAGGGGAGAGGGGAGCAAGGAGTTTCTGCCACCTGTCAGCTGTTTTCTCAGCCTGGGATGAACTCTGCTGACCTTGAGGGTCACTCATCTTCCCTTTGCCTTTTTCATCTTAGTAAAAATAAACCTCTGCCCCTCAAAAAAAAAAAAAAAAAAAAAAAACCAAAAAAAACCCAAGCAAAACAAAACTGTGCTGTCTTTTGAAGTTCTGTAAAAGGATAATTTTTTTTTAAGAGACAGGGTTTCACTATGCATTCAAGCTGACCTTAGGCTCACTTTGTAGCCCACGCTGGTCTTGAACTTGAAACAATCCTCCTGCCTCAACCTCCTGAGTGCTGGGATGACAGGTGTGTGCCACCACACCTGGCAGAAGAATAATTTCTAACAAAATGATCAGATCCAATGTTGTGAGTGTTGGGCGCAGGCGCTCAACATACCATACCCCACCCGGGACTAAGGACCACGCCAGCTTCCACAATGCGCTATGTCCCTCTTTAAATTAGCCAACCCGTGCGCACTCCGTGCTCACTCCATACTCTGTGGCAACTCCTGATTGGCCACAGCTGGATATGGTAGCCGGAGCCTGCGTCCCATTCCCGCCCTGCTTCCTTGTGGCAGCCTGTGATTGGTCACGGCCAAATATATAAACCAGAGCCCGCGTAAATAAACTAGCAGTTAACTGTCGTCCACAAGACCGTCTCCTGTCTCCTGTTTCATTGGAGCTGCGCCGGTCAGTGAGATGTTGGCCATCACCTAAGAGAACAGATGAGATTGGACTTGGCAGTGATGCCAGGTAAACAGCCCAGAGCTGCCCCTTTGTCATCCTCTTGTTGCTCAGATGTGGCTAAGAGGGGTGGACGCTGACTGAGTTGCTAGTCTCTTCCCTTCAACTGTGAGGCCAGATAAGACCAGCAACCAGAGCTGAGGGTGCAAGTTTATTATCCCAGCACTCGAGGAGGCTGAGTCAGGAGGACTGCAAGTTGGAGTTCAGTCTAGGCAAGTTAGAGAGACCTTGTCTCAACATTTAAAAAAAGCAGTTGAGGATGGAGCTCAGAGTGAAGGCCTTGGGTTTGAAGAGACCAAGAAAGCTCGTTCTATCTGCTGCTCCCCCTCCCCTTCTCCCTTCAAATCCAACTAGGTTAAGTTTTAACTTCCTAAAGGCCATGTACAAGAAGAAGGGGGGGATGAAAGGGTTAACTCCCTAACTCCCCAGAGCTATCAGAGCAGAGCAGAAAGGAATGCCTAACTCCCCAGAGCTATCAAAACAGAGCAAAAAAGAATGCACCTGCAAGGTTGTTCTGTCTCAACGAGATAAGTAAGACAAGTAACTGTTCTGTTCTGGGCACATAGTGACTGGGCTAGGACCCCCAGTCTCCATGGTTACTCAACCCCAAACTCCTCCAATCAACTTCTGCCAAGTCCTATGCTGCTCAAAATTAACCAATGCAATCTGCTTCTGTAAACTTGCTTGCCTCCCGTTTGCGCCCTTAAAAACCCTGCACAATTCCCCCTCGGGGCCCTCCGCACTTGTTTGCCTGGGGGACCCCATGCGCATGGAAATAAACTTTTTACTCCTCACTACAAGCTGAGTCCTTGGGGTCTTCTTCCCTGCGACGCCGGTTCTTACAGGTTCTGTTCCAAGTACCAGAAAATAAAAACAAACCAGCAACCGGAGCGCATTCCAGCAATGAGAAGCCAAACCCAGAGCAAAAGGAAATACTGGCATTGCTGATTGTGTGAGAACTGTACAACCAAGATGGAGTCACTTGTGCCAACCCTGCCAAAAAGCTGGGGGAACCAGGGAGTGTGTAGGAAGATCCCGAGAAGCAGTGCTGAAAATGATCCAAGCCAGCAGCCAGCTGTGTCCCCGATGCCCTGGTGTGGTTGGCAGAGGCTGGCTCCTGGGGATCCGTGACTTTCAGGAGTCCCTATGGCAGGAGGGGCTGCTGGGTTTTGTCAGTGGAAATCCTAGAGCTGGGGCAGGGTGCTCCCGAGGAGCATACGGGCTGTTGCTGCAGCCCAGCTGCACGGAGTCGCTGTGGCTGGGGACGCCCTGCTGGGGCTGCAGAACCTGGGGATCAGAGCAAGGCGCGGTGGGACGCTGCCGCCTCCTGGCCGATGAGGGCAGTGCGAGGGACGCCGTGCATGCCTGGGGAGAAGACCTGGTCACTCACGGCCACCTCGGCTGAGGACCCTGCTGTCACATCGGTAGCAAGCCTGTGGCCTTCTGGGCGCCACCAAGGACCTTCGAGTTGGACAGGGTGCAGCCCCTGACCCGCCCTGCCTGCTGACTAAATGCTGTAAGCGGTCGCTGCAGAGCTGGGACAGGGTGATTGTGCTCTCACCCCTGCCTGCCCTCTCTGTGCGGCACTGAGCATGGTTAGAAACACCTTTGCTCTCTGCCACTACAATCCTCACAAGCTTTTCTTCTGAGCACTTTTTTTAGGACAGCTCAATGTGTGTTTCTTGGTGGTCACTGATAGCTGGCTCAAGCGACTTCTTACAGTCACCATCGTAGGCGGCCACATCTTGCAAACTTACTGCGTTTGTGAACAAGTCTTAAGATTATGCCCAAGGGTGCATGGCTCATGATGGCCCACATTTTTCACCATTTAAGCTACAGCTGCAAAGGTTATGATCATTTCCTTTAGGGTGACTCCCTACGACTAAAGTTGAGTTTTTCATATGCTTCAGTTTTCCAGGGCTCGCGCCGCAAGATGCTCTGGGGGTGCAGCTCTGGTACAGGGAGGTTGAGTTCCTTATTGTCCGGCTGTAATTTTCCGGCGGAAGTTACTGGGGCGCGAGAAAACTTTTAGAGACCTTTTCCGCAAACGTCGCTCACCGGCGCACCAAGACGACGCAGGGGCGGGGCTTCACACTTCCATACAATTGGTCAGCAACTCACAGGGCATGCGCACATGCTGCTTTCCGCGCCCCGCCCCCGCAGGGGCTTCTGGGAGTTGTAGTCAGAGACCTGCCAGACTCGGCTCCGGGAAGCTCTGGAGGTCCGAGGCTGGTCGCCGTCCTTCACGCTTGGCCAGCGGGAAGCATGCAGCCCGCGCCCGGACCCGACGCAGCGCCGCTGGCCAGCCTGGCTTGGTCGTCGGCCTCGGCGCCGCCGCCGCGGGGATTCAGTGCGGTGAGCCGGCGGGTCGCGGGGCGGGCGGGCCGGTGCGGGCGGGAGGGGCTGACCGCGTTCCCCTGCAGATCTCCTGCACCGTGGAGGGCGCGCCCGCCAGCTTCGGCAAGAGCTTCGCGCAGAAGTCGGGCTACTTCCTGTGCCTGAGCGCCCTGGGCAGCCTGGAGGTGGGAGCCCGCCCCACGCCCCGTACCCCAGCCTCGCGCCCCGCGCCCTGTATCCCAGCCCCGCGCCGCTGACCCCCGCCCTCCGCAGAACCCACAAGACAACGTGGTGGCGGACGTCGCGATCGTAGCTGACAAGAACGCCCTGCCGCCCGGCTTCTCCGCGGTCTGCGACCCCTTAGACGCCAGTACGCCTGCGCAGGCGGTGGGGCGGGTGGGTTCAGGAGGGGGTACCACCGCGGCGCGGGGCCGGCTGGGTTCCCCGGGGCTCGCCTTTGCAGACCCCTTAGCTCCTGCGGCTTCCCCGTCCTGGCCGAGGCTCCCCTCCTACCGCTTCTTGTCACTCGTGTTTGGTTCTCGGGGTTTTGTCACTGATGTTGGAGTTGGCTGACTTTACATAAACCGTGCTTTAGATTTCGCATGGCAGGTGGTATTGGTAGCATAGTATCGTGGGGTTTGTTTGTTGGTTTGTTTTTGAGACAGGATCTCACCATGGAGCTCAGGCTGGCCCTCTGCCTTAGCCTCCTGCGTGCTGGAATGACAAGTGTGCGCCACCACGCCTGGCCAGCACAGTACTGTCCTTGCTTATATTGTTTGCGGTACTGGGAATGGAAGCCAGGGTCTTCACACTGAACTGTACCGCCCGCCCTTTTTAGTGTTTTTGGTTTCAAGTCTCCTTAAGTTGGGCTCCAACTTTCGATCCTCCTGCCTCAGCCTCCCAGCCTGCTGGGGTTACAGGTGTGCACTTCAGTGTCAGTTTTTAAAGCTCTGTAAAAATGCTGCAAGCCACTGTTCTCTCCTGAGCTGTATAAAAACAGGCTGGATGTGTCTCAGGAGCAGTGGCATGCTGTCCCTGGGTTAGAGAATAGAGAAAGGGGTGTGAGGGGCCAGACTGGCTGTCCACAGCTGCCCCGAACGCTGGGTTCCTTCACGTTTCCAAGATGGCCTACCCCGGTGCAGACCTCCTAGGCATGACGTCTGTGCTGGGCCCGCCTCCCTGGGCTGTCTGCAGCTGCTGCCCACCGCTGGCCTGGGTCCATCATCGGGCTCCACTGCCTGTCTCACTCCCTGCTCCTTCCAGAGGCCTCCGTGTCCAAGAAAAAGCGCATGTGTGTGAAGCTGGTGCCCCTGGGTGCTGCAGACATGGTCGTGTTTGACATCCGGCTCAGTGGGAAGACCAAGACGGTACCCGGGTACCTACGCATAGGGTAAGGACACATGGCCTCCATCTCTTCTCTTGGCCTCTGGCTCCTCCCCTCCCCTCTGGGCCTCCTGTTCCTGCTGCAGACAGTAGAGGTCCCTAGTTCCTTAGCACAAGGCCTAGGGTCCCCTCCCTTCCTACCCAGGGACATGGGCGGCTTCGCCATCTGGTGCAAGAAGGCCAAAGCCCCAAGGCCGGTGCCCAAGCCCCGCAGCCTGAGCAAGGAAGTACGTGGCCTCTCCCTGGATGCCACCAGCCAGCCCAGGTGAGCTGGGATCTGGTGGGATGAGGCTGGCTTGTGGTCACTGGGAGGTCACTGACCCTGTCTACCAGCAAGAGCAGTGGCCTGGAGCGGACCCTGTCACGCCTGGGCTCCAGGGCATCCACCCTGCGGCGGAGTGACTCCATCTATGAGGCCTCCAGTCTCTACGGCATCTCTGGTGAGTATGGGGGAAACTGAGGCATGGCATTCAACCAGGGCTGCGTCCAGGCCTGTCTCCCGTCTCTCTTTCCCCCAACAAAGATTCTCCTTTCTCATGGTGCTGAGGGTGAAACCTGAGGCCTTATGCACCCCAGCCCAGTACTCACCCTGAGCCAGCCCCTGCCTCCTGCGTCTGGGTGCTGGAAGGAGTAGGGAGCCAGAGGGGCAGGTGGCCTGGACTCAACTCTGCTCCGGCCTGTGTTTGCAGCCATGGATGGGGTTCCCTTCACACTGCACCCACGATTCGAGGGCAAGAGCTGTGGCCCCTTGGTGAGTGGACCTGAGGCACTTTGGGTTGGGGTGATGGGGAGCAGGTGAGGATTGGCCTCACCAACTGGGCAGGGCAGGGGGTACCACACCCTGAGCCCCCTGAGCCACCACCCCTGCCTGCAGGCCTTCTCTGCCTTTGGTGAGCTGACTATCAAGTCACTGGCAGACATCGAGGAGGAGGTGAGTGTAGGCGGGGAGGTGCCACCCCTCATCCTGCTGCCCTGAGTGCCCTGGGTCACTGTGCTGCTCCTCCTCCCCCTTCCACAGTATAGCTATGGCTTCGTGGTGGAGAAGACTGCGGCTGCCCGCCTGCCGCCCAGCGTCTCATAGGCTGGAGCAGAGTACAGCCACCCAGTCGGGCATCAAAGCCTCACAGCCAGGGCGAAGCTGTGTGCTTTGCACATCCCAGGAATAAAGAACTCTGCCATCTGGGCGTGGCGTCCTGGTCCCCATCCTCTAACCCTAACCCGGCACATGGGGGACCCTACAAATGTGGGTGGACTTACCCTCTGCAGAGGTGAAACTGAGGCCCGGGGAGGGAGGGAACTGCAGAAACCTGATGGGGCCCTTGGTCATGGGGCCTAGAAACAGTCACTGAGGCTGAGGGCTGCAGCCCCTGCTATTTGGGAGGCTGAGGTAGGAGGGTCCAGAGCTGAAAACCAGCCCAGGTGACTTAGCTGTCTCATCACATAACATGCAGGCTGCTGAGACAGCAGGATCCAAGGTCAAGGCCAGTGACTCAGAAAACAGCTCCTGGTGGCACTGTGTTGACTGCATGTGTCCCCAAGGTCAGGGCACACTGTCATTTAGTCTTCCCTCAGCCCAATGGGAAATCCATTCAGACAGGGAAACTGAGGCAGGACTAGGGCATGGTGGCAGACTTGTGCTGTCCCTGGGTTAGACAGTGGGGAAAGTGGGTGGGGGGCCAGCACTTGGGAGGCTGAGGCAGGGTTGTGAGTTCAGGCCCAATCTGGGAACCCAGTGATTTATAGTTGCTTTGTCTCCAGATTAAAACACCCAAAAGTGGAGCCCAGTGGCTCACACCTGTAATCCCAGCACTCTGGGAGGCTCAGGTGGGAGGATCGTTGCAAGTTCGAGACCAGCCTGGGCTACAAAGTGAGCTCAAGGCCAGCCTGAACTGCATAGCAAGACCTGTCTCAAAAAAGACAGAAGAATAAAAAAAAGTTTTAAAAAATGAAACATCCAAAAGGCTGGGGTTGTAATTCAGTGCAGGGCCCCTGAGTTCAAGTCCTCACATGGGCTGGGAGAGCAGCAGAGTTGCCACGGAAACTGATTTATAAACCACTGCACGGTACACCTAGTGGCACAAGGGGCTAGTGAGTTCCTCCAACCTCTGCCCACCACACAGTCACCAGCCCACAGACCTGTCCTCCCCACGAGGTTGCCTTAGTAAGGACCTGGACATTGCCTCCTATGTGGGGGACAGAACCAGGGCCTTTGCCCAGAACGGTGCCCTCAGAGCTTTTTATTTTTATTTTCAGGCAGTCGCATTAAGTCCTCAGGCTGGGCTTGAACTTGCAGTCCTCCTGCCTTAGCCTCTTGGGTCCTGGATTGCAGGTGTAGGCCCTCGAGCTGCCTTAGGCAGCTTCTTCCTAAGGCGCCTGGCCAGGTGGTGGCCCAGGGTGGGTCCCATGAGCGCCGCACTGGCACCAGGGCACCGGCTGACCTAGCTGGGCCTGTGTCCTTATCTGCAGTATCTCAGATGGGCTGCGGGCTCTGCTGGCTCCGGCCACACAATTGGACCTGGCTATGAAGCGAAAGGTTTGTTTTCACACATCCTGTCCTGGCCGCCTGAAACCAGTTTGGGATCACTTTTCAGGGCATCTGTGTGGCCAGGGCTGCTGGTCCCCCTCTGATCCAGGTCCCACGGCCCTAGCTATCCCATGGGGCACTCACCCTGCAGCCTGGCTGGACACCTCTGTGCTGGGCAGGTGCCACCCTAAGGGACACTCATGCCTCAGTTTTCCCATTTTTTTGTCGTTTTGAAACAGGGTCATGGCAACCTTCCTGCCTCAGCCTCCCCAGTGCTGGAATGACAGGCGTGCCCAGCAGGCCCCCATCTTCCCTGAGGGGTTCTGCACTACCCCACGCATTGTCTTGGGATCTAACCGAGCCAGCCCCCACCCCTCCCCAGATCCCCAGGCCCCGCATGCATGCAGGGGGAAAACCCTGCATTTCCTGAGCCCGAGGAGTGCTCTCCTCCCCACACCTGCCTGCCTGATCAGGTGTGGCCGCCACCTGAGCACTTGGCACAGCTCTGAGATGCCTGCTGCCCCGGCCTCCGCCCACGCAGGGACCTGCGGTGGCCCGCTCAAGTTCCATCCAGGCCCTCTGGGAGCTGCTCTGGTTCCCTCAGTGTCTCTCTGGAACATTCTGGGGACTGGAGGCCAGGACTCAGCATTTGTCAGTGCCACCCCGAGGTGGTGCAGCCGCCCCCAGTGTGGGGACATCTCCACACCACTACACGGCTGCTGCAGGTCTGAACCCCGACCCTGACTCTGATCCTCCCCAGGCCTGGCCGAGGACCAACCTGCCCCCTCCATAGCTGCGGACTGAACTCCACTACAGGCCCAGCCATTTCAAGGTTTCTGTCCAGATGGCACTTCCCTAAGGCATGGAGTTGCCCGTGCTGGGATGAGTTTGTGGACCCTCCTGCCTCAGCCTCCCGAGTGCCTGCCGGCATCGCAGGCGCAGCTGCCATCTGGCCTCCCTCCTCCTTCTCCGTGTCCCCAGCACCTCTCCGCATATCCTAGCTGCCCACAGCGCGGTGGGGCCCAGGCCCCTGGCCCTGTTCTGGTCCAAGTGGCCTCCGCTTCGCTTCCTTCTCCATGAAGCCAGTTGTTCTGGGAACACCCAAGGCCACCAGGCTCCTTCTGCAGAGGGCTTGTGCCGAGGAGACGCATTATTTGTGGGCCCAGAGCCGGACTGTGTCCCCAAGGGGCCAGCCTTTGCATTTGCTCCTCGGTCGGAGCACCGAGTGCTGTCCACGGCCCTCCTGGACCCGCTCATTGCACCTGCGTGCTGCTCAGTCCGCACCGGCCCCTCTTCAGCCCCCACCCCAGCCTGCACTGCAGAGCAGGCTCCTGTCTGGAACCACGGACACAAGTTGGATGCCCTCCCTCCCCTGGCTGGCACTGAAGCCCCTTGCAGCTGCCCAGCGAGTCTGGAGTCAGAACCGAGCCAGGGTTTATTTGTTGCTTGTGCAGTGGGGGTGGCGGTGGGGGGATCTGAGGTAGCCTCGCACAGCAGCTAGGCTAGGGGGTCCAGGGAAGAGGTACCTCCCCAGGGCCACTTTACAAACAAGGAAACAGGCACAATGACCTCAGCAGGCAGCTTTGAGCCTCAGGTCAGATTCGCACCGGCCATCAGCGTCGTGGGGCTCTCAGGGCCCAGGAATTAGAGCCGAGACCCGTGGGAAGTCACTGCCTCTCTGGGGGCCTCAGCTTCTTCATCTGTAAAATGGATGGAGATACTTAAGAGAGTCACTATCTAGGACCTATGCTCCCCTTGTGCCTACTAACAGAACCTTATTCATTCAGGATGGCCATATTTCCTGGCCTCCATTGCACTGAGGTCTAATGAGGAGGTAAAGGCTGAGCCCTGGCAGCCATTTTGCACCACGAGGCGCCAGGATGCTGTGAGCTATATCAGGTCATATTGCTACTGCAGCAGAGTCAGGACAAGTCTCTATAGCCCTCTGCTCGCTGTGTCCTGGGCTCATACCAGTGTGGAGTCCTTTCCCACACCCCCCAGCCCACGACCCAGCATGGAGCACATCTCATGTGTGACCCCATGCCAGTGCCCCATGTCAGCTGACAGGGTGTGGGGCTCGTGGGGTGCAGGCAAGCTGCTGTCTGGATCGATCTCAGGGGCTGCAGGGGTGGTGGCTCTGTGCCCAGTTGGGTCCCCTGGCACCAGGAAGGATGAGTAACGGACCCCGAGGTGGGTACCCTGTTGGGGTTGTGCACTGGGGCCAGCCTTGGAGATTCCCGCAGGGCAGCCAGGCTCGTCCTCGGAGCTGGGCAGAGGCAGGTTGTGGAGGCCACTGCGGGCAGCCCGGAGCAGGGTGTGGGTCAGTACGGCCACCAGCAGCAGGGCACCGGAGCCCAGGATGGAGGCGGTGGCCGCCCCTGCCTCAATCTCGAAAAGCAGCAGGGTGTAGATAGACAGTGCTGGGGAAGGAAATGGTTCTTGTTTAGTCAGTCAACAAACATTTTCTCCAGGCACTTAGGAAGATCCCCAAATGGATGGGGACAGGAAAGCCTGCACCAGGGACAGGACACAGACAAACTTGTGCCCTCTTGTGCCCCACAAACATATCATCATCACCTCCATCTACAAATAAGGAAAGTACACCCCACAGGGAGCCAGGAAATGACAGAGGAGGGCTTTTTCTGGGCTGAGGACTGCTCAGCAACTGTGTGAGGGCTGGAGGGGAAGCAGTCAGCACCAGGGAGAGTGGAGAAGGGCTACAGCAGACAGGGCAGCAAATGCAAAGGTCCTGGAGCAGCAGTGCCTGAGCGCTAGAGATTCAGAAAACAGCGGGGCTGGGGCGGGGTGGGGGGTGGACAGAGGGCACTGAGGGCCAGGCCACAGGGGAAGCCAGGGGAGTTCAGCTGAGAAAAGCCAACCCGCTCTGTCCTTTTCCTGTTTGTTTGGGGAAGGGTCTTACTATATAGCCTATACTATATTGCAGGACCCTCCTGCGTCACCCTCCTGAGTAGCTGGGGCCACAGCCATGTGCCACAGTGCCTGGCTCAGTCTCCTATGTGTTTTAAGGAGCTCCCTTGTGTGAGGAGAAGCCCCATGCAAGAGCCCTAGCTAGGCTATAGAATGCTCCAGGCCTGAGATCCATCCCCTGTACCACAGATGAACCCAAATCAAAGGAAGCCTTCTCTGATTGAATATCCACACCATGGAATATTACTTGGCCATAAAAAGGAATAAAGCTCTACTAGGCATAAGGGAGCATGCCCACAGTCCCAGAGCTTGCTGTTAGGCTGAGGCAGGAGGATCATAAATTGGAGCCCTGCCCGCACAGCTTAGCAGCTTTGAGAGACACTAAAATAAGTTCACAAAGGGGTTGGGTCCGCAGTTCAACCTGAGAGTCCTGGTCCACTCCCCAGTACTGGGGAACAGGAGCGTGGCTCTGGAATCCCACGGGTGTGCTTCATAGATATTTGTGTTACCATCTCCAGACCCTGGAGTCACCAAGAGCGGGTCCCCATGCACTGTGCTGCCTACTGGTTCAGATTGCATCCCTGTCATCTTGGCAACAGTAATATGATTGGCTAGGCTGTGACAGCAGTGCCTTCCCTGGTCAGTAATTGGAGAGGGATCACATGACCGGTGTCCGGCCTGTCACAGCACCCTCAGAACCTTGCCTAGGTACTTCCTGGGTTGAGTGGACTGGGCCTCTGGGGTGCTGTTCCGCTTTCTGGTTCTGTACTCTTGCTTTGGAGGATGGTGCACTGGGTAGCGTCCAGCACAGTGAGGACAAGATATTTCTACTCTAAACTCTTTTCTTTCCCAAAAATGTTTTGGGATGTTGTTTTTTTTTTTCATATTTTTTTTTGGTTTTGAGACAGGGTCTTACTCTGTGTTGCCTCAGCCTCCCGTGCTGAAATGACAGGTGTGCCCCATCACACTGGCATTTTTTTTAAAATCATTATTCTTTTGGCTCTGACTAGCAATGAAACTACACTTCGTTGAGCAGACACTTGGGAATTCTTGCTAAATGAGGTCAGCAGTCCTCTAAAAGTATTAAATGGTAGGTGAAATTTCTGTGTGTGAAAAGGAAATCTCACTTTCTGGTTACGAATGCTTTTTTTTTTTTTCAGCCTGTGGTAAGGCTCAAGGTTGCAGGTGTTGTGTAGGTAATGCTGTCACATACAGTATCTTCCTCAGAGGTGTCCATTCGGAGGATGGTGGAGGAAAGCTGGACAAAAAGTATTTCAAGCAAGCGCCTGGATCCAGCCCCACCTGAAGCCAGGTACCCCGATAGGTGCTGAGATGCCAGTCAACCCATTGTCTTCCCTTTGAAAACTTCACCTTTTGGAGTTTTTTTGTTTTGTTTTGTTTTGTTTTTGGTACTGGCGATCAAACTCACGACCTCACGCTTACCAGGCAAGTGCTGTAGCCACTGACCTAAATATCCCCAGCCCTTTGGAGCCTTTTATGAACTTAAACAACAAAAGTTACACAGTTTCTGGTGCTTTAAATTATACAGTTGAGCCCTAGCCTAGAATATCATGAAAATAATTTGTAACTATTTCTCTTGTAAAAACAAGAAAACATAGTTACAGCTCCCATAAATTTTCTGTGTGTGTGTGGGGGGGTTGTTTTGGTTTTTGTTTTGTTTTTCCTCGCCTTTATTTGTTTGTTGTGTAGCTCTGGGGATTGAACCCAGGGAGTAGTGAGCCACACCCCAGCTTTTTGTATTTTATTTCAGGACAGGGTTTCTGTCAGTTGCCTGTGCTGGACTCAAACGTGCAATCCTCCTGCCTCAGCCTCCCCAGCTGCAGGGATAGCAGGTGTGTCTCCAGATTTTTGTTTTTAATTGACCTATAAAATATTTACATATTGGGGCTGGAGTGTGGTTCAATGATAAAGCCCTTGCCTAGCGCATAGGAGGCCTTGGATTCCATCCGTAGTGCCACACAAAATAAATGCAAATCAATCAAAAACAGTAATAGCAGATCTGTTTGTTGTTGTTTTTGTGCATGTTTGTTGTGAGACAGGGTCTCACTATTTAGTTCAGACCGGCCTTGGAGTTGTGTGGTCTTCCTGCCTCAGCCTCCTAAGTGCTGGCATCACAGGCATGTGCTACAACACCCTGCCTCCCTTGTCTTTCATTTGCTTTTTTGTTTTTAAAGGTTGCTTACAGGATAAACAGGCACTGGCAACACACTTTTCTCAAGCTTGAAAATAAGGGGCTGGGGATTTAGCTCAGCGGCATAAGCGCCTGCCTTGCAAGCAGGCAGTCGTGAGTTTGATCCCCGGTACGGATAAAAAGGAAAAAGACAATAAATAAATAAATAAATAAATAAATAAATAAATAAATAAATATGTGTTAGTCACAGAAGGGACCTCTCATGATACTTGATGAGGTACGGATAAAAAGGAAAAAGACAATAAATAAATAAATAAATAAATAAATAAATAAATAAATAAATATGTGTTAGTCACAGAAGGGACCTCTCATGATACTTGATGAGTTTGGCCCCTTTACAAACATGGGTAGAAAAATGGTGATCTAAGAAAAAAGATTACAAATCAGGAAGGTCTGTGAGCTGGGGTCTTCTGGCATCTGGGGCATTATTACTACTGTTGTTACTTTGCAGTGCTGAGGACTGTCCAGCGCTCACCACTGAGTTACACCACCAGGCCCTTATTCTAAGCAATGTTAACTGATACCTAATAACTATACATCTTTATGGGAATAGTCAGGTTTTTCTTCTGACTTAAGAGTTCAGTATATAACATTTACACTTCTAGTTCATAAAGCATAGTTTTTAGTCCAACTGAGATGCCATCTTAAACCCATTTCCTTACAGAGCCCTCTGGCAGTGGACACTGGGGTCCAAGCTGCAGCTGAACAAGTAGCCTGGGCCCCTGGCTGGGGCCAGAGGCTGCTGACTGTCACCAGAATCCCTGCTGCCATTCCATGAGGCAGGGACGGTCACCATGCCCTCTGCACTGAGGGGAAACTGAGGCAGGGGCAACGGCCAGGGCCCCAGAGGGAGAAGTGTGAGAACCCAGAGTGGACCCTGGTGCACCTTCTGCCCCAGCTCAGATCCTATGCCCCAGCTGTCCCCCACGCACCTGCTAAGTAGATGGAGACCCCGAAGCAGACCAGCCAGAGGGCTGCTTGCTGGAGGCGGCGGCCCTTGTGGAAAAACCAGTCAGACCTGAAATGGGGGCAAAAGGAGGGAAGAAAAGGGGTTCAGGGGGTAGAGCTTGCTGGGGAAGCAATGAAGGGAGGGAGAGAAAGTCACCCACATGACCTGAGAGCCCAGCTTACAGGGACAGGGAAGAGACATCCACGTCAGCACCCAATCCCTAACCATCTACCCACCTACCAAGTTCATCCATGCATTTATCTGCTGCTTATCCATCCACCCATCCGCCTATCCATCTACCCACCCATCTATCTATCCGTTCATCCATCTATCCACTCACCAATGCATCCACCCACCCATTCGTAAAGCTGCCTGATGCTCACCTGCTATCCACGCTTCATTCTTCCCTGTGCCCACTCCACCATCTGTTCCCACTTATCCCCACCATGCAGCCATCCCTCCTCTCCTGCTCTTTAGGAATCTGCCCCCCATTCATTTCCACTCTGTCCCTCCATCCTTCTGTTCATCAAACCATCTCCACTCATCCTGTAGCCACCCTTCTCTTACCCCTGCCCTGCTCCTCTGAGGAAGGGGGTCCCCAAGCCTTGCCACAGAGCAGGGGCCCGGGGTGCAGTCCCCCTGACCTCTGCCCCTCTCCACGTCGACCCTCCCTTTATCCCCAGGGCTTGCAGGCGTGGTGCCCTCAGCTCAGGTCAACCTTTCCCTCCTTCAGGTCCCAGCTCCGGCCTCCTCGCAACCCCGTTCACCCCAGTCTCCCTTTTTCTCTCCTCCCAGCGTTTACCCCGTCTGTCCGGTCAGACTTCAGGAGCTCATTGCTCGTCTGTTGCCAGGTGGTGCCCCCGTGGGGCTCCCGTGGGTCCCTGTGGTCCCCGCGGTGTCGCTGGTGCTCAGAGAAGCCCAGTGGCCCCCCCAGCACCCCGGAACAGGCTGGCGACTTCTCCCTGTCCAGGCCGGAAGACCCCAAAGGGTCTGGGGGGGGGGTCTGCCCTGCTCAAGACGCCCCGAAGAGGCTCCCTTGGGGCCGCATCCTACGCTCCAGCCCCACCGAAGGCCTTGCCCCAGGCGAGGACACTGCCCAGTTCCCCAGGATCGATTTCCAACTGGCGCCTTCGCGTCCCGGCGGGGGAGCACATAGAAGTAGCCGCCTTGAGAGCAGTAAAAGGGGGTGCCCGCACCCTAGGAGGCCGAGGCAGGAAGGTCGCGAAGTGGAGCCTAGCCGGGCACCTCAGCGGTGGGCTTTGAGAGTGACCTCGGGGGGCGGAGGGTCTCAGGTTACTTCTCTGGAGCACCCACCTGCCGGGGCCGGGCGCGGCCAGCTCGGAGACCATGTGGGCAAGCAGCGCGGCGAGCAGCGCCCCCGCTAGGCCGAGTAGCAGGGCCAGCGCGGCCAGGGCGGCGGCCAGCGGCAGCAGAGCCCCCGCGGCGTCGGCCGGCAGCCCGGGCTCCGCGCCCCGCAGCTCCGCGCGTCCCGCCTGTAGCTGGAACAGCAGCTGCGCGCCCAGCGCCGCCAGCACAGCCGCGGGGACCGCGAGCAGCGCCAGCGCCGCCAGCGCGCGACCGCCGACCGAACGCACCATAGCCGGGCCCCTGTACCTCCGCGGGCCGGGGCGGGGCTCTGGTGGATGGGTCCGAGGAGGGAGGTGGCTACCGTAGGGCGAGGCCTGGGAGGGGCGAGCTGGTGGGCGGGCCTGCAGCGGAGTGTACCTTCCACTGGGCAAGGCTTGGACAGGGCGGGTTATGAATGGCGGGTGGGGCAGGACAGGGGTAAGTACCAAAGCCTGGAGAAGAGGTGCGTGGGCGGAACCTCTAGGCAAATAAATAAATAAATAAATAAATATAAAGGTGGGGGGCTTCGAGCTTTTTTTTTTTTTTTTTTTTTTTTTGAGACAGGGTCTGTCTAATGCACTTCAGGCTGGCCTTGAGCTCACTTTGTAGCCCAGGCTGGTCTCGAACTCGAAAGGATCCTCCTGCCTCAGCCTCCCCACGCTGGGATTACAGGTGTGAACCACCACACCCAGCTCCCTTCCAGCTGTTTTAATCACCGATTTTATTCTTAATAAATATATTTGAAAAAAAGCCATTTGAAGCCAGGCGTGGTAGCTCAGGCCCATCATTTCAGAACTCTGAGAGGTTGAGGCAGGAGGGAGGGCTGCAATTTCCAGTCTAGCCTGCACAGTGTAGCCATTTGAGAGACCCTATCTCAAAAATACAAAACGGCTGGAGACAGAGCTTAAATCCCAGTGTGGGGGTAAAAAAGATATTTGACAAATTTGTAAATACTTTGCTTTTTTATTATTTCAGTCAACCCGTGGACACTGAACTATCAATGTCTCTTCTGTCGGGGCTGGGGATTTAGCTCAGCAGCATAAGTGCCTGCCTTGCAAGTGTGTGGTCGTGAGTTTGATCCCTGGTACCAATAAAAACGAAAACGGAAAAACAAAACAAAACAGAGAATGTCTCCTCTGTCTACCTCTTTCAATGCTTTGAGGAATCGATGCTCCCCTGCACTGCCCCTCTAGGCCCTTCACAAACTATGCACCCTTTCTTCCCACTGAGCTTTACAAAATGTTACTTTTAATCTTAAAAAGTTGAGGTGAAGCTAGGTGTGGGCAATGCCTACAATCCTGCCACTTAGGCGGCTGAGGCAGGAGGATTGCTATGAGTTTGAGGCCAGCCTGGGCTATATATTGAGATCCTGTCTCAAAAAAAAAAATCAACAACATAATTGAGGTGACATTTGCAAAAAATACCGTCGATTCAGTACATGGATAGTGTGACACCAACACTTCTGTGTAGCCCCAGAATATTTTCATCACCCTGAAAGGAGACCTTATCACCTGTAATATTCATCCTTACCCAGCCTGAGCTCCTGCAGCTGCTAACTAAAAACCATATATTTTTAATTGCGCATCAAGTGACAGGCCAGAACAGAGCACAGCCACGCCCTTTTGGCCCATAGATTGGCCTTGTGTCCTGGACATCTCATAGGATTAGGGTCACACACCACTGGCCTTTTGCCTGGCTCTCGACGTTCAGCCTTTTTTCAAAATTCTTCCACGTTGTTGTCTAGGACAATGTTCCACTCCTTTTCACAGGTGAGTAATATCCCACCGTATGTATGATTGTTGACCCCAGCCATCCTAGCAGTTGTGGTGCCTCCTTGCGGTTTTGATTTGTATTTTCCTAGTAACTGATGACATTGTACATCTTTTTCTGTGCTTGTTGGCTGTTTGCATCATCAGAGAAAGGTCCATTCAAGTCCTTGGTCTACCTTAGTAGTGGATTATCTCTTTTGTTATTGAGCTATAGCAAGTAGGTTATTCTTGTCTTATTTTGTTTGTCTTAGGGATTGATCTGCAGATTTGCACTGAGCAACACCACCAGCTCTGTTTTTCCTTTTCGTTTTCTGCTTTGCGATGAAGTGACCCTGAGTACCTCAGCCTGCCAGAGGGCTGGGATGACAGACGTTCGCCACCAAACACCACTTCGCTGTGACCTTTCGCGTTATTCTCATTACAGCCCAACGGTGGGAAGTATGCGGAAAGGGGAGGTGGACGAGATCAGTCACGGATGGGGGTGCGGTTTGGAGAGGGCTAGGCCCAGGAGAGGGCACAGATCTGCGTGTGCAGGAGGGCAACCTCAGTAAAGCGCTGACACCCACTTGAGCTGATTGGTTTCTGAAGGACGCAGAAAAACGTGATCCCTCAGGACTGCGTTTGAAGGCAATCTCGCATTAGGTGCGGAGCACGCAGTGCTTTTGTTACACAGGGACCCACACTTTACGTCACAGAGGCGCTACCTGAGGTCCTTTTCTAAGCTGAAGTACCGTCCGGAGCATCAGGGTCCAGGAGTTTGGGCATGGAGGTGATCAGGAAATGAGGTGCTAGTCCAGGCCCCGCCCCCACGCCCACCTGAAGCCTGCGTGCCCTCTTTCTCTGCCAGGGACTTTGTCCCGCCCCAAGCTGCGCCTCAAGTGACAGGCCAGAACGGAGCACGGCCACGCCCTTTTGTCCCCGCCCCCTGCCCAACACCCACCAGTAGGAGGTCAGAGCAGCACCCAGGTCCCGCCTCTGCCCCACCCACAGACCCCAGTCCTCCAGGTCATCCAGTGAGGGATCCCAACAGTTCCATGGCCCCGCCCCTACCTGTTGGGCCCCTCCCTGTCTGTTATCCTATGAAGGGGTCCCAATAGCTCCAGGCCCCGCCCTCCTCATAGCCTCGCCCCTTCCCCAGGGGCCCTGCCCAACCCGCCATTCAGTGACAGTTCACAACCGCGCCGAGGCCCCGCCCTTCTCCCTGGCCCCGCCCCCGCTCTGCGGGCCAGCCCCCTGTCTGACATTCTTAGAGGGGTCTCCACAGCTCCAGGTCCCGCCCTCCTGCCCTGCCCCGGGGCCCCGCCCCGACCGCCCTCCAGTGACAGTCAGAATAGCCCCCGGGCCTGGTCTTCCTCCCCGGCCCCGCCTTCCTCTCTGGTTCCGGCCCCGCCCTGCGGGCCCCACCCGTTCCCAGGCTCCGGGTTTACTCTGTACTTGCAGCGGCGCAGCGGCTCTGTCAAGCTGCGCGGCGGTGGCTCGTCCAGGTCCTCGGGCGGCAAGAAGCTGCGGTCCAGGATCTCGGCAGCCTCCTGCCAGTTGGCGAAGCAGGCAGGGCCCAGGCGCTGGATCTCCTCGGCTGCGTCGTGCGTGAGCACGTCTCCGTCGGGTTTGAGAACCACCACGGCCGGCAGGCGCCGCACGGAGAAGCGGTGGCCCAGGTCCCTGCGGGGCGGGGCGGGGCGGGATGGGGGACAGTGGCGGCCTGGCGGCTGCACCAGCCCCTCTGTCTGCACCCAGGGTCTTGCTAACCGGCCCCCACTGGACTCCAGCCTGGTCCCCGCCGGCCTCGGCCTCCCCGAGGGCTCACCTCCGCAGGTCATCTTCGAAGGGCAGGAACAGCCAGCGCTCAGGCATGTCCCTGAGGAACAGGGCCTGCTGCTCGGCCGAGGGGTCCTGTGACACGTACACCAGCGCCAGCTGCGCGGCGCGCACCACGTAGAACTCGTCCGTGAGACGCACAAAGAATTCGCGCAGCGCGGGCGCGAAGGCCTGGCACCGCTCGCAGCCCCACGCTCCGAAGAACAGCAGCACCAGCCGGTTCTCCAGCCGGCGGTCGAGCTCGGCCTCGGTCTCCAGCAGGTCCTGCTCACTGTTGTTGCGGACCAGGACGCGGCCTGAGAACAGCGACGCCATGGCCCGGCAGTCGCGAAGCCAGATCCGGGGTTAATCCCTGCCCTGACCTGGATCCTGGCCCTAAGGCGGCCCGGGGCGGTGAAGGGGGGGAGGCTGCTGGTGGGTCACCGAGGCCACAGGAGTGCCCTCGCGTGGTGAGTCCAGCACTCGGGAGGCTGAGGCAGGAGGATCGCCGCGAGTTCCAGGCTAGTCAGGCTACAGAGCCAGAACCTTGTCCCCCCACCCTCTCAAAAGAAAAAAAAGTTACTGGGCAAGATACAGACCTCCCTTTGTATCCAGGGGCGTGAGTTCCACGACTCCAGGTCCCCAAGTCACAGAAACTTACACTCCTTCGATGAACAGGGAAAGATTTGCATGCAAGCCAAACGTGTGCTCCCTAGTCTTTAAGTCCTCTGTAGGTGATTTGTAGCTGGCGCGCGCGCTGTGAACGCGGCCTGCGGAGTGGGTCTGCTGTGGTCCATGGGCCATGCCCATGAACGCAAGCGGCGCTGAGCCCCCCCTCCCCAGGGGATGCACCCAGGTCCTTCATGCTAAGCATCATCCCAGCCCTTTTGTTTTGATTCTGAGATAGGGTCTCGCTAAGTTGCCCAGTCTGGGCTCAGATTTGTGATCCTCCTGCCTCAACCTACACTACTGTTGGCCAATTTTTTTTTTCTTACATCCCTGCAATCCTCGGGCTGCAGGACCCGGGGCCAACTGTAATCTCGCACACAGAACTTCTATGGGGAACGGCCGGAGCCCGCGGGTCCCCTTCTTCAGTGCCCACGGGGCGCGGGTCCGAAAGCCCCGAGCTTGGGGTCATTGACTGCGGCGACCATGCCTGGCAGTGAGGAACATCAGTTATGCGTCCTCCTGTTTCCCCTTGCTTGAGCCGGGCTCTTCTCCGCAGGCACCGCCGTCGCAGCGCCCCTATCCGTCCACGAGGTGGCAGCAGCACCTGACGTGTGTGATCCGAGGGATGCAGATTGGGGATACTGCCAGGGCCCAGGGGACAGAATTGATCCCTGGCCGGGAGATGACAGCTCCTTTCTCCTGCCCTGGCGGGGTGAATGGTGGGTTGCTCAAAGGAAGAGGCTGTGACCTGATCCACAGAACCTGACCGTGGATCTGGTTTGGGAAAAAGGGTCTTTGCTGGTGTTCTTTAGTGAAGGATCTCCAGATCAGGCCTCCCTGAATTATAGAGATGGGTCATAAACTGCTGACAAGTGTCTTTAGGAAGAGACAGACAGCAGAGAATGGTGATGCACTCCTGTATTCTTAGCACTCGGGAGGCTGAGACAGGAGGATTGCAAATACAAGTTTGGCCAGGGTACATTTAGCGAGATCCTGTCTCAAAACAAATAAAATGACTGAATAAAGGTTTGGTAATGTAGGGGCTGGGGATTTAGCTCAGCGGCATAAGCGCCTGCCTTGCGAGCAGGCAGTCGTGAGTTCGATCCCCGGTACCGATAAAAAGGAAAAAAAAAAAAAAAAAGGTTTGCTGATGTAGCTCACTGCAGAGGCCCTGAGTTCAATCACAAGGACAGAGACACAGAGACAGGGAGAGTCAAAGGAGGAAAGGAGAGGGAGCCTGAGACAGAAAAGGAGATAGCTTGGTGAGCTGAGGTGGAGGCAGGAGGGTGAAGAACCCACTAAGGTGGCCAGGAGTCGCCAGAACCAGCGGGGCACGATGGGCCTGGCCACAGGCTCCGAGGGGCCTTTGTGGTGGTGCCCAGTGTCGGTGTGCAGGGAAGCTGTCCCTGCTCCCAGTGTCTGGGATACTCCTGTCGCCGGGCACTAGCAGGAAGGTACGTGCACCGGCCTGCAGCACTCGGATTCATCAGTGCAAACCCCACAGGCAGCCTTGGATTCGTTTCCACTCGGGCTGGGGACCACTCTGCTGGGGCTACCAGAGAGCCTGGTGCAACAGTCAGAGGGCTGACAGGACCCTGGAGCCTAAGAGCTTCTGTCTTGTCAAGGAGCAGGGTTTGGTCCCTTGTCCAGGCTCTGTAGGGACGCTAATGGCTGTGAGGAGGAATTATTTTCAGCTCTGAGATGGGATCTCACTGGGTTTCCTGGTCTGGTGTGTAATTGTGCTTCTCCTGCCTCAGCCTCCTAAGTAGCTGGGACTATAGATGTGCATTGTTATGTTCAGCTGCACCTGGGGGGGGGTGTGTGTGTTCGTGCATGTGTACACACGGCACGGCCTGGGGCTTGAGCTCATAGCCTGAGACTCACTAGGCAACTATGCTACCCCTGAGGTACAGCCAGGCCCCTGGAACAGGAAATTTTGTATTTTTTTTTAAATTCAAATAATATATTTCAGTTGATTTCAGATAAAAACTACTGGGTGAAGGGAGAGGTTAATGACCATTTCCACCTCTAATCTGTTAAGAGCCACATGCTGGAAACCCACCAAGAAGCTATAGTAACCAGCTATTTTCACAACATCCACAGTATTAGAAAACACAAGGCCTTATATCATTTTAGGTTAAATGTAGTTGGCGACCAAATCCAGTCTGTTACATTCCATTATTGTTCTTTAGCTCTTCTACTTTGTCGAAGTAAGCTTTCATGGCACTTTCTTTAGCAGTCCCTTTCAGCTGATTCCAGGCATCCCACTTGGCTTTGCCTTTGAGGTCCAACATCCCAGGCCGCTCTATATTTATGTTGCCCACAGTGGCTTGTTTGTAGTGGCTGTAAATGAACAACATCTCTTGGTCTGTTGGCTGGTCCTTGAGGTGCTTAACCTCCTCAGCAGCTTTCTCAAACTCAGCCTGAGACATGCCGGCGGGGTTACAGGACTTCGGCAGACAGTGTGTGGGAGACGAAGTATGGAAAGCTCTGGCATTGGAATTTTGTATTTTTTAAAAAAATACACAAGTGCCTGCCATCCCAGCACTGGAGAAGCTGAGGCAGGAGGATCACCACAAATTTGAGACCAGCCTGGGCTACATAGTAAAACCCTGTTTAAAGAAATAACCTCTCGTCAGATAAAAGGAAAAAAAAATCTGGACTTTAAAGCCTTTGCATTGTAGGGTGGAGGACAGGTGGGGGAGAACTGGACTAGGTACTGGCTGGGTCTTAGTAAACCCTGTAGGTGGAAGCAGGATGAAAGATGGAATAAGGCCAAGGGAAGGACTAGGGGGGAAGGGGTGTGTGAAGGTGAGCAGGAAAGGGGAGGGGAGGGGATGGGAGGAGGCTGGATAGAGAGGAAGGGAGGCAGGAGTGCAAACTGCGTAAGTGCATGGACCTCAGTGACCAGCTAGTGGCTGCCAGACCTATCCTTCAGCCTGTCTTTTTCTCTGAATGCACTGAACTCAGGACTTTCACCCCAACCCCTTTTTGTTTATTTTTGTCATTTTAAGAAAGGATCAAGCTGTGTGTGTTGGTGCACGGTTGTAATCCCAGCATTCAGGAGGCTGTGGCAAGAGGAGGACAACCTGGGCTACACAGCAAGACCCTGTGTCAAAAACCAAAAAACAAAGGACCTCCAAGTCAATAACTGTTATTCTCCTGCCTCAGCCTCCTGGAGTGCCTGGTTCACAGGTCTGGCTGGCCACCACACCCAGCTCTGCCTTCAGTTTCTTCACTGAAAGGTGGGCCCCACAGGCAAGACCTCAGCTGTCCTATCACCGCTGTCCCAGGCCTGAGGAGGCAGCGGGCCAGGATGGCCCTGGGCCTGTCCCTCCTCGCTCCCCACCCCCATCGCGCCTCGCTGCGTGGGGACCAATGGCAGCTGAGGGAAGGGGGGGGGCCCGCCCGGCCCTGTCCTCCGGTGCCACTGGAAGCTGCCTCTGGCTGCCTCCCAAGGAGGGCGAGGAAAGGTCGGCCAAGCAAGGGGCATTCCAGGCTCAGCAGGCAGGGCGGAGGGGCTGGGAGGCCCGAGGCAGGCGGGGACAGCCGGGGACACAGCGGCCGAGAGTTGCCACAGCTTGGCTGAGTCGGAGGTCGCTGTCTCCTCGGCCTCTCGCCCACCTAGCATCCAGCCCACGCGTCCAAGCCCAGGGACTGCGAGCACCCAGGTCAGTGCCGAGTCCTGGCCGGGAGGATTCCGAGGCCTCGAAAAGGACGAGGCCCTGCTTTCGGGGTGACGCTGGTTGGCCGGGCTCGGATCAGCACCCGTGGGGGCTCTGAAGGTGCGAGCTCAGGCTCCCGGCCCCGGGTGAGTATTGAAGACCGACAGGGTCTGCGGCTAGGCTTCCGCACAGGCTGGGGAAAGGAATCCAGCCCAGGCGGGTGCAGAGTGTGCGCCCGGGCCTCGCGCGCTCCCGAGGGCCAGCGCCTGGGGCCACGCCCCCTCGGAATCCTTGTGTTCCCTCCTCGGGCCCCCCCAGCGGCGGAGGCGTGGTTGCCCCGAGACCGCGGCCATCCTCGTGGCCGTTCTAGCCCCGAGTCTCGTTGCCCGTGGACTCTCTGGGCCGGAGCAGGAGCAATTTGTGGTCGCGGCCTCGGAAAGAGGGGGGACTTTGCTCTGCGGGAAGATGTGCTAGCCGCGAGACAGGTAGGAGGGGCAGCGTGGGCGGGGCTTAGGCTGCAGGGCCAGAGCGCAGCGCTTGGGCGTGATTTAGGCTGCAAGGGACGAAGCGCAGCGCTTCTCCTGGGGTGGCGCCTGCGTCCGCAGGGTTTGGGGCGGGGCTCCAGTGAATAGGGGCGGGGACAGCTCCGAATGGGAGGTCCTGCTTAGGGGTGGGGCTCCACTTTGGGATTCACATTTGTGGGCGGAACGGGAGGCTCGGCCTGGGGGCGTGGCTCAGGGAGCGGCGAGAAGACAGGGGCAGACCACAGGCTGTGTGGGCGTGGAGGTGGATTGAGGGACAGCGGACAGGGGTTGAGACAGGGGTTGAACTAGGGCCTGGCTCAGGACCGGGTAGAATCCGTGCTTTCTGAGCTAAACGGTGGGGTGGAGCTTTGAGCCCAAGGTCAAGGCTTAGGGTCGGTCTAGTAATGACTGACGTATGCAAATAGGTTTGGGGGCGGGTCCGGCTAGCATTATTAGCATGTGGGCGGGACTCCATGCTGAGGGCGGAGACTATCCAGAATAAACCAGGGAGGGGCGGGGCCTGGGGGGAGCCTGCGCAGAGTTGTGGGGCCGAATAAGGTAGGGCGGGGCAGGCGGGCCAAGCAGGTGACGGCAGTCTGTCCCAGCGCTCGCGTCCCCACAGGATGCGGCTCCCGGTTGCGGGCTCGGCCTCGGTGGCTTCGCTGGCGCTGCTTTGGTTGCTGGGCCTGCGGTGGACCTGGAGCGCGGCGGCCGCGTTCGGCGTCTACGTGGGCAGCGGCGGCTGGCGCTTCCTGCGCATCGTCTGCCTGACGGCGAAGCGGGACCTCTTGTGAGTGTGGCGCGGGATCACTGGGGGGCAACTCTCCCTGGGGACTCCCGAAGGGCGGGGATGAGGGACCCGGGGCAAGCGAGGCCAGGACCAGAAGGGGGACGGGCTGGGGGGCTGCAGGTGATAGATGGGAGTTCCTGTAGGTTGCAAGTGATCCGGCCTTTGGGGGCTGCTTTGGAGACTTTGGGGTACCCAGGTGGTACCTCGGGGCCTTCAGGCAGCTGTTGATGTCCCAGGAAGCTCCCTGGGGTCTCCGGTGAACGCCAGTGTCTTGGTGTCACCTTAGGATTGGGGTGCTGCGGTAGCTGCTGGGCGCCTTGAAGAGCTCTTCAGGTGTCTAAAGCCTGGGTGCTTCTAGGGGAGCCTTACAGATTCCTGCCCGACTAGGAAGCGTTGAGAGTGGAATCTGTGGAGCTTTGGGGGTGCCCAGGAGTGTGGGCGGTCTCCTGTGCTCCTGTGTGACTTGGAGGTTCTAGAGCCTGGCTTCTCTGTAGGATCTGTGTGGCCCGTGTGCAAGGGGTCCTGGAGGCCTCTGGGGTGTCTCTGGAACATGGGGACCCTTCTGGGCTGGAGCAGGCCCTTCTGGGGTTCCCAGGGTGAGTGTAAGGAGCAGCCCCAGGTGGGGGCACTGGTACTTGTGTGTGTAGGGATGGGCTTCCCAGAGAAGTGCAGGCACTGCACCCATTTTAAGGATGAAGAAACCAAAGTTTGCAGAGGTGGGGAAGAGTGGAACTAGTGGCATTGCCTGTGGACCGCCTACTCCTGAGCTTTGTAAAACCTTTCTTCTGGGTGCCACAGTCCCTCGATGCCCCTGGGTCTTTCTAGTGTGTAGAACTTTCTGCCTATTCTAGGCCTGTAGTGGTCACCCAGATGGGTCAGCTTCTCCGAGTTCAGGAAGGCTAGGTGGAGTAATGCAGCTGGCTCCTGGGTGTGCTCAAGTTCTTGAGGCACAGCTTTGGGGGCTGCACTGTCCCCCACTGCTCTCCCTGCCCTTCCCTTGGAGGTGTCTGTCTTGGAGCCAGCCGATCTCAGGCTCGTTTTTAGGTTGCCCTGGGTGGCAGTGTCCTAGCAGCAGAAAAGCCCATTTTGTCCAACTGCTCCTCTGCAGGAAACAGTTTCCACCTGCCGCCCAAGGCTGTACTGGCCGGTTTGTGCCCACCTGCTACACCTGTGCCGCTAGGGCCACTTGTCCCCAGGTTGGCCTGCTGTCCCAGCTCCCTTTGCAGGTGATGATCTGTGCTCTGGGTTCCTCTGCCCTTCACTGTCTGTGAAATGTCACCTCCCCTGAGAGTCCTCCCCAAACACTGTCTCTATCACACATACACCCTGCATGCTTGTCACCCTGTGACACAGTGGCCACCACGGTGGGCAGCCCACACATCTTCCTGCTGTGCTGAGCTCTTGCAGGCTTGGTCCCGAGGAGCACCCAACAGCCCCCCAATTTGCAGCACCTCTGTTCTTATCTTTTTTTTTTTTTTTTTTGGTACTGGGGATTGAACTCACGACCAGGCACTTGCAAGGCAGGTGCTTATGCCGCTGAGCTAAATCCCCAGCCCTCTCCTTATCTTATCTTATCTTATCTTATTTATTTATTTATGTATTGGGAATGAACTGAGGACCTTGTGCTTGTCTGCAGGCACTTATGCCACTGAGCTGCATCCTTGGCCCTCTGTCCTCATCCTGAGACAGCAGGCCCATGTGCATCACACTGTGTGATTTGTCCAGGTCATGGGGCAGGGTGGGACCTGGAGCCTGTGTTCTCTCCACTGATGGCATGGCACGAGCCTGAGATCAGCTGTTACCAGTGTGTCTGTGTTACCAGTGGTCTGGTCTCTTGCTTTTTTATTCTTTTACTTTTTGTGGGGTTTTTTGTTTGTTTATTTTTGAGTTGGGCTTTCACTATGCAGTTCAGGCTGATCTTGAACTCCTTGTGTGGTCTAGGCTGGCCTGGAACTCCCAGCAGTCCTCCTGTTTCAGCCTCATGAGTGCTGAAATGAGTAGGCACCACCACACTCAGATGCTTTTTAACATCTCCCTACATTGTGCCTGGAGCACAGATAGAGGCTACATCTTCCTTGGGGCCACTGTGGGTTGCAGCAGATGTGGGGGACATGTTTGGACCTTGCATACCCCCTATGCCCACCCTGACCCCTCTCCCTGACCCTGTGGCCCCTGGGAACATGCCTGCCTCTGCGTCCCCAGTGTGACTGGGTCCCCTTAGCATCCCCAACATAATCCTGCTCTTGCCTATGGAGTGGCCTGGTCCTTGTCTCCTGTGCTTGGTGTCCTGGGTGATTCCTTCCCATGGTTCCAGTGAATAGAATAAAAGAAAGGAAGCGGGTGATTGGGGTGCACACCTGGCCTCCCAGCTGCTCAGGAGGCTGAAGCAGAAAGATTGCAAGTTTGGGCCCAGCCTGGGCAACTTAGCGAGAGTGGATCTCAGAATTAGAAAAATAAAACCAAAGGGCTAGGGATGTAGCTCAGTGGAGATTGGAGATTGCTTGTGTGCCATGCACAGGGCCTTGAGCTTAATCTCCAGCATGGGGAGAGAGCAGAGAGAGGGAGTCAGACAGACAGACATTCAGAGACAGGAGAAAGAAACAGATGAAGAAAAAGAAGGGAAGGCAGTGAGCTATGGGTAGTTCTTCTGAGATGCAGTAATAAAAAGACTGTGACCCCCATCTCAGCTACACTTGCTCTGGTAACTAATGGAGCTTGCACAGGCCTCCCTGGATCAGAACTTGCTCACAGCCTTGTAAAGAGGGGTCACTATCTCTGTGTGGTGGTGCACACCTCCCATCCCAGCTGCTGGGGAGGCTGAGGCAGGAGGATTGCAAATGTGAAGTCAGCCTGAGCAACTGGGTGAGAGCTTGTCTGAAAAAAAAAAAAAAAAAAAAAAACCCACCAAAAAAAGAAAAACGAAAACCCAGCTGTGGACATAGCCCAGGGGAGCGTATTTTTGTACTGGGAATCATACTCATGACCTCACACTTGCAAGGCAGGTGCTTGTGCTGCTAAGCTAAATCCCCAGCCCTCAGGGGAGCTTTTACCCAGCATGGGGCCCTGGGCCCCTTACCCAGCACTGCAAAAGGGAAAACAGAAGAGAGGTCTATAATCCCATTTTGCAGGTGGATAAGCTGAGGCACAGAGGTCTTTTGTCCAGGAAGACATGCCTGGGGAGGTGCTGGGCTCCCGGGTCTGTCCTCTTGCCATTGTGGGACGTTGAATTTGCTGGGTTTGTGTGTGTATTCCTGCACACTACTAAGGATGGAACCCACGCACAGCTACACCCCCAGACTCTTTGAGGCTGGCTTCTGCTAAGTCACTAGAACTTGTAATCTTCCTGCCTCAGCCTCTCCCTGTCCTGGGATTCTGGCTGGCTGGTGTGGGTTCAGCAAGTCTACCCCCCTCCCTGTGCTGCGTGAAACCTGACCCCATTTACCCTTGTTGACTTCCTCCTGCCCGAGTCCTGGGACACAGCACAGAGGAAAGAGAGACCCGGAGGTTCCGACAGTGGGCCCTTTGTGCCCGGAGAAGGGGTGGCTTGGGTTGCTGCCTGTTGTGGCGCCTGGGCCTGTGGCTGGGACCCAGCTCCGGAATCCACCTCCCCCAAGCGGCCGGTAGGAGGGGAAGCAGGGCTGGCTGCCTGCTCCGCCGTGGTCCGGATGAAGGGGCCTTGCAGCGGGGGCTGCTTACCAGGGCTGTGGCTCTGTGTCCCCTTGAGTCCCAGCAGCAGAGCAGTCGCGTGTCTCAGGAAGTCCGGAGCCGGGCAGGTGTGTGGCCGGGCTCGGGTGTGCTGTGGCCGTACCCTGCGGCCCAGAGCTGCTCCTTCCCCTCCTCTGAGCTAGGCTTTCCATCTCTCCTACTTGGGGAAGCAGGCGCGTGCTGCCATCTGAAAGGCTTGTTGACCCAGACCGGACACTGTAGCCAGAAAAAGCCTCAGCCGGAATTAGGGAGCTCCTGTCTACCCCGCCCCTAGAGATTTACCTGTAACCCTATATCCCCCCACCCTTCGGAACCTGCCCCTGAGCCAAACGTGTGCCAATGAAATACCTGTGCATCTCTAATGGCCTTAGGGCACTGCCCTAAGCTTAGGCTACTTATATTCCCCCACGCCACGTGTCCGAGAGAGAGATCGCCAGATTCCAGCGGCCAGTGCCAGTCCTCTCTCCCCGTGTTCCCAGAATAAAGGCCTCTTTTGTTTTATACTCCTCATCTTTTGGAAATATTTTTTATCCTCTGGAAATAATCCTATCACCACCCAAAAGCATGTGGGGGCCTTAGGGCCCTGGCAGTTCTGTCCCAGGCTGCTGTGTGACCTCTCACCGAGCCCACTGCACGCTGGTGGAGGTGCACAGCAGGCGCTACTCAAATGTGGAGAACTGCAGTGCAGTGCTGGGGTTGAAGCCAGAGCCGTGCCACAGAGCCCACGTTGTTAGTTGAGTTGCTAGTGCGCCCCGGGTCTCACTCTGCAGCTCATTCCTAGGGAAGGCTGTGTGGCCCAGGCTCTGCCCTTGTCCTGTAGCTGCCCTGCCTTGCCCATAGATGGATGCGAAAACTGTTAACTTTTCATGTTTTTTATTTACTGGTGCTTTTATTTTGTTTCCCTTTTTGAGGTAGGGCTGTACAGTTCAGGGTGGCCTTGAACTCTGTAGTCCAGGCTGGTTCTTGGCAATCCCACTACCTGGGTCTCCTGAGTGCTGGGAAATTGGTTTTAAAATTTTAAACAAGTTTTAAATTTATGCTATCATGGATAGAATGGAAGGCTGTTTCTAAGAGCTACATTGCTAGCCTTTGGGTTTTTTTTTGTTTTTAAATTTTGAGACAGGGTCTCACTATGTTGCCCAGAATGGGCTCAAACTTAGGATCCTCTTGTTTTGTGGCTCAGGGTTCCATCCCAGCATGGCAAAAGTGAAAAACATAAATTTGGGGGGGGGGGAGGAAAAGAAAAGAAAGAAAAACCCAGCACTTCTGAACTGTCAACAGGACAGGGGCTACAGGAACTCAGCGCTTGGCCCAATTGGGTAGGCTGGGCACTGTGCGCACACTGTGAGGCTCCTGTGGGCGGAGCCTTTCTGACTTCTTCTTTGTTATTGTTCTATGTTTATTTTACCTAAAGACCGGGCTCAACAGCCACTACCTTGGGCCTGCCATTCAAGCCATCGCTGGAGCACACTTTCTGGCAGGCTGACTTCAGTCTGTCTGTCTCTTGGGGACGCTGCTCCTTGAATCCCTCCTGATCAGCTCTATGGCTTCCCCTCCTGCTGCTAGAGGATTCTGTGGGGAGCTCACTGTCTGCAGATGTCTTTATGCCCTGCCTTGTGCTTGCGTGGGAATGGAGTTCTAAGCCACAAGTGAAAGCTATTTTTCACTTTCTGTTTTTCTTTTCTTTTTTGTCTTTTGAGACAGGATCTCGCTAAGCTACTAAGTAGCTTAGACAAGGCTTGAACTTGCCACCCTTCTGCTTCAACCTCTCTTGATTACAGGTGTGTAGCACTGCACCCAACTTCCCTTTGTACTCTCACAGAGAGGCCTGTAGAGTTTTGGGCAACGTGGGACACCCCAGGCCCTGTCCTCCAAATATCCACATCCATCTCCTATCCCCATAAAAGGGTCTCATTGTCCCCACTTAGGGCCTGGTCTCAACCAGGGAACACAAGCCTGGTGGCCCCAGACAGCTGGCGCTTCTGTCACAGCTGAGAGGCCCTTAAGTCAGGTGTCTTCAGGACCTGCTCCTCCAGGGCTCCTGCTATCCCACTTTGTTGCTGTGCTGGGGACAGGACTAGGTTGGCCACACGGCACCGTGTCACACAGCTGCCCTCCCCCAGGCCACTTGGGTAATCGAGTGGTCACATGCATGTCAATTACAATGAACACTGGGCCCTCTTTCTGTTCCCCTTTCTTCCTCCCTCCTGCCCTTGATAGTCCTGGGACTCAGACCCAGGGCCTCTTTTTATTTTTTGACACAGGATCTCACTAAGTCCCTAAGGTGCCCAGGCTGGGCTCAAACTTTTCATGCTCCTTCCCCAGCTTCTCACAGTGCTGGGGGCATGGCAGCATACTACCATAGCAAGCTTTTAAGAACATTTTAAAAGTTTACTACTTGGGAGGCTGAGGCAGGCAGATGGCAAGTTCAAGACCAGCTTGGGTAGTTTATCAAGACAATCCATTTCAAAATAAAATAAAGGTAAAACAGGCTGGGGATGCAGCTCAGTGTGAAAACCCTTGGTTCAGCCCTCTTTTACTAAAAAAGCTTTACTCTGGGAAGTGTCCACCCCTTGGACCCCATGGTGCAGACACTGTCCCCCGCCTGTGTGACACCCCCCAGGAAGTGCAGAAGAGCAGCAGCTGAGTCTCTGCTGTCCCTGTGTCCTCTCCACTATCCCTGCCCCATTTGGCTTGCGGATGCAGGAGGAGCCTGGTGCTGCACAGGCACGTGGATCACAGGCTGCCAACGTGGCTGCTCCTGTGTGCACACTGTGGTGTGACCAAGAGTCTTGGTCTCCCCAGTCCCATCCTGAGAGCCAGGACCCCAGGAGAGCGCACCCCTACCCATCTCCATTACCTGTGGGGTCCCCTACTCAGGAGGCTGAGGCAGGAAGGTCACTAGTTTGTTCATCTCTCTCCCAGAGAACTGTGAGCCCCTGAGGTGGGGCTGGTGGCTCTGTCGATGGCTCTGTCCTCAGAACTGCCTGGCACAGGGAAGGAGAGGGGAGCAGACACAGCATGGATTATCTTCAGTACTGGAGAAGGAACCCAGGACTTCTGTGTCTCACCAGGCAGCCCTTTCATCTTTTATTCTGAGGCAGGGTCTTGCTAAGGCACTAAGTTGCCCAGGTGAACTTGTCATCCTCTTGCCTCAGCCTCCCAGAGTGCTGGGATTACAGGCGTATGGCCCTCATCTGGCTCCCAGGCTGGATTTAACCAGGATTTTGATGCTAAAGGGGTGGCAGGCTGGTAGCTAGCAGAGGCTGAAGAGAACTAGTGAGGATGGGCAAGGCTGGGTGGTGGCGGCCAGGAACTGGGAGCAACGGCCGCTCCACTGAGATGGTGAGGTTCCTGGGCTGGGACCAGAAGCAGTCTTGCTGGTTTGTTTTTTTTTTTCTTGGACACACCTGTTCCCACCTGTTGGCCACCTGCTATAGCGCTCACCCCCACCATCATCCACCATAGTGATGTCCCCTCTGCCCACCTGGGGCAGAAGTGGCCCCTCCCCCCAGCCAGGAGCACCTGGTGTTGATTTGGTCACCTGTGCTGGCCCTGGGGCTTGATGGCCACTTGAGACCTCATCATGGGGTCCCTGGAGAAACATCGGTGGCTTGGACCGGCTGACCCGGCTGGGGCAGGACAGGGTCCATACTGTGCAGCTGGTTGGTGACTGTCTCCTCCCCTTCTTCCCCGGTTGGTCAGCAACCACAGCGCCAAGCGCGGTGGTATGACCCCGGTGCAGATGCTGAGGCTGGGGCAGTGCTATGACAGTGGCCTTGTCTCCTCCCCACAGTGGCCTCTCGGTTCTGATCCGTGTGCGCCTGGAGCTGCGGTGGCACAGGCGCTCGGGCCACACCATCCCGTCCATCTTCCAGGAGGTGGTGCGGCGGCAGCCCGAGCGCCTGGCGCTGGTGGATGCCGGCAGCGGCGCGAGCTGGACCTTCGCCCAGCTGGACGCCTACTCCAACGCTGTGGCTCAGCTCTTCCTCCGGCTGGGCTTTGCACCGGGTGACGTGGTGGCTGTCTTCCTGGAGGGCCGGCCGGAGTTCGTGGGGCTGTGGCTGGGCCTGGCCAAGGCGGGCGTGGTGGCCTCACTGCTCAACGTGAACCTGAGGCGCGAGCCGCTGGCCTTCTGTTTGAGCACCTCAGGCGCCAAAGCGTTGATCTACGGCGGGGAGATGGCAGCCGGTGAGCGGGCAGCAACAGCGGGAGGGCCTCGGGAGGCCGAGGTAGGAGGATCCCAGGTTCAAGGCCAGTCCGAGCAACTTAACAGCTGCTGTGTGCAAAATGAAACGGGCTAAGAGTGTGACCCTGTGCGAGGTCCAGGTTCAGTCCCCAGCCGGAGGAAAGGAGCTGGAGGGTCGGGAGGCCGCAGGGCGTGGGCGGGAGTGACGCCATGTGGCGCAGCTGTGGCCGAGGTGAGCGCGCAGCTGGGGAGGAGCCTGTTGATGCTGTGCACTGGCGCGCTGGGACCCGAGAGCCTGCTGCCCGACAGCCGCCTGCTGGACACCCTACTGGAGGAGGTGCAGCCCGAGCCCCTGGCACCACCTGCAGGCAAAGGCATGGATGGTGAGTGGGGTTCTGCGCTTGCCCCCCGCCCGCGCCCCGTGCCCGAGCCCCCAATGCTCCCTCTCCGCAGATCGCCTCTTCTACATCTACACATCGGGGACCACGGGGCTGCCCAAGGCTGCCATCGTGGTGCATAGCAGGTGAGGTCTGCATGAACAGGGCTCAGGCCTGTGGGTGGCTCTGCAATATCGCAGTGGGTCCCTTCCCCTTGCTAGGCTCTGTTCCCCAACTGTCTCCACACCTCCGAAACTGCCTGCTCCAGTGCAGCCCCGCTGCCCCCACAAAGTTGGGGTCCTGGTCCTGCCCCAGCCCCAGGACCTTCGCATGCGCGGTGCCCTGGGTAGGACGCCTGGACCGTCAGGCGGCCGCTCCCTGCTCCAGGTACTACCGCATCGCAGCCTTCGGTCACCACTCCTACAGCATGTGCCAAGCGGACGTGCTGTACGACAGCCTGCCCCTGTACCACTCCGCAGGTACATGGGGACTGTGGGGTGCGGGGTACGGGTGCGGCAGGGCTGGGCTAACTCCTGCCCCATCCCTCATAGGCAACATTCTGGGCGTGGGGCAGTGCGTTATCTATGGACTCACCGTGGTCCTGCGCAAGAAGTTCTCGGCCAGCTGCTTCTGGGACGACTGCGTCAAGTACAACTGCACGGTCAGCCCCATCCCTGGTCCCGCCCAAAACCAGCCAGCCCCACCCACAGACTGGGGCCTGTCCCTAGACACATCCTCGCCTTCCCACCTCAGACCTGGCCCACCAACAGAACACCTTACCCATCCCTGCCGGTCAGGCCCCACCTATAGCTTTCCCTACACCGATCCGATAGTGCTCCGCCCACCGACACGCCTCCACAGACCAGACCAGCCCCTCCCCCAGCCTCAGACCGCCCTCCTGGCGCCGGGGCCCTGTCCCTTCCGTGTCCCTGCTCTTTCTGTGCCCGGGGGTCTTGGGCAGGCGGTTCAAGTGTGGACAGGAGTAACAGCGCCTGGGCGCTGGATCTGTCATAGGCTGAGAAGTCTGCATGTAAACACATCGAAATCTCCATGGCAGCCAAAGGGATCGTGTCCATTTTGCAGAGAGGAAACTGATGCTCGTAATGCAGCTGACACTGGGTTCAGGGTGCCGTGTGCTGGCCTGTGCACCTTGCAGACTAACATGTTGGGGAGCTGGGGGGTCCCCAAGAGTGAGGATGGGGTGTACCCGACCGTTGTGTCCCAGTGGTACACAGGACTGTAGAGGCTGTGCATTGGGACGCTCTGGCCCTGTCTCCAGGAGGTCCTGGGCTCCGGCACCAGAACTAAAGGGAGAGAGGGACGCAGGGAAATCTTGGGGAGTCTGGACACCAACAGGCTGCAGCAGGAAAGGGGTGCGAGGTGCCAGCAATGGCAGGCCGGGAGGTGACTCACCTTGGAGGGGGGCAGAGGCCGGCCCTGGCCACGCATGAGGTGCCAGCGACTGTGTAGGGGCCTTCTGCAGGACCCCTGGGCTCGGAGCTGCCTGCCTGGTGTGCGGGGGCCTAGGTTCCAACCTGGCATTCGAGGCAGAGTGGAAGTGAACAGCTGGTGTGTCCACGAGGTCATCACTTTGGTCCGGTCCTAGAAAATCATGTCCCCTAAAGGGACACTAGTGTGATAGCCACCCCTCCCAGCTCTTGGCAGCCAATGATCAGCTTCCCAAGTCTGTAGGCTCCTGCCTGGGAGCTCCACAGCCAGGGATCACACATGATGCTAATCTTGGCTCTACTCTGGGGTGAGGGCTGGAAGCCTCGCTCCGCCGCTAGGCACAGTGGCCATGGGTTCTCATGGGAGGGGGTGGCCCAGCTCCCTGCATGGCTGCACTGGACGTGTCTGTTCTCTTCCTATGCCATGACTCTTTGGTATTGAGGCTGTGCTGCACAGCCTCTGCTCTTGGGCTCCCAGCAGGCCAGGCCTGGGCACTGGTGCCACCTTGCCATGCAGAGAGGCATGTTCCAGGCAGGAAAGGGACCTCAGTGATCAGGGGCACACAGGAAGCACAGACAGGAAGGTGAGGCTGGACAGCTGACATTTGACCTCCCTTGAGGCTTGCTTAAGGACTTGGCAAGAGCCTGTCTCAAAATAAAAAAGAAGGCCAGAATGTGTGAAGGCCTGGAGTCAAGTCTCCTGTGCCATAAAAGAAAACAAAAAAGGCTTTAAGGAGATGACGCAAGTTCTGGGTGGTATAGAAAACAGGGACAGGGCAGGAGGTGAGGTTCACTCAGCTGGAGCTTATGTGACCGGCGCAGCTCCAATGAAACAGGAGACAGGAGATGCTTTTGTGGACGACAGTTAACTGCTAGTTTATTTAGGCGGGCTCTGGTTTATATATTCGGCCGTGACCAATCACAGGCTGCCACAAGGAAGCAGGGCGGGAATGGGATGTAGGCTCCGGCTACTATATCCAGCTGTGGCCAATCAGGAGTTGCCACAGAGTATGGAGTGAGCACGAAGTGCACACGGGTTGGCTAATTTAAGGAGGGACGTAGCGCATTGCGGAAGCTGGCGTGGTCCTTAGTCCCGGGTGGGGTATGGTATGTTGAGCGCCTGCGCCCAACACTTATGAAGCTGGCAAACCGAGTCCAGCCCTGGTTTGGATCTCATTATCTTGGCTGGTTTTGAGCGGTGGAGTCCTGGCCCTGGGTTCCATAAGGTGGCCTTCGAGGTGCAGCTTTCCCTGGACGTAGAGGACTTCAGGGCCAGGATGGCCACCATGGCATTGGTCATCCTCCCGATACCCACAATCGTGGGAGGAGAGTTAAGGGCTCGCAGGTTCCTGGGGTCAAGCCCATGCTGGCCCCAGGCTGAGGTGGCAGGGCGGGTACAGAGTGTCCCAGGTCACCAGGAAGTGGGGAGGTGGTGTGCAGGGGTCAGCAACAATAATTAGCCTTTCCAGGCTGTGCCTTGGCCCCTGGGAAGACCAGGCCAAAGCCTTGACAGTCTTGGAGTTAGGATTGGACAGCTGCAAGCCCTGGAGATGCTGGAAATGCCTCGTCACCTCAGTGCAAGTCCCCAGCCTTGCAGTTGGTGCTGGTGTTCATACAGGGGCTACCCTGTGCATGTGGTGTGGTGGCCTAATGTGACCCTGGCCTCAGAGTCGCTGGTTGCCCACAGCTGTGGCAGCTACAGCTGTGCCTGGCCGTGGGGTCACCATGCTTGGGAACTGTACCACCCCCAGCACTAGGATGGAACCCCCCCAACCCAGCAGGTGCCTAATACTAAGCTGCATCCCCGGTACTTTTTTTATTTTTCAGTTTTGCGATAGGGTCTCCCTGAGTTGCCCAGGCTAGTTTCAAACTAGCCATCCTCTGCCTCAGACGCTCTGTAGCTGGGGTTACTGTGTACATGAAGCCAGATTGGTCTTGATTGACCTCGGATCAGCCTCAGGCTCGTCTTCCTAGTGGCTAGCAGCTCTGTCTCATGCTCCACCACGCACAACTTGGGGCGCCATAGGCTCGGCAGCTGCAGAAGCTCTGGAGCTCTGGACACGCAGGGAGCCGGAGTGCACATCCGGTCTAGTGGCTGTGGGTGGAAAGCGCTGTCTTATTTGCAGTGCATGGCACTGAACTCGGGGCTTTAGCGTCCCAGGCCTCTTCATTGTTATTTTGAGATACAGTCTTGCTAAATTACTGCTTCCTGGGCTGGGCCTGCCTCCCAGCGCAGAGTGTCATGTGCCTTGGTCTACGCAGGCTCAGCTGCAGGGGCTTCGTGGCCGGGGGCTGCGTGCTGAGTTCGCTCCTAGAGTGGCGTCTAGTGGCCCTGGATGCTCAATCCCTGCTGGGTTCAAATCCAGCAATTTGCCCCTGTGCCCTCAATAACCTTGCACTGGTACCCCATGAGCCTCAGTGTCTCTCTGTAAACTGGGGGGCACTATCCACAAGCCCGTGACAAGATTAGCAGAGGGGTCCCTGGGGTTGGGGCCCGCGAAGCACCACAGGGTGGGCAGTGTGCTGCGGGAGGGGCAGCTGTGAGTGCATGCCTGTGCTGTAGGTGGTGCAGTACATCGGTGAGATCTGTCGCTACCTGCTGCGGCAGCCAGTGCGCGAGGCTGAGGCACGGCACCAGGTGCGCCTAGCTGTGGGCAATGGCCTGCGCCCTGCCATCTGGGAGGAGTTTGCGCGGCGCTTCGGGGTGCGGCAGATCGGGGAGTTCTACGGTGCCACCGAATGCAACTGCAGCATCGCCAACATGGATGGCAAGGTGTGGGCCAGGGCTAGGACAGGCACTGAGTCGGGGTGGGGGCTGACAGGCCTGCTTCACCGCGCCTGGCTAACAGGCAACAGAGGACGGGCAGGGCCGCTGCTAGCCTGGCACGACGCACACACCTTGTCAGTAGCCAGACCCCCCCACCCCCCCAGGGCGCACACCTGTGAGCCCAGCACCACAGGAGGCTGAGGCAGACAGATCATAAAGTTTCAGTCCAGCCAGCAGGGGGCCTCAGTGCCTTAAAGAGACCTTATCTCAGGATAAAAAATAAAAAGGGTTGGTGTGCAGATCAGGGCGAAGGCCCTGAGTTCAACCCAGTATCGCTGCCACCACCGCCAAAACGAAATTGGTTAAGTGTGCCTCAGCGCTCTTGGGTGACCCCATGGTGTGGAAAGTGTGGTCAGTGCGTGGGTGGGTCCGGGTGGGTGCTGTAGAGCAGGACGAGACTGCCAGCCGCGGGTCCTCGCATGGCTGCCCGGGAGGCAGGAGGCCCTTAGTGGGAGAGGGATGCTTGCGGTCTGTAGTTACCCCAGGTCCCCACACCCACACAAGCCGACCCGGCCCTCCCCAGGTCGGCTCCTGCGGCTTTAACAGCCGCATCCTGCCGCACGTGTACCCCATCCGGCTGGTAAAGGTCAACGAGGACACCATGGAGCTGCTGCGCGACGCGCGCGGCCTCTGCATCCCATGCGAGCCCGGTGAGCTGCCGCCCCATCCAGGGTTCCCGTGTTCCCGTGTTCAGGCGGGGGTCTCCACGTCCATCGTCCACTCATCCAGCGTGGCCTTCTCCCCAGGGGAGCCCGGTCTTCTTGTGGGTCAGATCAACCAGCAGGACCCACTGCGCCGCTTCGACGGCTATGTGAGCGAGAGCGCCACGAGCAAGAAGATCGTGCACAGCGTCTTCCACAAGGGGGACAGCGCCTACCTCTCAGGTGCCAGCGAGGCGGCTGCACCCGGACAGCGCGTCCCTCTCTCCACATACCGCCCCGCCCACCACGTGAAAAACACGCCCACCGTACAGCCCCACCCTTTACGTCTCATTCGCCCCGCCCCATGCCTCACCACGCCCCCTCCACTCCTTGCCCTGCCCGCCGCAGGTGATGTGCTAGTCATGGACGAACTGGGATACATGTATTTCCTCGACCGCAGCGGGGACACCTTCCGCTGGCGCGGGGAAAACGTGTCTACCACTGAGGTGGAAGGCGTGCTGAGCCGCCTGTTGGGCCAGGCGGACGTGGCTGTGTATGGCGTAGCTGTGCCAGGCAAGCTCAGGGTGCAGCAGTGACCCTGGGGGGTGGCAGTTCTGGGAAAGCCAGCCAGAGGCTCGGGGTGTAAGGGTGCCGCTGGGCAAGGCACGACCCACATACCTGTGCGGGATCTCAGCCGAGCCTGTCTTCCTAGGAGTGGAGGGGCGAGCGGGCATGGCGGCCATCGCGGACCCCCGCGGCCAGTTGGACCCCAACTCCATGTACCAGGAACTGCAGAAAGTGCTGGCGCCTTATGCACGGCCTTTGTTCCTGCGCCTGCTGCCGCAGGTGGACACCACTGGTAGGCTGTCAGCCTGGTGACGCAGGGTTCCCTCTGACACGGTTATGTGGCACTCAGTTTTGTGTCTCTCCCATCCCACCTGCGACCTCAGGGAGGATGCAGTTTGTTTTGTGTTTTTTGAAAGACACTTTTTTTTTTTTTTTTTTTTTTGGTGCCGGGGATTGAGTTTACAACCTCTAATTTGCCAAGCAGGCATTTACACCGCTGAGCTAAACCCCCGGCCCCTATTTTATTTTTGAGCCACGGTCTGGCCATGCAGTTCAGGCTGCCCTTGAGCTAGCTCATTTTGTAGCCAGGCTGGTCTCCAACTTGTAGCGAGTCTCCTGCCTTAGCCCCCTGACCAGTGGGATGACAGGAGTGCAACACCACACCCCATTCCTTTTTCTTTTTGATTTGTGGGGGTTCTTCCTAATATTTAATTCCTTATCAGTTTCAGACATCGTCTTGTTTTTTTCCTCTGTGTGTAGGAGACAACTCAGGGTCTCCCATATACTAGACAATCTGGCACCACTGAGCCCCACACCCACGGTTCTTATTCTTGAATCTATCAATCTTGTCCGTGATGCCTTCTGTTGAGAAGACACCCTTAATTTTGAGACAAATTTATCTTTTTAAAAATTGGATACTTTGTAATTTTAAGTTTTGATTTTAAAAATTACCTTCCCACAGCATGTTGGGAGGCTAAGTCAGGAGCATACTGAAGTTGAGACCCATGTAGACAACTTAGCAATTTAATGAGACCCTACTTCAAAATTTAAACAATAAAAACAGAAGAGGGGCAGGAATGTAGCTCAGTGCGAAAGCCCAGGATATAATCCCCAGTACTGAAAAAAGAAAAACAACAAAAACCCAAAACCTTTCCAGCTCTGACCGGCGCAGCTCCAATGAAACAGAAGACAGGAGACGCTTTTGTGGACGACAGTTAACTGCTCGTTTATTTACAAGCGGGCTCTGGTTTATATATTGGCCGTGACCAATCACAGGCTGCCACAAGGAAGCAGGGCGGGAATGGGATGCAGGCTCCGGCTACTATATCCAGCTGTGGTCAATCAGGAGTTGCCACAGAGTATGGAGTGAGCACGAAGTGCACACGGGTTGGCTAATTTAAAGAGGGACATAGCGCATTGTGGAAGCTGGCGTGGTCCTTAGTCCCGGGTGGGGTATGGTATGTTGAGCGCCTGCGCCCAACACAGCTCTACAGTACATATGCCCACCTTCACTTTATCCCTCGAACTCGGAGTCCTTAGGGTTCTCACAAATCATTTTAGAAGCACCTAATGCCGGGTGGGAGACTTATGAATGCCCAGATAGTCCCTTCTGCCTCCCTGTGCAAGCCCGTCCAGGATTAGCTGCGAAGCACGGGCGTGGCCATGTGCCAATAAAGCTTTATTGACACACGCTGGCGGGGGTGGGGATGGGGTAGGCTAGGGAGTGAGCCCCTGTTGGACGCTAACCTCTGACCGGCTTGACACATGGCCGCCTGCCCTCCCCTCCCCACAGGCACCTTCAAGATCCAGAAAACCCGGCTACAGCACGAGGGCTTCGACCCGCGGCAGACCTCCGACCGGCTCTTCTTCTTGGACCTGAAGCAGGGCCACTACCTGCCGCTGGACGAGGCGTTGTACATGCAGATCTGCTCTGGCGCCTCGGCACTCTGACGCGAGCGGCTGATCAGGGCGCACGTGCCCCCCCCCCCCCCGCAGAGCAGCGCACGTGTGTGCCACGCAACGTGGCCGGAGCGCACGTGAACGTGACACCTCGCTGGGGTGGGGGCTCGCGCCTCTTTTGGTACGTTTGTCTGTCTTCTGCCTCCCTGCTTGCTTCTTGTGGGTGGGCGGGCGTGGACCTGACCCGCAGACGCTGGGGCGCCCCCTGATGGTGCGGTGACCCCTGACTCGTGGCTGTGGCCCAGTAATGCGACTGCCTGTCCACCCACTGGGGACTTGGTCCTGCTTGGTTCTGAGAAACCCGCCAGGCCGGGCCACAGGGGCCCAGGGCAGGCACCACGACGACTTCACTCACGCGGGACGGGGCCTGGATGGGCCTGCACCGTCAGACGGGACAGTGTGTGGCTGCGCCAGTGGGCAGGGCCAGTGCATAATGTTCACTGGACACTGCAGGACCTAGGAAGGAGCTAGAGATCCCCGGCACCAAGCTGCAGCCCCAGTCCTTTCTTATTTTTTACTTAGAAACAGTTTCACAGTCATTGGATTTTTCCAGGCTGAGTGTGAGTTTACGCTCCTCTTGCCTCAGCCTCCTAGGTAGCTGGGATCACTGGCCTGAGCCACAGTGTGGGCCAAGTTTCCACCCTCAGTAAGTGAACGCTGAAACCATGAGACACAGCCACCTCGGGACCAAGGGGCCAAGGGATAACATCGCAGTCCTGCAGCTTGGTGGTCCCAGGGGTTGGTGACAGTTAGCCTGTGGACCCGGAAAGCTGCCCTCCCCGTTTCAGGTTTGGTTTTTAAAAAAATGTTGGAATATCTTCACTATATGTGTTTCAGGATTGGGACTCACGTTTAAATGCAAGTTTGTTTACTCCATATTTGGGGACAAGGTCTTACTAAGTTGCACTTACTAAGATCTTACTAAGGCTGCACTTGAATTTGAGGGCTCTCTGCTTCAGCCTCCTGGAGTGCTGAGATTACAGCCCTGTACCATGTACCATGCTCAATTTAGATACAAAATTTATGTTTAAAGAAACACCGCATACACGTAGTCTGAAGATAGTTATATACTGTTTTCAATAGATGTGTCCATAAGTGTGTAATAGTCTACTTGTATCTCCATATCACTGCTTAAAGTTCTGGATTTGGGAGGCCCAGGGTGAGTCTCAGAGAGTATTTGCTTGGATGCATGGGGCCCTAGGTTCAACCCACAACAGATACCTTAAAAATAATGCTCAAGTGTCACATTTGGGGGTATTTTAGGTTTCAGGTTTTTGGATGAGGATGTTCAATGTGTATCACAAAAAACTTAATTTCCCTAAAACTGTCCACTGTTAGGCATGGTGGTAGTCATGGCACTCAGGAGGCTGAGGCAGAAGCCTTGCTGTGAATTCAAGGCCAGCCTGGGCCACAGCATGGGACTCAGTCTCAAAAATACAAATGAAACCCTCATTGCTCACCTATCAGTTCCCATCCCCTGCCACCTGGCTTCCCTGAACCCCAAGCTGTGACTGGTTTCACATTTCCACGCTCCATTCTTGCAGTGACTGCCAGCTTGGTTTCTCTCAGGACGCCATGTGCCCCTGCATTTCCTGTCTCTGCTCAAGGCCACACTGTTTCCAGGTTGTTGGTGCTGGGCTAATGCTCACTGCACAGTCGCACTCAGGCCTGTGAAACCTCCCTTTGTGGTCTGCCCAAAGCTCCCAGATTCAGCCTGAGCTCTTGGGTCATTGGACCCTGGCCCGAGCCCCTCTAGTGGGACAACACCAGCAACAAAGCAGTGCTCACAGGGTGAAAGGACCTGGATTCCATCCCTAGACCATGAAAAATTGAAAAAGCCCAAAGTCTGCATGATGGTCACCACTATTTAACTGTAGAACACTCATCATCCCACACAAACCCCTCAAGCCCAGTGTGGTGGATCATGCCTGTTGCCCCAGGACTTGGGAGGCTGAGGCAGGATGACTGCAAGTTTGAGCCCAGCTTGGGTTACGTAGTGTATTCAAGTCCAGCCTGGGCTTCACAGAAAGCCTGTCTCAAGAAACAACAAAAAACACCCATCACTAGTCATTTTCCTACATCCCCTTACATCATCAACATCCTGTCTCTGTGGATTCCCCGGCACTGAACACTTCATACCACTATGTTACACACCATGTGGCTTTTATACCAGGCTGCTGTCACTGCACTCATGTTGTACTGTGTTGGTGCCTCATTCATTTTCTACCAGCCAGTCAGGCCATATTGTTCATCCACTCATCAGTTGAAAGACAGTTGCTTCTACCTTGGGCTGTTTTACATAACTGCCATGCTGGGCATGGTGGCTCACGCCTGTAATCCCAGCACTCAGGAGGCTGAGGTGGGAGGATCCTTGCGAGTTTGAGACCAGCCTGAGCTACAAGTGAGCTCAAGGCCAGCCTGAACTGCATGGCGAGACGTCTCAAAAAAGGACAATAAATAAATAAACAACTGCCATGAATATCCTCTCAGGGATACACCCACATGTGCAAATGTCGGATCATATAAGTCATTTGAGGAATGGCCACTTTTGCAACATGGCTGCACCATTTAATCTGCCACTAGCTATGTGTGTGGTTCCAGTCCTCCTCATCCTGGCCAGCACTGTGATCACAGCTACCCTCACAGTGTGAAATGGGACATCTCCCTTTCCCGCCTTCTCTAACACTAGAAATGGAGGCCAGGGTCTCATGTATGCTCTGAAAGAGCTACACTCCCAGGTCTATGGTTTTTTAGGATCTTTTAGGTTTTTTTTTTTGCTTTTTATTTATTTTTGTACTGGGGATCAGATTCATGACCTCAAGCTTGCCAAACAGGTGCTTGTGCAGCTGAGCTAAATTCCAGCTTTTTAAGTTTTAATTTGAGAGAATGTCTCAAACTTTCCAGGCTTGTTTCACACACAGGATCCTCTTGCCTCAGCTTTCAGAAGAGCTGAGACTACAGTGCATACCACAACCCTGGATGCTGTCATCATCTCACGCTTTATGATAATTCTTATGTGTCTCTCCTTGACCAGCAGATAGGACATCTTTTTGTGTGTCACTAGCCATTTGCCTATCTTTGTAGGAATACCCATTCAGATACTTTGTCCTTTGAAACTTAGACCATTTTTATTGTTATTAATATATTTTGTATATAGCCAGGTGTGGTGGTACACCCTTGTGATCCAGCACTTGGGAGGTTGAGGCAGGAGGGACGATGTGAGTTCAAAGGCAGCCTCTTGAACTGCATGGTGAGATCCTGTCTTAAATAAACAAACATATATGTGTATTGTGATTACATATATGTGTATTTTGATTACAATTATTGTGATTTATCCACTTTCTTGATAGTCACCTAGGACATAGAAGTCAATTTCAATGAGTCTGGAGTGTTTTTTTTGTTTTGTTTTGTTTTTTGTCTTTTTGAGACAGGGTCTCACTATGCAGTTTAGAGTACCCTTGAGCTCACTTCCTGTTTCAGCCTCCCTAGTGCTGGGCTTACAGGTGTCTGCCACCAAGCCCTGCTTAGTTTATCTTTTGTTGTTTGTCCTTTGGGTGCCTACAAAGGCAGACTAAGCCCGGACAGCGTGGTGTCGTCGGTATAAGGATAGCCATATAGATTAACTATATGTTGATAAAAGGCATAGTGCAAAAAATAGGTGGGCAGTTTGGCGTGGTGGTGCACGTCTGTAACCCGGCACTCAGGAGGCCGAGGGAGAAGGGTCTCCACGAATTTGAGGTCAGCCTGGACTACACAGTGAGCCACACTCCGACTCGAAACAAAAAAATCCCAGAACAATTGAAGCAACACATTGCAACAGACCCAGAATTTCAAAACCCATCAAAATGTGCCGCCCCAGGAAATCTTCCCCAGTTTGCACCGAATTCCAAACTCTGCTTTGAGCTGCCTCGCCTACTCCTCCAAAGGGCTCCAACACAGCGGGTTGAGATGGGCAGGTCCGCCCCACTACCCACCCTTTCAGACTTCACGTGCACGACTGCGCATGTGCGCTGCGGAGCCCGCTCGAACTGCTACAGCCGAAGTGGCGCGGTAGACCTTTGCGCAGGCGCACTTGCGGCCATCGGGAGTGCTTCCGCCTCCCCGCCACCGCCGCCATGGCCGCGCCCGCCGCGGGCCTTATCTCCGTCTTCTCGAGTCCGCAGGAGCTGGGCGCGTCGCTGGCGCAGCTGGTGGTGCAGAGAGCCGCGTGCTGTCTGGATGGGCCCCGCGGCCGCTTCACGCTCGGGCTGTCGGGCGGCAGCCTCGTGTCCATGCTGGCCCGTGACCTACCCGCCGCCGCCGCCGCCGCCGGACCTGCCAGCCTCGCGCGCTGGACTCTGGGCTTCTGCGACGAACGCCTGGTTCCCTTCGAGCACGCCGAGAGCACGTACGGGCTCTACCGGGTGAGAGCTACGGGGGCCGCCGGGGGTCACTACGGGAGTGTCACGCCTACCGCCGGAGCCTCCGCTACGGGGGCCGCTGGGGGTCAGTGGGGCGGCCACGCCCATTACTTGAGCCTTCCTCTTGGGGGTGCTGCGGGTCAGGCCTAGACGGCAACGCCCATGGCTTGGCCTCGCCCCTCCAATTGCGCTGGTCTCTTGTATGGTTTAGCCAGTGGCCGGGCGGAGGGAACAACTGGACTGAGGGCTTGAAGTTACACCAATGCCTCAAGCGGCGGGGTCCGTGTGCCCTTCTCTGGTTCTCTGGCGCCCTGATCCAGTTGTTCCCGCAGAGGCACGCAAGGTTCAATATGCAGCGCTGGCTCGTGGTCACCTGATACTCATTTCTCAGATAGGGAAGCCGAGGCATGGCACGGGGGGGGGGATCATCCTAGTCTGCGAGCAGCCATATGCGAAGCCGGGTTGTGAGGCTGCCTGGCAACTCCCGAGACAGCACTTGTCATACAGCGCATCCGGAGGTTCCACTGACTTCTCTGTGAGGCTGAGGCAGGAGGGTCACAAGTTCTAGCCCTGCCTGGGCAACTTAACAGGATTCTGCCTCGAAATAAAAACAGAACAGGCTGGGGATGGAGCTCAGTGTGTTAGCCTTGGGTTCAGTCCCCAGTGCTGCAAGGGTCAGGGGAGGAAGAAGAAAGAAAAGGGGATGGGGGCCTGGTAGTGCCCAGGGGCGGTTGGGGCGCGTTGGCTACCATACCTAGCCCTGGGAGAAAAGAAAGGCAAAAAAGCGGGATTTTGTTTCTTTGCTTCCATAACTTTTAAAAACCTGCATCTTTTCTAAATTAGAGAACAAAACTTGGGGAAATAATTGCTGACTGCTCAGCGGCTTCTCCTGCCTGCCCCACTGTCCTACGCAGGAGCAGTTGCCGGGGAGAATGAGGACGCAGCAGCCCCACCCCTACCCACCTGCAAGGGAGCCCCAGGAGCGTCCTGGGTGGGCTGAGGCCCTGCTCATGAGCTGGAGGTGGATGGCCCCTGCCCCAGTATCGTGGAGATGCCCCAAGGGTCACTCTGGCACTGGGGCCCGAGCCAGGGTCTGATGTGAGGGTCAGGTGTGGGGACCCCGCAGGTGCTGCTTGTGCTGTACAGGCCCTGCAGCCCCTCTCATGGCCCAGGGGGACCTCGTGATTCTTCTCCACAAGCACCACAAGGCACCAGGATCCCCCACCCGGCCCTGGGGACACCTGGCATCTGCCCACCCCTGAACTTCTTGCGCCAAGGGGCAGCAGCACCAGAGCACAGCAGCCGGATCCCTGGCATCCAGCCCATGAATGGCCTTTCTGTGCCTCAGGCCCCTTCTGTAAGTGGATTCTGTCCGAACTAGTGATGCCATCCTTACTTTGTTACAGACGCACTTGCTGTCCAAACTGCCAGTCCCTGACAGCCAGGTCATCACCATCAATCCCCAGCTGCCTGTGGAGGCGGCAGCGGAGGACTATGCTAAGAAGCTGAGGCAGGTGGGTCTCCAGGAGCAGCAGCATGAGAAACCTGGTCCCTAGAGGGATCATGCTGTGAAGTGATGTCAGCAGCAGAAGCCATCCCTGGTAGCTCAGAGATGTCCCCTTGCCCAACCTCATGAAGAATGGGGGGAGTCTGGCTCCCACTGCTTGGGGACAGTTTTGTCTCTAGTCTCAGGGCCCTGAGCCTGTCATACTCATAAAAGTGGCAACTGAGACTGCAATGGCTGTAATCACTGGGGGGCCAGGGTTTACATTCTGTTACAGCTCTGACTGGCCCCTGGTTTCTATGGCAGTCAGGCCTGGACCCCTTGTCTTATAAAATCCCCAGGTGTATCTGTCATCCTGGCACTCAGGAAGCTGAGACAGGAGGCTCTCAAGTTCAAGTCCAGCCTGGGCAACTTAGGGACTTGGGGAGCCTCAGTCTCACAAAATAAAAGGGCAGGGATGCAGCTCAGTGCGACAGCCCTGGTTCTCCTCCCCATGCTGACCCCCAAGTTCCAGATGCTGGGACCCTGCTGTGAGGAGGTGGCCTGGCTTCTCAGAGCTGGGCTGCCCCCTGCCAGGCCTTCCAGGGAGACTCCATCCCCGTGTTCGACCTGCTGCTCCTGGGCGTGGGCCCCGATGGCCATACCTGCTCGCTCTTCCCAGACCACCCATTGCTGCAGGTGAGGCCCCCACCTGGTGCCTGTCCTGAACGTAGGCCTGGGCTGGGTCAAAGCTGTGTGGGGCACTCTCAGATGCACAGGGACGCATGGTTCAAGCCCTGGTGGGCGCCACAAGAAAAAAAGCAATGGGGAGCCATAGGTAACGAGGCCCACGACTGAGCAAGGCCTGAGCCAGACCCTGAGCTCAGGGCCTTGAGAATAAGAGCCAGCAGAGCTGGGGCTGGGGATTTAGCTCAGTGGCATAAGTGCCTGCCTTCCAAGCATGTGGTCCTGAGTTTGATCCCTAGGACCAATAAAAAGAAAAAAAGCCAGCAGAGCTACAGCACATGTGGAGGCCCTGCACTGAGTCCTTAGTGCCAGAAAAAAATGTAGTGGTGACCATCTGTGCCTGCCTGGCCTTCCTCCCCAGGAGCGAGACAGGATCGTAGCCCCAGTCAGCGACTCCCCGAAGCCCCCCCCGCAGCGGGTGACCCTGACACTCCCTGTGCTGAACGCGGCCAGGACAGTGGTGTTTGTGGTGACTGGGGAGGGCAAGGCTGCTGTGCTGAAGGTAAGGGCCAGGTCCAACCTGGTGCCCATGGGGAGGTCTCAGGGGTATGTGGGGCTCTAGTGCTGTAGCCTGAACCCCAACACTACCCTGGCCCTTCTGGGGTCTGGGAAGACAGCACGTACAGGCAGTTTTTAACATTATTTAAAAAGGCCGGATGCGGTAGTACTGGCCTGGGGGGCTGAAGCAGGAGGATCCCTGTGAGTTCAAGGCCAGATGGGGCCACATAGCTCAATGAGACAGGAATCAGGACCCTGTGGGCCGGGGTCCCACGGCTTGGCCCCACCCCCTTTCCTGCAGCGCATCCTGGAGGACAAGGACTCTGAGCCGCTGCCAGCCGCCCTGGTTCAGCCCCACACTGGGACGCTGTGCTGGCTACTGGACGAGGCGGCTGCACGCCTCCTGTCTGTGCCCTTCGAGAAGCACTCGACGCTGTAGCCTTGGAGGACGCCTTGTGGGCTGGACTGGTACCTGCCCAGGGCTGGGCTCCGAGCTGCCCCTGCCTTTGGAAAAGTCCTGGGCAGCTGCTGGGTATCACCATCCTGGAACCACAGATTAAAGGATGTGGCTGGAACCCGATTCCCTGTTCTTGGTGGTATCTGTTCTTGGGGTGGAGGGTGACACCTTGTGTTGGGGCTGGCACTGCAAGTCAATTATTTGCTGGGAAAAAGGATCATAAACTGAACTGGGTGAGGTGATGCATAACTCTCATCCCTGCTCTTGGGAGGCTGGGGCAGGATGACTCCAGGTTTGAGCCTAGCCCTGACTATGTAGGCCCTACTTCAAAGTAATGTTTTAAAGGGGCAGGGTGCAGCTCAGCAGGGAGTCCCTGCCAGGCACACAGGAAACCCAGGTTCCATCTCCCGATGCTCACACAAACCCCACACCCACAGTCACTGGACTGGGCCACCTCAGCCTGGCTGGGTCCCTTTGAGACCACTTTCTGATGGAGTCCTGTCAGGACCTTGATCCAAGCTCAGACCCAAGGACACGGTAGGGGGCCTGGACCCTGACCCTTGCACACCTCACTGTCCTGGTAGGTGGCCCCTCACACCCATCCCCTGGTCCTAGATTCCTGGCTCTTAGCAGGGGAGTCTCATGGGGCTGTGGGCTCAGCTCACCCTAGAGTTTGGTGGCCGTGGCTGAGTAGGTTGGGTCCCCAAGCTCCAGGCTGAGGAGCCCGAGGTGGAATTGAAACCACCAGGTGCAGCGGCCATATGGCAGCAATGGCAGAACCACAGAAGGGACAGAACCACAGAAGGGACGTTCCCTCCACAAGGGTCCCTGGGGTGCGAGGGGAACTGGGACAGCCTGGGCCAGGCAGGTGGCTGTGAGCCAGGAGCTGCTGATGGGGGCTAGAAAGTAAAGGGTAGGTGGCATGGGCAAGGGTCCCCTGGGAAGGCCCAGAGAGAGACTGCCATGGGCTAGTGACACAGTGCCTGTAATCTTAGAGAGCTGGGTGTTGTGATCACGTCTGTAATCCCAGCACTCTAGGCTGAGGTAAGAGTGTCACCCCAAGTCCAAAGCCACATGAGCTGCATAGCAAGAGCTTGTCTCAAAAAAGCAAAACCAAAAATCCTTTGGGAACCCCAGCTTCTACTGGGGTTCCTGTCTCAGTGTTGCTGTCTCAGTGTTGTGTTGGGGAGAGGATCTGCTCACAATCCACAATGGCTGCTTGTGTTCCATCCATCGTGCCTACATTCCAGTCACTGGAAAAGGCTGAGGAAAAGATTTCCTTGAGGGAAACATCCTAGGACTCATCCTAGACCTTTCCCCCTCACACCTTCCTGTCCACACAGTGTTGCCAGACCCTAGGAGCGGCAAGGGACATAGTGAGATAATCAAGGAAGGTGGCCAGATCCCTCCCATCTACTAGGCCAGCGCCAAACCTGTCTCACTGCCTGGCACCCTTGCTGGGAAGCCTGTGTAACCCCAGGGCAATGTTTCCCCTTTCATTCATTCATTGGACATCCAAGGCAGAGAGAAAAGTCCAGCTGCTCAGGGGCGAAGGATGCTGGGGGCGCTCCCCGAGGCTGGAGTTTCCAGGTGGGGTGCAAAGGTCCCAAGCTGAGGGTTGGGGGTCCTGGAGAAGGAGGTCAGCCTGGGACAACAGAGGTCTGTTTCAGAAGACCCCGACTCAGCCTGGAAGGGGTGGGGGATCCTGGGCCTTAGGCCCTGAGCTATATGCCTAGGTCTATTTTTTATTTCAATTCAGGGTGTTTAGGCTGGGCTTGAACTTTCGATCCTTCTGCCTCAGCCTCCTGGAGCCTTACATCTGAGCCAGAGTGATGGCACCTGCCTGTGATTCTATGCGGAACCAAAGGAGGAGGCTGTCAGGTTGCATCCCAGCCTGGGCAACTTGGCAGCTTAGCAAGACCGTCTCAAAACTTGGAAAATAGAAAGGCGTTTGAGGAGCAGCTCAGTGCAAAGGGCTCCATTCAGCCTCCAGGATGGCATGGAAAAAAAGGGGGGAGGGATTTGTGGGGGCGTGGAGCGCAGCCACAGTCACTTCATAGCGCAGCAGGTGTTGGCTGCTAGTAGGGGGAGCCTAGGGCGGCAGAGGGCGAATCCGGGGGCTCCCTCCCCCTCGAAGGCTGGTCCCTGCACCTGGCGGAGCCCTTCTCTCTCCCACTAGCCCCACCCATTACCCAGGCACCCGGGTGCCCAGCAGAGCTGGAACCGGAGCTTGTGGGTGCAGCAGGATGGGGGCGCAGGCTTCGAGCCCCCTGGACAAGAGGCAGCGTGAGCAGTTGCGGGGTGAGCGGGGCGGGAGGGTGTTCTCTGTGATCCTCCTGCCTCAGCCGTCTGGAGTCCTGGGTTCACAAACCCGCAGGCAGCCTGTGGCTGGATCGGACTCAGGAGCGGTAGAGTCAGAGGCGCTAGGGGAGGCTGGGTCAGTGCGGTGTCCTGGCCCCGGGAGCCCACTGTCTTCATCTGGGTCCCCCAGGCCAGGTGGCCTCGCTGCTGAGCAGCTTCCTGCCGTGCTACCGCGCGCAGCTGGCAACATCCGTGCTGTGGCAGATCTCGCTCGAGCTGCGACCCCAGGAGCCCTCGGAACCCCATCTGAGCCGCAGCAAGGTGGGTGCTGAGTGGGTCAGAGTGGGGACTCCTCTCAGGTGTGCTTCCTGCCCCATTCTCAGCGCCGTGAGGCTGATTCTTCATTCCCAGGGGCCTGCCAGCTACAAATTCCCAGGTCCCCCGACTTGCACCCTGGCCTCTGGGGGCCCAGTCTGATGGGGGAGGACAGGATGGAGCTGATGTTTTGTGGGGATCCTGAGGTTCTCACCCAAGCCACACTAGCTCTGAGCTGCAGGCCCAGCCTCTAAAGAGAACTGTTAGGCTCTAGTGCAGTCTCTAAGTTGCCTGTGCTAGCCTCCAACGACCACTATCCTGCCTCAGCCTCCTGAGTGCTGGGATGAGAGGTGTGTGCCACCATGCCCAGCTCCAAAGAAGTTCTGTGTTGCCATGGGGTCAGAGCCATGAAGGCACCAGTATATCCTTTGAATATTTTAACAGTATTTCCATGAAAAGTCTCCGGCCTGAGAAGGCCACAGAAAACCAGGTAACCAGCACCACAGATGCCACCAGTGTGCCCCAGACTGACCTGGCACCGGCGGGAGTGGGCTTGGAGTGCACCGGGCTGAGCCCAGTGGCCGGTGATGGTGCCAGAGAGTGACAGGTGGGGAGACTCAGGAAGAGGTGGGGGTGACTCCATGACCCTGCATGCTGTGACTAAGCACACCGGGCATCCCAATACTCTGGAGGCTTAGGCAGGAGAATTTTAGGTTCAAGGCGAGCCTGAACAAAAATACAAGGGGTTGGGGGTGCAACTTCGTGTTCAGCACTTGCTTGGCTCTTGGAGGTCCCGAGTCCAAACCTGGCTCCGAAGATGTGGAGGAGGAGTAGGAGGAAGGGGAAAGCTGGGCTAGGAACCCCGGCTGGGTCCCGGGGCACTGAGCCATCCGCCAGCTCTCACGCCCCCTCTCCTTCCCTCTTAGAAGCTGCCCCGGGTGTGCGAGCACCGCGGCCCCCTCCTCCAGCTTCGGGGTCGCCCCCCACGCTGGCAGCTGGCCTTCTGTGTGCTTCGCGGGGATGGCCGCCTGGAGTGGTTTGGCAGCCAGAAGGTGAGGCTGCTTCGCCCCCCTGTTGGTCTCTCGCTGCTGTGATTGTTTAGGGAAACAGACCCGCGCTGTAGGGCGGTCACTCCCTGCTGAGGAGCTTGGAGGTCACCTGCCACCTCCTGGAACTCTGTTCCCCTGACTCTGAAATGGGAGCATAGAGGCAGGTGCACAGGGCGAGGAGGCGCAGTTACCACTCCAGCATTCCGCAGGCTGAGGTAGGGAGGATCTCTGCTTTCAGTTCAGTCTAAGAACTGAGAGCCTGCTTGAAAATCTGCAAAAGCACTAGGGGCCCAGCTGGGCGACGATGCTCATGGGGAAGCCCGAGCTCTGCTGGCTGTGTCACCCTCAACCCTTGCTGTTTGCAGAACTTCGAGGCTGGGCAGCGTCCCCTGGGCACAGTGGCCCTCACGGGCTACGCGCTCCTGACCTCACAGCGAGAGTACCTGCGCTTCCTGGACGTGTTCCGCCCAGACCCCACGGGTGAGGCTCCCAGCACTGCCCTGCTGTGAGCTCAGGTCCTTTGATCCTGCGGCCCCGCCTCCCCCTCTACACCCGGGCTCCTGCACGGAGACTCTGGAGGTCTCCGAGTGTGTGTTAGCACTGTCGTGGGCGGGCCTCCTTCTCTGCCAAGGAAAAACCCAACTGTGGAAAGAGTAAGAAACCACAGGTCCTGAGGAGCCCAGTGCGGTGAGCAAGAGGCAGGAAGGTTGCCATGAGTTCTAGGCCAGCCTGGGCTACAAAGTGAGACCTTGTCTCAAAAAACAAGACAAGGAAAAAAAAATCCATCTCCACCCCTACACGGGTTTTATTTCACTCGGGGTTTATGTCTGATTTTTAGAGCTGGGTGGAAGCCAGGGCCACCCTGGGTTAGGCACACCCCCCCCTTTCAGCTGCCAGTTCCAGATCCAGTCGTGCTGTAAAGTGTCCCTGGTCTGGAACTCCCACCTTCTTGATTCTTGGGCTTTATCACAGACTGAGTGCATTACTCCGAAAATTACAACAAAACACCCACGATTCTGGAGAATCCGCAATAAAAACTCATTTATTTTGTCTTCCTAACAGTCCTAAGTCATCAGTATCACCCTTTGGCTGTTTTATTTGCATTTTTGGTGTTTTGAGCTAGGGTCTCGATTTATAGCTCCGGCTGGCCTCAAACTCCGGGTGACTTTTCTGCCTCAGCCTCCCGAGTGCTGACCCGCAAGCTTGCCCTCAGCGCCCGGCCCCTCTAGCGTTACCGTGCAGCTTCTTTCACAGACAGGGAAACCCTGGCTCAGGGGTCCAGGTCCTGTCCACTGCTAAGGACCTAAGTGGCCCTCAGGGGTGGTTAGCGATCGAATGTGCGGCGGATGTCGAGCCCGCTCGGCCGTCCCCGCAGGCCCCGAGCAACTACTGGAGACGCCAGTGTGCGCCCCGCTCCTGCTGCAGCACCCCTTCCGCCGGCTCCTCTGCTTCTCCGCGCCGTCCGCCGAAGCGCAGCGCGCCTGGAGCCTCGCTCTTCAGGGTGGCATCCGTCTGCGAGGCACAGGTGGGGCTCGGACCTCAGCTTTGCAGACCCTCGGATGGGCTGTGAGGGGAAGGAGGTGGTCACGGAGATTGTCACGTCGGAGTGGTGGTGCAGGGAAGGGTTTCCCGGAAGAAGGGCTGCCGGAGCTGTGGTCAGCTGAGCTGAGACGAGGGAGGGACTGGTGCGCACAGCCAGGCAGGTCGCTGACTGCACGGAGTCCCGACGCGCGGGTCCAAGCGTGCCCGCGCCGCTGGTGGAAGGCGTCCTGACGCTTCCCGAACCGAGCCGTTCGGAGGGTGGAGGGGTCCCACAGGCGTCCGGGCTGAGCCTCCCCTTGCTCAGTCTTGCAGCGCAGCCGGGACCCGGCGGCCCGCGCCTTCCTGGACGCCGTGCGGCTGTACCGGCGGCGCCGGGGTCACTTCGGCGAGGACGACGCGACGCTGGGCTCTGACGCCGAGGTCAGTGCACCCCACCCCGGGCACACACATCCCCAGCCCGGTCCAGCCTGGCACAGCCCCGCCCACCGTGCTGTCTGCAGGTGCTGAGCGCGGTGCTGCTGCAGGAGCTGCTGCCTGCGTGGACGAGGCCCGGGGACGCCGCGGCGGCGCGCGGTCCCGAGACGCAGACCGAGGTAGGGGACCCTCCAGAGCCGCCCGCTCGTCCCGCCTTTCGGCCTCCCCGTCACTCGCTTACCCGCCCTCCACTCTTGCCCGCCGCCAGCTCCTGGACGCCGTCTACTGCGTGGTCCTAGCTGCGGTCTCCGCGGGGCTCCGCACCTTCCAGCCAGAAAAAGATGAGCTGCTTGCGGCGCTGGAGCGGGCGCTACGCCCAGACCTGGAGCACACGCTGCGGCTGCGCATGCGCGCAGCGGGCCGGCAGCAGGGTGAGGGGCGTGGCAGGAGGGCGCGGCCTCGAGGGGAGGGACAAGACCGCGACCTGGGCGTGGCTTGGCTAGGAAGGGGTGGGATCGGTGCAGAGGGTGCTGCTAGTTGTGGGGCGGAATCAGAATGAAGAGGGCTTGGCCTGACCTGAATTGCGGACCGGGGTACAGTGGAGGTGAGGTATGGTAGGGAAGCCCTAGGGCCAGGGTAGGGGGATGTCGGATCGGGAAAGGTGGGACCGGATTGGAGGGACCTGTTTCGGTTACTGAGGAGTGCGTAGAGCAGAGGGTTTGCAGAATGAGTGGTTGGGTGAAGGGGCGTGGCCAGAACGAAGGGGCGTGGTCTTGTCTGGGTGGGTGGGGCCAGTAGTAAGGACGAAAGCTGTCAGGCAAAGGACTTGCTAGGAAGCCAGGTGATGGTAGGAGCCGGGAGCCTTGAGTCTACAGTGCAATATTCTGGAAGAGACGCTGGAGACAGCGGTGTGAGGCCATACGGACCTCAATGGTGAATGAATGTGGCTTAGGTGAAAAGGTCGGGCTGTGACAGGCGTGGTGCCATTTGAAGAGCGTGGCCAGAGAGGAGGGCGTGGCCTGAGTGGAGGCGCGTGGTCATCGGGACTATGAAAGTTGGGGGCAGAAGGCGTGGTTTGACAGGAAGGGCGGGGCCAGGCGGTTTGGAAAGACGCGCGGTAAGGATAGAGAGGGGCCTTATAGTGGAATACAATACTCTGGTTGGTTAATGAAGAGAAGGGTGTGGCCTAATGGGCGAGTGGGCGTGACCTTAAGGCCTCATAAGGCGTAGCCTGGAGGTTAGCAGGGCCGGAGCTGGATCGCTGCTGGTGGCCCAGAGCGGGAAGGGCGAGTTTGCTGAGCCAGGCGGAACCCAGGCGGGGGCATGGACAGGGCAGAGTGGTGCCTACTCCACTCTGCAACCAGACAAGGGCGGATCGCAAGAGACAAACTGTTTCTCACCGGGGCAGTGAGGCAGGCCTGGTGCTGGGACTCTCCTCTTCCTGCCCCGCTGATTCTGGAACCCAGCAGCGTCTCCACCCGCAGCGGACGTCCAGGCTCGGCTGGAGATCTGCCTGCAGCGTAGCGTGGACCCTCAGTTGCCCCACCTCGTGCGGACTCTGCTGAGCACTGTGGAGGCCACGCTGGGCGCTGTGCAAATGCTACTGGTGCAGGGTGTGGACCAAGTGTGCAATTGCCTGCGTGGGAGCCCGAGGGGGGCAAAGCTGCGAGGGGCGGTGCGTGGGCTGAGAGGGGCCGGAGGGAGGCCGCTAGTAGGGGATGGTGGGGGCGGGATCTGGTGGGGGCGGGATTTTGGGCGGGTCTCCAGCAATGGGGAAGGAGAGGGTGTAGCCAGCGGGCGAGGCGAAGTTGGGGGGGCGGGGCAGGACGGGGGGGGGAGGCGGGGGGACCTGGGGGCGGAGCCTGGAGGGCGGGGCGGAGTCGGTGGATGGGGCAGTAGCACTCTGGGCTGGGCCACATGAACCCCAATTCTCCTCCAAGAGCGGGGTTTTGGCTGTCAGCCTCGCTGACGCTCCTCTTCCTCCCTCTGCCCCTGGAGGGCCCTGTTGCCGCTGACGGTGTCTCTCCTTGCTGGCGCGGCTAGGTGCACTCGCTGGGGGAGCTGCCCTGGGACGCCGAGCTCATGCAAGTCTGCTACCGCGAGGCTGAGCGCGGCCGGGGACGCCTGAGGCAGCTAGCTGCTCCGTTCGGCTTCCTGGGGATACAGAGCCTCGTGTTCGGGGCGCAGGACCTTGCCCAGCAGGTGAGGATGGAGGTTATGGCCATAGTCCGTGTAGGAATCGCCACCTGCTAGCGGGGGACCCTGGGACAACCGGACCCGGTCTCCCTTGGACAGGGTCAGTGATGAGGCGGCGACCCCACAGAGCGGCCAGGGCTACGCACGGGCACGGAAGGGGCCTGCTTAGCTCCAGGGGAGGGGACCCCCAGTGCCAATGGGGACAGCAGAAAGAAGAGTGGGCGGAGCTCGTCCTAGGGGGCAAGGAAGCTCTTGGGCATTTGCAGGGCCAGATGCATTGGAGAACTGAGAGGTGGGCGAGGGGCCAATGGGCTCCAGAGAAGAGGCAGCAGAGAAGAGGAGGGGAGCGGGGGATGGGCCTCGGTGGGGAGAATCGAGAAGTGTTCTGAAGCCAAAGACATGACACCTGCTGTACTCGGTGCACGATGGAGACCAGGAGGGATGTGATTTCCCAGGCTGCCTTGAACTGTGGTTCAGTGTGTGCATTGTGTAGCCCTGCCCCTGGGTGTAGGCCAAGCCTGGTGGCACTGTGTGCCTGAATCTCGATACCTGGCACGAGGAGGAGTGGGGGAGCCAGTCAGGCCCGGATGCAGCATGGTCACCTTGGGGCCCTCCCACAGCTCGTGGCCAACGCCGTGGCCACCTTCCTGCAGCTGGCTGACCAGGGCCTGAGCGCCGCCCTGGACCGTGACCAGGCGGCCCAGCAGCTGGAGAAAGTCCGTGGGCGCGTGCTGAAGGTGAAGGGGGGGCCCAGGGCGCGGGGCAGGGGCATGGAGGGGACACGCTGGACAGCATCGCCTGTGTTCCACAGAAACTGTCCGCGGACAGCGCCACTGCGCGGAGCGAGTTCGTGCGGGGCTGGCTGCTGCGGGTGCTGTTACCATTTGTGCTGTGGTGGCTGGAGCCCAGCGGACAAGCGGTGAGGGCCTGGAAGGGGCACTGCGGGCCAGGCGGCCAGCATTTTGTTTTGTTTTGAGATAGGTCCCCTCTACTTAGTTCAGGGTGGGCTTGAACTCATTGTGTGGCCCTGGCTGGCCTTTAACTTGCAGTGAGCTTCCTGCTTCAGCTTCTTGGGTGCTAGGTGGCCCCGTGGACTGGACTCTCTGCTGCAGTCCACATGGTGGGGGTTTTGGTTCGAGTGCATGCGCCATGAAGCACACACAGCCCTGGCTTCCGGTTTCTGCTGGGGAGTCGCATTCATCCCAGCTCCCTGGGGTTGCAGGGCTGAATCTACTCCTGGAGTGGTTGTAGCTCTGCTGCCAGCCTGCCCACCTGTTTCCCACCTGTTTCAGGAACTGCCTGAACTCAAGGGGGACGACCTTGTCACAGGCATCCAGGCTGTGACCACTGCAGGCGTCCTGGAGGACGTCATTCGCGGGGTTCTGCTGCAGAGGATCAACCGAGGTGAGCCCCTTGACAGCTCTTGCCACGCCTGGCTTTCGACCCAGTATCACGACCCAAACAGAGGGTCAGGGTGGTCAGTGATGGAGTCCCTGAAGGAAGGGCATTGCAGTGAGGCTCTGAGAGTTGTGTAGGAATCCTCAGGGTGAGAAAAAGAGACAATTGAAAAACTAGGTACATATTTTCCCATTTGTTCATTCAACTACAGCATGTGATTTTTCTCTGGCTGACCCAGAGGCCCCCAAGAGTACTTGGACTTGAGGTTCACCCCTCAGGAGCTCCAGGCTGGGAAGCAGCTCTGTAGACATTTTTCTTCTTTTCACCTCATCAATTCACTCATGAAGCTGTGGCCACTGAGCCATGTGTGTTCCTGGAGGTGGGGAGAGCAGGCAGTGGCAGTTCAGGGATGTCTCAGTATCTGTGTGACTGGAATGTGAGTCCTTGCACCACAGGCAGAGAAATTTAGACTTCATTACATGGATCATAGGGATCCATAGAGGGAAAGAGAGTGAGATCAGCCAGACCAGGTCCTGGGGACAGAAAAGGTCACCAGCCAGGGCAGCACCAAAAACACAGAACACAGGAGTGGGGTCAGATCAGAGAGGAGGCTCAAAGGGCCGGATTTGAAAGACAGAGGAGACAGGCGGGATGCCAAAGGCCTGAGAACTGAGCTATGTCAGGGTCTCCAGAGTCAGGGAATGAATTCAAAGCTGCATCTTTGGTCTGTGGGTAGCTAGACAAGGAGAAGGAGTTCCTTTAGAGCAACGGAAGTCTTAAATGCAAAAGAGCTATTGTTTGGTGGCAAAATAAACACAGAGATGGGACAGGGAGCTTCTAAGAGGTTGCCTGATCGGTCATCAATTTGTGCTGTCTGTGGGTCAGTGTGGACTCATGGAGCATGGGATTGACTGGCCATGTCTGCCCTGGCATAGCCTGGCAGGGCTGGGGATGGCTTCGCTTCTGCCTCACCTGGGAGAAAGCATGGACTCTATGAGGTCCACCACCCCCAGATGTGTTCAGCAGTTCATCTGTTTCAGAGCTGCAGGAGGCCCTAGGTGCTAGTGATATCACCTGCACTCTGGCTGGGCACTCAGAGCTCCCTTGGGATCCCGAGGCAGCAGAGGAGGACCGACCTGAGGTTGATGGCTTGGAGACACCGATGAGGAGTCGCCAGGACCCATGTGAATGGTACAAGAGTCTTGGGCAGACTTCTTGATGTCCAGATCTTAGAGCTTCAGGCTGGTGGGAGCCCCAGTGCCAATCCAATGGGTTTTGGTCCTGGTCCCACTAATGGCTATGCCATATGGCACCACCCCACAAGCTGACTCTCCAGGTGGGGGCATCTCAGATCAGAAGTGTTTGGGAAAAGCTAGGTGACTTGGCACATACCTAGCATCCCCACAGGTGGGAGGCTGAGGCAGGAAGATCGCAAGTCTCAAGGGCAGCCTAAGCAGCATATCACTTCAGGGGCCTTGTGTCAATTATAAAAAGTGAGAGGAGGAGTTGGGTTCGATCCCCAGAACCCTAAATCACAGCTGTCTGCTGCCTTGGTGCCACCTGGCCCGGCTGTGTGCAAGCAGTGTAGCGTAGCAAGTGTTCTGTGGCCCTGTCAGTTTCTCTCCTGGACACTCACCCATTCCCCTTAAGCCCTCGATGCTAGGTCCCCACACCTTTCTCAACCCTTACACTTCACAGAGTGGGAAACTGAGGCTCAGGTCTAGGATGGCACCGGATGCAGCCACACCACCTCCTCCTCATCCAGGGACATCCACAGCTGTCTGCACTGCGTCCCCTTGACTGCTAGGCTCTGAACCCAGCGACCTGGGCCTTGATCACATTGCTTCCATTTGAGTTGTTGATTAAACTGAACTTGAACTCGCCCCTGGCCATTTCTCTGTGACTTGGAGATTTTTTTAGTGAGCCCACCGTGGCCCTTACCTGCTCTCCTGGAAGGACAGTTTGTCTCTTTCTTGTTGGTAACTGATAACACTGCACACGTTAAGGACAGAAGTGGTTCATGATACAGATTCTTGTTTGCAGTGAGCTTTTTGTTTGCTCTTGCTAGGAAATCTTTCCTTTCCCTTTTTCTTTCTCTGGGTGCTGGGCTGGGTACTTTTTAAAATTTTTGATTCCAGGGCCCCCTCACCCCTCTCCAGTGCCAGGTGAGTGTTCTGACCTGAGATCAAGTTCCGGAGCCCTGGGAGAAGCCCTGGCCATCTGTCCCCTGCCGTGTGGCAGCTCTGCTGTCATGGCTCCTCCAGCTCCTTCCAGACTGGCTTCTGTCCCAGGATGACAATGTCGTCCTGGGCTCCCCCACCCCCAGAAGGAGCAGGTCCTGACACCCAACACCCCAGGCTCCTGCAGTGAACTGCGCTGTCTGAGCTACAGGGGAGACTGTGCTGTCTCTGCCTCCCTGCCTGCTGGCTGCAATACCTTCCTGGTCAGCTATGTTGTTCCTGGGGTCTGAGTCCCTCCTGCAGGGACAGGCACTGTGGGACTCAGGAATACACAGCATGGACTATCCTTCCCTTCGTTGTCTGTACAGTGTCACAGACCCCATCAGAGACCCTGAGGCAGCCTGGGTCACATGCCTTTGTGCAAGGGTCACTGGGGAGAAGACCAGAAGCTGCCAGAAGGAAGAAGAAGTCAGGGTGTTCCTGTCCTGTGACCCCAGCTGAACATCATTCTGACAGTTAAATTTTATTTATTTATTTATTTATTTATTTATTTATTTATTGTCTTTTTGAAAGAGGGTTTCATTGTGCAGTTCAGGCTGGCCTTGAATTTACTTTGTAGCCCACGCTGGCTTTGAACTTGAAGTGATCCTACTGCCTCAGCTTCCGAGTACTGAGATTACAGGCGTGCACCACTTCGCCAGCTATTAATAGTTGAATTTTAATCTTTTTTTTGGTACCGGGCATCAAACTCTGCCTTGGGCATGCCACGCAGGTGCTTATACTGCTGAGCTAAATCACCATCCTTAATAGTTGAATTGTAGGAACCACACAAACACCGTCCGTGGGAAGGGGTGGTGTGTGCTATGCTCCCAGAACTCTGGGAGGCTGAAGCAGATAGGTCACCAGTGCAAGCCGAGCATGGGGAAGTTTATGATTTAGACCCAATCTGAAATAAAAAAACAAAAATCAAAAACGGGCTGGGGTGCTAGGGCTTAAGGCTCAACAATCCCTAAATCGGAGCAACTGAGGCACGGATTTCTTGGGTCTTCACTGGCTGGGTCTTCCGGTGGCACAGGTTGGGCCTCAACTACAAGGAAGTGGAAAGAGACCGATAGCAGAAGTCTGGGCGTCTGGGGCGGAGTTCAGAGCCAGGTCCAAGACCTCCGGATCTCTGTGCCTTTAAGGCTGTAGGGTGGGCGGGACGTCGGGAGGCGGCCTGAGCCCAGAGAGGGTAGTGCGGTCGGAGGGAAGCAGCGCCGTGGGACCTTAAGGCAGTCCTGGGGCGGGGCCTACGAGGCAAGGTTGATGATGGGCCGCTCGCGCTCTTCCCCTTTAAGGCGCGCGCCGCGGGGCGGGGCCTACGTACAGCTGACCCTTCAAGGCGCGGCTCGCGTCCGCCAACGGGAGGCGGCTTAAAGGCGACGCGTGGCGCGATGGCGGCGGCCCCACGCGCGAGTCGGCGGCGCGGGCGGCCGCTGCCGGGTGCGGTGCCGCCTCTGCTGCTGCTGTTGCTGCTGCTGGCGCTACCCCCAGGGGCTCCTCCGGGCGCCGCCGCCTACTTCCCCGAGGAGCGCTGGAGCCCCGAGTCCCCGCTACAGGCGCCGCGAGTGCTCATCGCGCTGCTGGCGCGGAACGCGGCCCACGCGCTGCCCGCCACGCTGGGCGCCCTGGAGCGGCTGCACCACCCGCGGGAGCGCACCGCGCTGTGGTGAGCAGGGCGGCGGGCGCCACCCCGCTCGGCCCGGCTCTGTGGTCCCGCGGCCCGCCTGCTGCCCTGGCTCCCTGCCTGCGGCCCGCTGGCCCTGGGGGTCCTGGGATGTGCCTGGCTGGGTCCGAGGGGCTGGCGGGGCGCCCAGGAGGCCTGCTGCCTCAGTTTCCCCAGCGGCAGTGGGGTTAGGAACCCGTGCTGGTAGCAGAGCTCTCCTTTGCGAGCCTCGCTGTGGCGGCTACGGCCGCTTAGTTTCCCCCGGAGTAGGAGGAGCTGCGGGCTCGCGGTCCCCTCCCCAGAGCCCCGTTTGGGGACAGAGCACTGGCTGGTGCCGGCATTGCCTGAGGGGTGGATGCGAATGTAGAGCCGGGGTCTCGGGAGTAGACGGTGGGACGGGGTCCTTAGGCTGCTGATTGGGGGTGCGCTTAGAAGGCTGAGGCAGGAGGGCCGCAAGGTGGATCCTGGTCTAAAGGTTACAGGGTTAGGCTGTGGCCCTGTGAGTGCCAGAAACCCAGGCCCAGGGTCCACACGCAGGGTCCCCAGGGACTGGGTGACGCCTAGCCTGCATGAGGCGGCCCTAAAGTACCTTGTTTAATACCTTCTACCGGGCGAGGGACCCGGTGGAGAAACCGAGGCACAGCCGGGTGGGGGGGAGGGGGGTCTTGTCCAGGACAGGGAGCCCAGGCATCCTTGCTGGTGCCAGATCCTGCCTCAGTTTCCCTCAGATACAGCTACTGCCTTCCCCCGCAGGGTGGCCACGGACCACAATGCAGACAACACATCGGCTGTGCTTCGTGAGTGGCTGGTGGCAGTGAAGGGCCTGTACCACTCCGTAGAGTGGCGCCCAGCAGAGGAGCCCAGGTGAGACCAGTGTCCTGACTGCTGCCTGCTCCCCTCTGCCGGGGCTGAGTGGGACTCTACCCTGGATTGGCCCTGGCCCTGGACCTGCTGGGCAGCTGCCTGCCCCTTAGATGCTGCCTCTGTGTTATCTCTATTCCCCTTGCTTAGCTTTCTATGCGCCCTGGGGTCTTGCTGTGCAGCCCAGGCTGGCCTGGGGCTGATGGGCTCCAGACTCCTATCTCAGCCTCCCCAGTGGCTGGGAAGGCAGGTGTGAGCCATCTGGCTCCATTTAGGGTTTATTCATTGGTTTACCCTTTTTATTGATATGGGAAATCGAACGCATGCCTTTGCGCTTGCCAGGCAGGTACTGTGCCACTGAGCTTTGTTCCCAGCTTGGATATATTTACTAGTTCATTTTCTTTGTGCTGAGGCTCAGCAGCATCCTGCCCGGTCAGCCCCTCCTGCATGCACTGAGCCACATTTGGGGCAGGCTGAGTCTGGAGCCAGGCTGGCACCAAGGGTCATGCTGGTCTCTGCAGGTCCTATCCGGACGAGGAGGGCCCCAAGCACTGGTCTGACACCCGCTATGAGCATGTTATGAAGCTGCGGCAGGCGGCCCTGAAGGCTGCTCGGGACATGTGGGCTGACTACATCCTGGTGAGACCTGCCTGCCTGTCTGCCCATGAAGGCATTGCCACCAGACCCAACCTGACCTGACCCAACCCATGCACTAGCCCTGAGAATTGGCCCAGCCCTTCTCTGTGAGACCAAGTCTCACTAAGTTGCCCAGGCTGAGCTCACATTGGTGACCTTCCTGCCTCAGCTCTTTCTGAGCAGCCAGGTAGCAGGCACGTGTTAGTAGCCTGGCAGAAGCACAGCTCGTCATCAGGGGTGAGTGGGAAGTGGGGTACAGCGGCACAGGCCTGTGGTCCTAGTGCTCAGCAGGCTGAGGCAGGAGGATTCCATGTCCCATGCCAGGGTGGGCAGCTGCATGAGGTTCTGGGGAAATGGACGAGCGAGCAGGCCCCGTGGCTCCATGGTTTCTGCAGCTGGGCACTCGGGCTGTGTCTGCTTTCTTCACCATCTGCAGTTCCATGTGACTTCGGGTGCCCTGTGGTAACATACTTTAGACCACTTCCGAGAAGCCAGGAGGGAGGCCAGGGGCTGGGATGACCTGGGTAACTTCCACTTCTTCATCTCTGGCCAGCAGTTCCCGCTGAGGGAATAAAGCAGTAGAATTGTGTTATTTCAATATTTTTCCTTTCTTGAGACAGAATCTCACTTGGTAGCTGAGTTGCCTGGGCTGGGCTTGAGCATGTAACTCTCCTGCCTCAGCCTCCCAGGGTGCTGACATGTGATTCTTAGTAGTGAGGATGGTATGGAGAGGGCAGAGGGGTGAAATGTTAGGTGCTTGTGGGAAGGACCAACCTGTCTCCTGGGAGGAGGACTGAATGGGTCCTCTCGGAGCCCTGTTACTTTTATCAGACTGTTTTATGGGTGAGAAAACAGAAGCAAACATGACCCAGACATAGGAATGGGCCAATGCCTCCTGGAATTTCTGGCATCTTCTAGAACCTTCCAGTATCTTCTGGAACCTGTTGGAACTTTCCAGCATTTTCCAGAACCTTCTGACACAGAGCTGCTGTGTTCTGCTTCTCTGGGTTTTGTTCTTGTGGTAGGAAGTTGGCTGGCTTTCACATGAAACTGGGTGGAACTCAACATGCTGACCCAAAGTCAAAGCAGCTTTTGATACAGAATTGTATTTGTGTCCTAGGAGCCTAGCAGGACCATGGTAAAGTGTGAAATGGTTTGTCTGCTTTGTTGAAAATTATTAAAAACCAGGATCTCTTTTTCTCTGTTTTTTAAAAAAGTTATGAATGTCAGTGGCCTGAAAAACTGTAACAGTAAGAGAGCACATCCTTAATCTCACTTCAGATTTGTAGTGGTACATCATCTAATTGAGGAGCAATTTCTGAAACATGAAATTAAGCACTTCAGAGCTGCAATTTAGGACATGGAGTGCTCAATTCAGGACTGTGCAGTGGTCAACTCTGTCCTGTTCCCCACAAAGGTCTCCTGTCTGCCCACAATGCGTGCCGGTGTCACCTGGATGGGAGCTGCTTGTGCCTGGCTGCTGTCCCTTGTGTCATATTTTTCTTTTTTTTCCCTTTCCTTTCCTTTCCTTTTCTCTTTTTTGGTTTTTTTGAGACAGGGTTTTGCAGTGTAGCTCATCATGATCCTCCTACCTCAGCCTCCTAAGTGCTGGGATTGTAGACTTGCATCCCCAAGTTTCATGCATAGTGTAGTGTGTATCTGTGTCTCATTCCTTTTCATGACTGAGTAATATTCTGTGGTGTGGACAGACCCTGTGGTGACCTTCTCCACTGTCTGGCTGTTGGGAATGGTGCTGCCTGTGAGAGTTCCTGTGTTAAGTCTGAGCCCTGAGCTCTCCTGGGTTTGTTTCCAGAGTAGAGCTGCAGGGTTGAGTGGTGGTGGCTTCGCTGTCTGGGCCTCTAAGCTACCCTGCAGTCCACGCTGCCTGTGAGGTCAGGTCAGCAGTCCGTGTGTGTGGTGGCAGGTTGGGGTGCAGTGCTGGCATGCAGCTGGTCCCCAGCCGCCCCTGTCCCCGCATGGCTGCCAGGCTGGAGTTGGACCTTTAGAAGTCGAACATGGCTGTGGATCCAGCTGTGCTAAACAGCTGTGGGCAGCAGGGGCAGATTGTGCTGTGTCCACAGCCAGCCTAGTGCGGTGGCAACCTGGAGGCGTCCCGCTGGGCTCTGGATCTTCGAGTCGAGCAGTGAGGTGTTCAGGGAAGGAATCCAGCTCCACACCTCAGAGCCCTGAGGGGAGTTTGCGTGTTTCTGTTCTGTGCATGAGGTGGGGCTCGGGGTGCGGAGTTGCGACTGTGGTGCCAGGCAGATGCTGGTACTGCCTGCATGGTGTCTGGGATCTGAAGCGCTGCTCGCCTAGGGGCGCGGGTGGGTGGGCTGGGCCTCGGGGACTTTGAGCTCTGCCCCACTGATGCGTGGCCCCCACAGTTTGTGGATGCTGACAACCTCCTGGTGAACCCAGACACCCTGCGCTTGCTCATTGCCGAGAACAAGACTGTGGTGGCGCCCATGCTGGACTCGAGAGCCGCCTACTCCAACTTCTGGTGTGGGATGACGTCCCAGGTAGGGCATTTCAGGGTGCAGGTGGTGGCACCTGGGGCTCTCCCCGGCCAGGCAGGTGCTTGCCCCTGCATCTTGCTAAGTCAGGAAGTTTCCCAGGCAAGATTGAGATCCTCAACTTGAGATCCTCCTGCCTCAGCCTCCTGACTGCTGGGTGACAGGTGTGAGACACCCTACTGGGTGGTCCCCACTGTTGGATGGCCTCAGTTTGGCCTCCTCACTGAGCACTGCCCCTGTCCCCCAAGGGCTACTACAAACGCACGCCGGCCTACATCCCCATCCGCAAGCGAGAGCGCCGAGGCTGCTTTGCGGTGCCCATGGTACATTCCACCTTCCTGCTGGACCTGCGCAAGGCGGCGTCCCGGAGCCTGGCCTTTTACCCGCCGCACCCCGACTACACGTGGGCCTTCGACGACATCATCGTCTTTGCCTTCTCGTGCAAGCAGGCGGGTAAGCATGGGCTGCAGGTGCTGGGACCGTGGTGCACAGTCTCATGAGGGCTCTGTGGGCTGGGCTTGGGGGGAGTGGGTGAGCCCTGAACTGCTCTGGCCAAAGCCGTGCCTGGGCCTGCGGGAACTGTGTGCAGAAGCCCAGACACGCAGAAGGTGTGCATGATGGGGGCCCCAGGGATTCCCATGGGCCCCAAACCTGTCTTCCCTGTGCCTGGGAGGCTGAGGCAGGATGATCCAGAGTTCAGCCCAGTTTGGTCATTTAGCAACTGAACAAGATTCTGTCTCTGAGTAAAAAATAGAAAGGGCCAGGTGTGGGACTCAGTGGAAACACCCTGCGTTCTACCCCAGTGCTGAAAAGAAGGTGCTGGGCTCTGTGTATTCTTGATTTTCCTCCACAAGCATACTTCTTTGTTTTTTTTGTTTTATGAGACAGGGTTTCACTATGCAGTTCAGGTTGGCCTTGAGCTCTGTCTGTAGCCCAAGTTAGCCTTCAACTCAGGGCAATCTTCCTGCCTCAGCCTCCCAAATCCTGGGATTACATCTGGCCCTCCATGTGTGCTTATAATAAAGATTTGTAAATTAGGTTTGGCAAGAAATTAACAAACGCTAGTGCTAAGATGGAACAAGTATAACAGTGTGTATTAATAAGAAATATGTCAAAGGTAGGAACTGGTGACTTCTGAAACTTTCCATGTCCTGTTTCTGGAGTCCTGTGGACAGCAGCCCGAGGGTGGGATGGGCGGTGCTGGGGAAGGAGCCCCTAAATGGGGTGGCCTGGTATGTTCTCAGACAGCTGTGAAGAAGCAGAGGAAAAGCCCAGGGCCCTCTGAGGAAGGATGGTACACAGTGTATCTGCTGTTTAAATGTCAGCTCCCAGCAGGGCAGCTCATACCTGCAGTTCTCACTCCTTTCAAAAACAAAAACCAACCCAAAGAAGGCACTGACTGATACAAATGGGAGGAGTCCATGGGAGGACATATGCAGAGGTGGCAGTGTGTCCAGCCTCCATCCCCTGGGGTCACTCGTTTTGGGGTCAAGTCATCTGTTACCCCAGGGTTGAGTGTTGGTTTTGCTCTTTGTTTAAAATTTATTTGGAACGAAGTCAGGCCTCTGCACTGAGGCGCAGCCCCAGGCCTTCTTAGTTTTGAGGCGCTCAGGCTGGGCTTGCTAGGGAGACCTTCCTGCCTCAGCCTCCCAGGTGCCCCACTGTGGCTTGACCCATCCCTCTTGTCGCCTGGAACTTCTCCCTCCCCCACAGAGGTGCAGATGTATGTGTGCAATAAGGAGGTGTATGGCTTCCTGCCGGTGCCGCTGAGGGAGCACAGCTCGATGCAGGACGAAGCCGAGAGCTTCCTACACACCCAGCTGGAGGTGATGGGTGAGTCTGACGCCCAGCGGTGGGGGACTGTCCAGGGGCGGCTGCCCTGCTGTGGCATGTGGCAGACACCCCGGGCTGCCTGGCTCTTCCGCGTACGGCTCCCTCTGGTGGCTTCTGGTGTAACTGCGCCTGCCCTGGCTCTGGAGGGCGCAGTCTCTGCTGTCCTCTCTGTCACCTAACCCTAATCCTGACCCAAATCCATAAACCCTAACCCTAGCCCAACCCAAGCCGAACCCCCAGCTGGACGGTTATGAACGGTGACAGGAGACCCAGAGTATCACTGCATCTGCCACAGGGCACCTTTTTTTTTTGAGACAGGGTCTTGCTGTGTACTCGGCAATCCTGCTGCCTCAGCGTCCCAAGTGTTGGAGCGACAGGTGTGCTGGCACACGTCCAGCCTATTGCTGTTATTTCTGATAAGAAAATGATTCATGTTGCTGTTAAGAGTGGGTGTGGTGGCGCACACATGTCACTCCAGAAGGCCCTGCAAGGAAGGGGCAGCTCTAGGCCTCCCAGCAGGCCCACTCCCTGCTCTCCTGCCTCTCTGGCCTGGGGAAAAGCAGGGCCAGCAGCAGCCCTGTATGTGCCCAGCATGTGTAAAGGTCCTGGGGTAACAGTACGTGGGTGGGGCTAGCAGATAGGTGGTGGGCAAGCAGGGAGGAGCTCAGCACTGGGGTGAGGTCTGGTTGTGGGGTGCCCAGAAGGGTCCAGCCAGGAGCCTGGCTTCTCTACCTGCAGTGAAGCATCCGCCTGTGGAGACCTCGAGATTCATTGCAACGCCCACCAGGACACCCGACAAGATGGGCTTTGATGAGGTGGGTGGTGCTGTGGCATACAGTGGGCCGGGCCGGGCCTGGGTGGGGTAGAGTGGGGTGGAGTGGGGAGCCAGGGCCCAACGAGCTCTGCCCAGGTCTTCATGATCAACCTGAGGCGGCGCCAGGACCGGCGGGAGCGCATGCTGCGTGCGCTGCAGGAGCAGGAGATCGAGGCGCGGCTGGTGGAGGCCGTGGATGGCAAGTGAGTGGTGTGGGTGGGCAGGGCCTAGAGCTGGACCTGGGCTGGGGCTGGACCGACACGGCTCACCCCCTCTTGGCCTCCCCCACCCTGTCCGCCCGCAGAGCCATGAACAGCAGCCAGGTGGAGGCGCTGGGCATCCGCATGCTGCCCGGCTACCGCGACCCCTACCACGGGCGGCCACTCACCAAGGGGGAGCTGGGCTGCTTCCTGAGCCACTTTCACATCTGGACTGAGGTGGGCGCCTCAGGGGAAAGGAGGGGGGGCGGGGCTGCCACCCTTGGGGTGGTGGGAGCCTGGCCTCAGGAATTGGGGCTCCTATCCATGCAGATTGCAGAGCAGGGGCTGCAGAAGTCACTGGTATTTGAGGATGACCTGCGCTTTGAGATCTTCTTCAAGCGTCGCCTGATGAACCTCATGGAGGATGTAGAGCGAGAGGGGCTCGATTGGGACCTCATGTGCGTCTGCGTGACCAGGGCGGGGCCTGTGATGGGCATAACCAATGGGGCTGGGACTCGCTGTGGGTGTGGCCTTGGGGGGGCGTGTCTGGGGTTGGTCGGTGGGCGTGGCCTACTCAGGTGTAGGCTGGGAATACCAGAAGGGAGGAACCTGTTGGGTATATATAGCCTGGTCAGGGGGTTTGGCTGATGGGACCTGGGCTTCTGTGGGCGTGGCCAGGTGTTGTCCTGAGGGTGTGGCCAGGGATGGGGCATGCGCAGAGCTAGGGGGTGGTTTCCGAGTCCCTTAGTCCAGAGAGGGGCCTGATCTGAGGCCCAAGTCTCAGCCGCGGGGGTGCTGGATTCCGAGGCCTCTCTTTGCAGTGGCTGGCTCATGCTGCCTCCTCCTCTTCCCCTCTCCCAGCATGTGAGGGGCCCCAGCCCAGTCACTGCCCACTTTTATTTCGAGGCACCTTGCGTGCCGTAGAGCAGCTCTAGCCCCACCCGTGGACCTGCTCTGTCCAGCTCTGACGTGTTGCACAGCTCCCCCATACCCTAGGGAAGGACCCCTGTCCCCCGTGTGTCCCGGGAGCTCGGCCCTACTTCACCTAGTCCATGTCCTCATTGCCCCCAGACGTGCGGAACCTGACGCCGTCTGAGGGCAGATGGGGCCCCGGGCCCTGCGCTTTCTGGGAGACTCTGAGGGCGCAGAAAACGTGATGGATCCTGGTTCTGCTCCCAGCTACGTGGGCCGTAAGCGCATGCAGGTGGAGCACCCCGAGAAGGCTGTGCCGCGCGTGCGGAACCTGGTGGAGGCGGACTACTCCTACTGGACGCTGGCCTATGTCATCTCGCTGCAGGGCGCGCGCAAGCTGCTGGCTGCCCAGCCGCTGGCTAAGATGCTGCCGGTGGACGAGTTCCTGCCGGTCATGTTTGACAAGCACCCTGTGTAAGCGGCCAGGTGTCCTGCTCCTTCCGGGGTGGGCATGGGGCTTGGAGGGGGAGTCACCCAAGAGTACGTGGCCTGGCCCTGCACCCACAGCCGCTCCTCTCCCCCAGGTCCGAGTATAAGGCCTACTTCTCCCCCCGAAACCTGCGTGCCTTCTCTGTGGAGCCACTGCTTGTTTACCCCACACATTACACGGGGGATGACGGCTACGTGAGTGACACCGAGACCTCGGTCGTGTGGGACAATGAGCACGTGAAGACCGACTGGGACCGCGCCAAGTCGCAGAAGATGCGGCAGCAGCAGGCGCTGAGCCGTGAAGCCAAGAACTCGGACGTGCTACAGTCCGCGCTGGACCGCGCCGCGCGTGATGAGCTCTGAGGCCTGCTCCCCACGAGCATCCTACCAGCCCCTACTCTGGGGTCGTGGTCATGGTCATGGACTGGAGCTTCGAGTCCTTTGCCCGGGGAACGATCGTGTCATGAAGCACTTTCGGATCGGGTGAGCAGCAGGCCTTGGGACCGTGCCATTCTGGTTAAAATCTACCGCGTATTTATTGAGTGCTGCATGGGGCACCGTTCTGGGCTCTGGGAAGGCGAAATCGGACGCTGTCATTTGCTTATTGAGACCGACTGTGTGTCTGTTGTGTGGCCGGTGCTGTGACAGATCGGCTCTTCATGTGGTGTCCGCTGTGGGTGGGGGCGGGCTGGGTGCTTTGCTCACCCCCATGGGCCGGGCCAGGCCAGGCTCACAGCGTTGCCCCAGCTCTCAGCCTCGTCCTTGTGCACCCAGTGCCCCATCTGGAGGGAGCACACTGGGTAACTGTCCATGGCAGAGACGTGGTCTGGCTCGGCCACTGTGGGCTCTGGGCTCAGTGCAGGCTGCAGCCAGGATGGGTCTCCATGGCCTGCGTCCCTCCCGTTCCACATGCCCGGCTCTGCATCTCAGGGGTGGTCTCTGCCTTTTGGCAGGGTCCCATTGCAGCCCTTATGGGGCTGCGTGTGGAGCCAGGCTGGGTCCCCCTGAGCTGGGCGAGGCTGCTGTGCCTCCTGGGAGGTTGTATGTCAGGGTGTGTAGAACATGGTCCCAAGCTGTGGGGACTAGCTTATTTTTGTATTAAATGGTCCTGGTTGATTTTCACTTAAGTCTGAGTAGTTTGATTCCTCCCCCATCCCAATCCTCAGTGCACAGTCTAGGCTGGTGAGGGCCTGGGCTGTGCTTGCCATCCAGCTGCCCAGACGGCTGAGCAGAGCCCAGCCTGGGCAACTGACAAGATTCCCTCGATGAATGGAAAACCAAAAGGGCTGGGGTCCCAGCTCAGTGAAGAGACCCCGGAAGGAGCGAAAAGCCTGAGGCATTGCTGCTTTGGGCTTCAGAAACTCACAGTCAGGACAGGATCATGCCAAGGAAGGAAGGTGAGGCCAAGTGGCTCGGTCCCCAGCAGCACCCAGGCTACAGCTTTGTGTGGGGAACCCCAGAGTGTCTCGGAGGGAGGAGGCTGAGCCAGAAGTACAGTGCCTTTGACTTCAGTCCCCCTGGGCTGTGATGGAGACTGTGCCACACAGGCACCTTTGCGTTTTCTGCATCCAACTCTGGCTTCTAGGGTAGTTAAGCCCTTGTGTCTGGGGACAAAGCTATGTGGGGTGATAGGCGTGAACAAGGGGGAGCATGAACTAAGTAAACCCACATTGCTACAGGGACCCCCATGTGCTTGGTGACAGGATTGCCCGCTGGAGGGTGCCAGGGTCCTGGGAATCCGTTTTAGGGCTTCCCCTGTGGCCAACAAGGTCTCTGCAGTGGGGGAGGATCTACTCAGAACCGTCACTCACGTCTTTAAATCATCTCTAAATGGCTGAGGGACCAAGTAAAAGCAGGTGTGTGTGTGTGTGTGTGTGTGTGTGTGTGCGCGCGCGCATGTGTACATATGCACGTCTGTGATCCCAGCGCTCTGAGAGCCCACAGCAGGGAAACTTCAAGTGTGAGTTCAGCCCAGGCAACAGTGATGCTCTCAAAGCAAAACATAAAAAGGGCTGTAAGCCCTGCTAGTGCAGAGGCCCGGGGTTCAGGAGTGCCCGATGCCATGAACAGAACAAAACCCCCCCCATGGGAGATTTTCTCCAATTGTTTTCCTCCTGAAACACTCCAGTTGCTGAGTGCATGGATGAGGAGTGCTGGCCGAGCACATTGTAGGAAGAAGGTGTCATGTTGGGGTGCAGCTCAGTAGTAAGCCCCGTCTCCCCTGCACAGTGCCATCCCTTGCACTGGAACTAAAACAGCTCAGTTCTGTGTTTAGGCCAAAGGTGCCTGGCAGCGTGGTGCCTTGATGCTGAATTGTACTTGGCCAACTCCAGTCTTCTTCATCTTTATCTCAGTGCTGGGAAATGAACCTTGTCCCTTTCCACTGAGCCACATTCCCAGCCCTATTAAAAATCCTTCACTTTGAGGCTCAGTCTCCAAGTTGCCCAGGCTGGGCTTGGATGTGCCTCTGCCTCCCAGAGTGCTGGGATTGCCGGCATACATGGCCTCATTGGCTGGTCCTTCTCCCGTTCCCAGGAGCCACAGCTCCCAAGTTCCTGGCACAGGAGCAGCCCCAAGCCAGCTGTCCAGGAGAGCGCGCCCATCCGCAGAGCCAGCCTTTCAGAGCATACCAGGCTTCCCACAGGCTCTGGAACACCCACTAGCCATCTCCTCCCCTGCCTGCTGGCACAGCACAGGGGCAGAGCGCCAGGAGGACACCATCCCTTGGGCCACCTGAACACCTTCGGAGGTCTGGGTGCAGGCTGTCCCCAGTCTTGGGGCCGCTGGGACAGCTGGCTGTGCAGCCTCCAATGCAAAGGGCCAGGGTAGGGCTGGGGCCACATCATCTGCACCCATTCTTTCACATTGTCATACATGTGAGAGGTGCCATATGATCACTGTAACCATCACATGTGATGTTGATTGCTGGGCAATCCTCATGCAGTGTCTGTAAGGAGATGCCATGCATAGCTTGCCCACTGCCTCGCCTGAGGTCAGGCATTGCCTCTGGCCTGCCTGAGGGCTTTCGTTGTTTCCAGCTAGTGTCTCTCTGTGTAGCCCAGGCTGGCCTCATACTCACAGTGATTGGCCTGCCTCAGCCTCCCAAGTGCTGGGGTGAAGGCATCTGCTCTACATCAAACCCTGGACTCTCAAAGGTCACCAGACACCTGAGACACTGTGCTTTTTTTGTTTTTTTTTTTAATGTCTGCTGTTAATAAAATATTTTTACAGAGACCAAAAAGTCAGAGTAGTGCAAAACATCTCAACACCATGCATTCATGAGCACTTGTCATTTGCTGAACTTGGGTCCCAAGTTGAGTATTTATAGGGAGCAAGTGAGTGTGTGTCTGGGGACGCTGGACCCACAAGGTATCAAGAGAAGAAAAACACAGAGTCAGAGGATTGCAGACACGCATGGACGATCACATGCGGGCGGGTGAGGATGAGGGCGGCCATTGCCGCAACTGCAGAGCGGGGTCTCACTGGACACTCAATTTGATTTCTCTTAAAAAAGGAAAAGGCGAAGAGAAAAGCGACAGCTGTCAGCGAAGACGACTTTGGTCCTTAACGATTCTTAGGAAAGGCCGTGCCCCTTGCCTCGGCCCCCTGGGTGCGGATGGACACACAGGGAAAGTGCAGGCCAAGCCCAGCCCAGAGGGCCTGAGGCCTTCGGGTGGGGGTTGAGTTTTTTGCGTGTCTGATGGGGAGGGGACTCAGTCTGGGCCGGGAACTGGGGTGCAGCTGGCACCTCCCGATTGTGTGCGGCTCTGCCAAGGGCAGGTTGGGGCAACAGGAGCTCGGTGTCCTCCCAGGACTCTCCTGCATCAGCCTCTCCTTGGACATCTCCACCCATACAGCTTTCCTGTCTCTCCCCTTGGTCTCTGTTCATCTTGGGAGTGGGGCGCAGGCTCTGTCCCTTGTGTCCACCCACATCAACCTTCTTCCCTGCCTCCCTCATACCTTCTCATCCTCTCTCTAACCCCAGGAGGTCCGAGCCCACCTCCTAGCATGTCAAACCTCCAAACAAAGCAGGGCCTAGAGCCACTGCACCAGCCTGGGCGGGCGAGCATCCCTCGGAGTTCTGGGCCAGGCCCTTCCCCTTCCCAGAACACAGTTGCAATCTATTGCCTCCCTGGGCCTTTGCACCCCACTGTGCCCTGGGGCTCAAGTGCCTCCGCCTGATGCTCAGTTTGTGGGAGCCCAGGCAGGACAGTGTACACCCTCCCAGCATCCTGAGGCCTTGGCTGCATGCTAAGAGAAGCACCCCACACCTGCTTTCCCAGTCTTTCAGCATCAGGGTTGGGAGGGACACAGAGATGGTCCTGCACAGAAAGGGACTTTTGCAATGAGTTTTGGAGGATGAATAGGAGTTCTCTGGATAAAGAAAAGGGGAAGGAAATTTCAAAAGCAGTTCTAACCTGGGTGTCAGAAAAATTCATACAACACCCCTGAATTTCGCTACAGAAGCCCTCACTGGTTCTGGGGAAACACGCTAACGTGTGTTCTCGGAGGACTTAAGCCAAAAGACTCCTATAGAATCTCTGATAATTCTCGATTTTCCCAGCAGCTCAGCTCCCAGTCATCCTCCAGTCCCCGAGTTCCTGCCCCCCAACACCCCCAGCCCTGTGCGGCCTGGATTTCAAACCTCCCACTCCCTCCTGGTGATGGAGGCTCCAGGTCCCCTACCGACCACCATCACCAATGGGGCCTGGATCCCACAGGCAACAGAACTGGCACCCTGCCCTTTGGGTCAGCACAGCCCCCTCAGGCGGACACACACAGGGGCATTTCTTCCAGATGTTTGCCACAAGCGCGGGGAAGCCAGGCGGGGAGGCAAGCTTGCGCCCCTTAAGTCCAAAACTCCCCTGCAGCCTCCTTAGAGACGCTGAGCAGTGCACAATGGAGCCGGCTAAACCTGGGACCCCATGGCACAGCTAAGGGCAGGATTTTTCTTGTCTAGTGAGAACAACCCTGAAATCTCCCCAGGAACCAATTTCAGTGCCCCCAGAGTACTCTCCCTTCTCACTGATCTGTTCTCCACAAGGGAACTTTTGCAACCTGGAATCCAGTCTCTCTCAGCATTAAAATGTGGACATTGGAGCTCCCCGGTCATCTTAGAATAAAAAGACCTTGTTAGTGCATGTGAATCCTGAATCCTGGCTGGCCTGACAGCCGCAGCTCTCTCAGGCCGCCTCTCTCCAACCACAGCCATCCGCACTGCACCATGAACGCGCCTCCCGGCCAGGCCTGATCACCAAGGCTCCGGCTCCGCCGACCATGTTGCAGTCCTTCCCAGTCGGCTCCAAGGGGAGCAGCACAGACGCAAGTGCAGAGGTCGCGCTGAGCTTTCCCGCAGGTTCCTTGAGAGAGGAAGCTATCCGGCAGGTAACAGCTCCCAATCACAGGCCACCTGGAAGCACAGTCCTGTGCCAGGGCGCACCGCGGAGCGCCTGGGGTGCGGGTTCCGCATGCATTTGGGATCCAAGCCTGCAGCCCACACGCGCATGCGCACACATGCGCCCCAGTTTACGGTCTCTTTTTTCCTGCAGAATTGGGGGGGGGGGGAGAATCCTAAATCCTGACTTTTTTGGCAGGAGGTCCCGGAGAAAGGCAGAGGCTAGGAGTCTCTCTTGGCAGCCAGAGGAGTAGGAGGGCCCGGTCCTGCCAGGGAACTCAGGGACCTGGGTTTAGCAGCAACCAGGAGCCAGTCGGGCCGTGGGGGCCATTCTGGGCTCAGTCCTGGGGCCATGGCACTGGGAAAACGGGCCTCAGGGTCGGCGTCCGTCATGTGGGCAGGCAGGGAAGGAGGAAGGCCAAGCCCCGCAGGCCAGGGTGCCCCGGGGTCGTGCCCAAGGGCGTGTGTGCTTTTAACTTCCCCCTCCCCATTGCTTTTTGCAGACGTCAGTCCCGCCACTGGCCGGAAGTCCTGCTCGCCCCCCGCCCGCGCGGGGCTGCGGCTCCGTGCTTGGCGATGGGTCTCGGTGGGGTGGGACCCGGCTATGGCTTTTCCAGAGGACGGGAGACGGCTAGCCCCAGCCCTGCGAAAGGCCCTTGGGCGCTGGGGTGTGTGGCTTCGGTAGGGGATGTGGCTTCTTCCTTCAGTTCCTGGATGCGCTCCCACGGGGCGAGGCTTCCTCTCGCAGACTCTGCCCCACCCGCGCAGGCACAGTACTACACCCCACCCCGCGCTACTGCGCAGGCGTGGCACTGCCCTCCTCAGCAGAGCGGGTGTCCGACTTGAGCTTCACGAACTCCTTGGCCACCTCGTCGTTGCTGCGCTGTGAGAGGATTCGCAGCACTGTGAGGCCCGTGTCGTCCATGTGGATGCGACGGCCAAGCGGCAGCCAGCAGGCGGCGCTTCCACGCTGGGCCAGCTCGCGCAGCTGCAGCACGGCCAGCCCCACCGTGCGGTCCTCGCGCGCGAAGCAGTAGTCTTTGACGCACACCTGCAGCTCGTAGCACTCAGGACCTGCGTCGGCGCTCAGCGTGCTGGGGGCGGAGGGCGGGGCATGAGCAGACCCCGCCTACCCTGTATCTTACCTACGAGGTCCCGCCCCTGATGCTCAACACCTAGAGTCACCTGGCCCCAGAAGCTCCTGCGAGGCTCCGGCCCACCCTGGCCCCTGGCCCTCCAATTCCGGCTTTGCCACCTCACTCTGCCACTCAGGTTGGGCTGCACCCACATCTCAGGACTGGTTCTGTCTTCTCTACAAGCACCCAACAATGCCCCTTCCTCTTCTCCCCTGGGTGCTGCCTGGCCCACAGGCGACCTCATCCTGGGGCCTCCTCCGGATGTCCCTCCTTCATTGTGCGTCCTCCCCTTCCTGCCTCCACACCATCAGCCACCTCTCAGGTCTGAGTGGCCCTGGGATCCACCAAGCAGGCGCCCCTTTTCCCTGGCGCACCTCCCATGCATCCCTGACTCACAACTGGAAGCTCTCGTTGTACTTGGGCGCCCAACTGTTGTTCTTGGATTTGGTGGCAAACTTGCGTTTCTTATCGCTGAGCTGGGGCCCGATGATGTTGACCTCGATGAACGGTCGGAAGATGCCAGAAGTCTGCCACTTGAGGTCATTGGCAGCCACCACTGTTGTGGGACATAGAGGGAAGGCTGGTCAGGATTGCTCGAAGTGACAGAAGTAGTCCTCTAGGGTTTTTTACTTTTGACTTTGAGGTAGGGCCTTGCTATACATGCCAGGCTGCCCTTGAATTTACAGCAATCCCCCTGCCTCAGCCTCTTGAGTGCTGTGATGACAAGCATGTGCCACTTGCACTAGGCCATCTGTGGTTTCTCTCAACTCGTCTGAAATAGACTACATCTCACAGCATATCCACCAAAGTGTGGTCATGTGACTATGTCTCAGCTAATGAGATAACAAAGGAAGTGATGTATACAACTGGTTTAAAAGGGAACAAGCCTCAAACTTTCTCTCCCTGCTCCGGTGTGCAGTGTTCTTTTTGGCTCTTCAGATGAATGAAAACACACCAGACACAAAAGCACAATAAAAAACTACAGAGGCCTAGATGCAAAAACCATTTCCCTGGACCTGGCCATGGCTGAAGTAGGCTCACCTCTGGCCTTCCCAGTTTTTTTCGAACCATTAAAAAGTGAAAGTCGGAAATCCCCACAACAAAATTTCTTGCCTGCCATGATTTTGTGTCTGGTTTTTGTCTTAGGTCACAGTCACTCCCCTATGCCCTCAGGCCACTCACCTTTCACTGTGACCTTTTGTTCCCCGGTTCCTGGGTGAGTGAAGAGCTCAACGTGGACAGAAACTTCGCCCACAGGGTCTTCTACACCCGAGCCTGGGTGGAGCGGGAGAGATGGCCTAAGTGAGCCCTATTCTTTCCTGCCCACCAAGAGGGCCCTGGACCACCACCCGCCCACCCTGTGCTAGCGGCACCAGGTCATCAGCCCTGACAGGGAGGTGCTGAGCGGGGCTGGAGGGTTTGGCTTTTGACTGCTTTGCTGTGTGACCTCAAGCAGACGTCTTAACCTCCCTGAGCCTAATGCATCTGCCTTCCTTTTTCTCTCAGTCCCCTCAACCTCACAGGCCTCCCCGTGGCTCCTTTAACACGCTGCTCATCAGACTGAGTCCGCATTTCTCCTTAAGAGACTGTTCAGGAAACTTGATTTCCCTGCCTTGATTCCCCTGCTGATACAGACCCCCAACCTCATCCCGACCTGGTGGCTCAGGCAGTGGGGACTATTGCTGAGCTCTTTGGCAAAGGAACCTCAGGGTCCAATCAAGAGTAGATCCTGCCCAGGCTGCAGGGATTGGCTCAGAGGTGGTCATGTGACCCAAACTGGGCCAATAGGAACTAGGCCTGGATTTTGACCCAGTCTAAGGGAGTGAATCTCCCTCTGTGCTGTCTCTGTCTAGTGAGTGGAGAGCTTGCCCACAGGGGTTTCCATGGAGTGCCCAGTGGAGGCAAGGCGCGCTGGAGACTCTGGATCTAGGTACTCCTGGTGCCAATCATCCTGGAGCTTTCAGTTCCACAGCCCACAGATTTCCTTGTCGGATGGTCATGGTGATTGGCGCTTTTCTTTCTGGCCATCATTAAGTGTCCTGTTGGGGACTGCGGACCCGTGGCCACCAGCACCCCCGCGAGTCCTCCCCAGCCCCCAGGCAGCAACCCACTCCTGGAACACCCCATGCAGGGGACAGGAACAGGGCCGAATTGGAGGTGGGGATGGGGACGGGGCAGTCGCAGGCTGACCTGCGTTACCGCGATAGACAGGAAGTGGCCAAGGGTCAGGGGCAGAGGGAGCCCCCGTCCCCCAGACCGGGCCTGGGCCACGGTCGCCGCCCTCCCCGCTATCTTCCTTGTCACCCTCAAGACTTCAGGCTCCCGCCCCGCCGTCACATGCTCAGCCTGCCCTCCCCCCAGGCCGATGCTTCATAGCAAGCTCAATCCGGGCCAGAGTGGGGTGCCGGTTAGAGTGGGGTCGGGTGAGAGGTCAGGCCAAGGCCAAGGCTAGTGAGAAGGCGAGGGGCAGTACTACGCCCTCTCCCAGGGTTTGCTGGCTCCACGGGGAAAGCTTTCTCTGGGGTAGTTTCCCCAGCCCCGTGCCCCTCCCGGAAGAATCCTCCTGGGCAAGTGGTTCCACCTCCTCCACCACTCAGCCTCTCCTAGGTACCGGGCTGGGCGCCCTCCTGACAAGCAGGAAAGCACTTACTTATTTCTATAATTTTGTGGTCCTGGGGATTGAACGCCTGAGCTGCATCCCCAACCATTTTAAAATTTATTTTGAAACACAATGTCAGGCTGGCCTCGAAGTCGGGATCCTTTTGCCTCAGCCTCCCAGAGTGATGGGATAATAGGCACCATGCCTGGCTGTGAGAAATTCCTTGGAGACCTCTCAGGAAACTCTTGGCACTGGGTCTTAGAATTAAAAGTTTGAAACGTTGGTCGTTTTTTACTCTGAAAAACATGACACTGAATATAACTGCTTCGAGTTTACCTTGTGCCAGGGATTGCTCTACATTCATTAACTTATTTAGCTTTTCTGAGCCTTATGTAACTCAAGCTGGCATTGAACTCTCAGCGATCCTCCTGCCTCAGCCTCCAAGTGTTGGGGTCACAAGTGTGCACTACCACAGTAGGCTGCTCCAAATTTAATTCTGCTAATCCTCAAAAGAATCCTGTGAAGCAGGGCCCTTGCCTGTCTCCACTCTACAGAAGTGGACAGCAAAGCTCAGGGAGGTACTTTCTTGCCCAGTAGTGCCCAGTGTGCAGAGCAGCCAGGCCAGATCTGTGTGCAGCTTTGTATGTATGAGTGCAGTTCTAGGGAATGAGCCCAGGGCCTTCGCACTGAGCTACATCCCGTTTATTTCTGGACACAAAGTCTCAATCAGTTACTTAGTTGCCAGGCTGGGCTCTACCCTGAGGATCCTCCTGCCTCAGCCTCCCAGAGTGCTGGGACGTCAGGCGTGCACCACCAGGCCTGGCCCGGATCCCGCTTGCACTGGTCTGGGAGGGAGGGCGTGCACACCCCTACGTGGAGCCAGCAAGCCGTCCTTTGTCCCGCGGCCGGCGGGAAGGACGGCCTTCTACTAGCGGCCGGCAGGGCGCAGGCACCGGGCGCGGCGGGCACGTACCCTTCTCAGGATAAGTGTCTTCGCTAAGGGTAAACCTAGTTCCCTTGCCACCGTGCACTAACGGGGCAGGCGGGGCCGGAGGGGCAGCGGGGTGGGGGGGACGTGCGTGGGGGTGGGGTCGGGGCGACCAGCGACAGGGAGGAAAAACAAGAGAGAAGAGAAACGTCAGCGGGACGCGGACGCGCGGGGACGCCTCCCTCGCCGGGATGCCGGGGAAACTGAGGCCTGGCCCAATGGAGGCCTTGTAGTGTCCCGTGGGGCCAGCTTGGAACAGCGGGTTCCCAGCGAGGGGAACTGGGCCCTGCTGCTGCGCATGGGCTCAGCGGGCTCAGTGAGACAGAAGCAGACAGAGAAAGCACGAGACAAACTGGGCGTCCTCGCGGACTCCGTCCCCGGGCTCCACAGGGCTCCCCCCCGCCCCCCGCCCCCCGCCCCCGGAGATCCCAGCCGTTCATTGGCCCAGGGCTCAGAACGCCCGCCCACCCAGCGCTGTCAATCACCCCGCGGTTCCCACGCCCCAGAGAGCCCGCCCACGGAGCTGTCAATCACTCTCTTTCCTCCCTGGGCCCCGAAAGTCACGGACAGTCCCAGCAGATAAGCACCGCCTGGTGGGCCTATGGGATCAGGGGCCCCACCTCCTGGAGTTGTGAATCACTCCAGGTTTTGGGGTCAGGCCCCGGTTCTACGAAGTCATAAATCCCCAAAAGGCTCCTCGCATCCCGGCCCAACCGTCAGGCCCCGCCCACTGGCCCTTGCGTCACAGAAGACAAGACGGGAGTCGGGGCCTGCACTCACCCTGTGCGGACTGCGTCTGCACGAAGGTCTTGATGAGCAGGTCCGTGGCCTGTGTGTAGAGCGACAGGGCGTAGCGCAGAGACTGCAGGTCCGGGCTCTTCTCCAGAAAGGTCTTCTTGAGCCCCACGCCCCCCGCGTGGAAGTATTGCTGTCGGCCACCGGGTGCAGGAGGTGAGGCACAGAGGATCCGCTGCTCTCCCTTGCATACCCCAGCCTGCCAGGGCTTCCATCATCTTGGAGACACTCAGGCTACTCCTAGCCTTCTCTTGGGGCTCCCTGCCCTTGCCTTTGCCCTTACTGTACCTGCTGGTCGAAAGGCTCTTTCTGGCTTGGCCTGGTGAACTCCTGTGCATTCCTCAAAACCCACTTCCCCATACTCTCCAGAAAACCATCTGCTGCCCTTCCCGGGGCTCACCCTACCTCCATCCTTCTTGCTACCCCAGGTTCGACCTGACAAGACTGGGGATGCTGGCCCTTGGCTGTCTCACCTAGCTTGGCTTGGAAGGGGGTCAGGGCGTGCCATAAACAGGGAGGTACTGTGGGTCCAGGGCAAGCCAGGTACGTCCACACCAGCCCTCAGCCCTGCCCCCAGCGCCTCTCACCTTGATGGTGTCCAGGGCTAGTTCCACCACTGCACACTGCTTCGGGGTCAGACTCTTGGCCTCTTCTCGTGCCATGTGGTCCTGGGTGGGGCCAGGGGCCAGGTAGGCGTCACCCCATTAGAGAGCTAGGCCATGGGTCTCTCAGGTCCCGCGCCCTGCACCTGCTGGTCCACAGGTGACTTGCACCTGGATCACACCGCACCTGAAGCTGAACCGAGCTCATGTCCCCAGCTCTCTGAAGCCAATGAATTGGGCTTTAAGCCCTGTAGCGGCATTTCTGTCCGTGCAGGCTCCCTCCCCCAGGTCCTCCTGCCCCCCAACCGACCCCCACCTCTCACCTTGAGTTTGGAGAGTTGGCCCAGCTCCTTGGCGGCATTGAAAATCATCTGGGTCCCCTGCAGGTGACAAAGGTGTGGCCTGCATGAAGGTGGGCTCCCCACCTGGTCCCCAGCCCCCACCGCACTGTCTGGAGGTTCTGGGCAGGGCTGTGGTCCTTCCTTGTGACACAGGTCTAGGGTCCCCAGGAAGTGGGAGCCCCAGTCCCGTGGGGACACTCCCTGCTCCCTCATCCTCACCGTGACTCTGGGACTATGGGATAGGGAAACACAGGGGAGTTGGGTTGTGTGTGTGGGGTCCCAGATGGGGTGACAGCGAGGAGCTTGAGGAGGTGGGATTGGGCTGTCAGCAGACCCCCCCAGTCCACCTGTAGTGTGGTAGGCTCTTAGCAGCCCTGCCCTCACTGTCCCCCAGACCCCTTCAACCTGACCATACAGTTACGGCTCTGACCAGTGGAGCGGGCCTGGGTTCGAATCCCAGCTTGGCTGTGTTGCCCTCGGCCAATTACTTAATCACTCTGAGTCTCAGTCTCCCCATCTAGATGGGGCCCTCGAATCCACTCTGGACCGGTCCTTCCTCAGCACTCCCTGTGACCGCTGCTAGGGGTGTGGGGCTTGGAGGGAGCCTGAGACCCAGCCTGGCCTGTTTCCGGTGGGGTCTCCCAGCTTCTCCCAGGCTGATGGGACTGTGTTAACCTGGACCTGGGACCTGGGGGCCCTCTGTGGGGGCTGTGGACTGGGGGGACATTTGGAGAGACGCTGGCCCATAACGAGAACTCCTCTGGTCACTGTCACTGCCCCCCAGTCCCATCCTGGTTGTGCTGCGGCAGAACCTAGGGCCTGGCGCAGCTGCTGGAGCCACACCCGAGCCCTGTCCTCAAGATGCTGTGACCCCCAAGGTAGCATCGAGGCTCAGTTACCCAGAGCCCGGATGCTGGGCCTCAGTTTCCCTGTTGTACCCTCTGCCCTTCCCACCACCTCCCCACCACGAGCAAGCCAGACAGACAGGAGGAAGTGACAGACAGGACCGACGGCATGGACCACAGAGGTGTGGGGCGGGGTGGGGGGGGCCAGACAGACACAGAGCTGGGCTTACGTCTGAGTGGCTTGGCAGTTTCACCCTGCCCTGTGGAGAGAACCAGGCGGAGGTCAGAGTCCCAGAGGCCCTGCATAGGTCCCTCCCTGCCTGGCACCATGGCCATGGGGCTTGCGTCAGGCTCCTAGCCCTTGGGCAGAGTGCCCACACTCCTCTCCCACCCCGGAAATGCCCAGTGGACATGGCAAGTTCAATCAGTCTGTACACACACACACACTTTCACACTAAGAGCAACACAGATCACATGTGCAGAACACATGCTAAATACACGCAATGACAAAAGTACACATGACAAACACACTTGCATGTGTGCACCATCACACACGCAAATGGACACAGTCTCCTCTCTAGGGTGCAGGTGCATGGGCATAGCACCAGGCACTGAGTCCCTCCTGGGGGCTGGCAGCCGAGGAGGGAGCCTCACGGCCCAGGCCCACAGAGCTGTGCAGGGTCTCAGGGCCTGGCAAGGCACCTGCACATGTGCTGCCCCAGCTCCTAGCCCCTCACAACAAAAAAATCCACCCGGAAACCAGGAGTCCTGGGCTCTGCCCACATGGGGGATCCAAGGCCGCTGCGGCCATGCTGGGAGAAACCCTGGGCTGTGGCCCTGAGAGGCAGGGGCAGTGCACACTTTTGCTCACACGTGCATTCACTCCTAGTCCCGGCCCTGAAAGTTAGCTGCTCTCTGACTTCCGACTTCTTGGGGCTCAGCATGGATGTCTGTCCCCTACCACAAGCCCATCGGGGACTTGCCGCCTGTGCCTATGAACACAGACACGGACACCCACAGACACTCATGTGCACACTCACACCTGATGCCACGGTTGGGACCTCGGCAACCCAAGGCCTTATTACCTTTTCTAATCCCTTGCCATGCTTTCTCAAGAGAGTGCCCTGCAGAGACAATGTCACAGGGAGGTCAGCCCGTGGGTCCTGTGCATGGTTGCTCATGGGGATGGGCTCTGTGCTGCTCAGGGGTGGCCATTAGGGGACTGTGGGGGACTGAATGGCTGAGTCTTAATGATGTGAGAGTCAGGGAGACAGAAGAAAGGTAGGGAGAGGGAGGGAGAGCCCAAAAGTGAAGCCACTGCCCAAACCTAACCCATTTATATTTATTGTACACACAAGCCTCTCAGTTCTTGGGCCAACAGGAAAGTGAACTGGCTCTGTATTGAAACAGGCCCAAGTTGGAAACTCAACTCTCACATCTATGTACTACAAGACCTTGAAAACAGATGGCTCTGAGGCTCAGCTTTTGTCATCGACAAAATGGGAACAAGTATATCCTCTTGCTCATGGGTTCCCACCAAGGTGACCTGGAATGCCTGGCTGCCGTGACAAGGCCTGTGTACATGCAGCCATTCGTAAGGGTGGTTTTTTTTATTGTGCTATTGGGGCTTGAAATCAGGGCCTTCACCCTGAGGTAGGTGCACAGACCTTAAAAAATTCTTTTTCATCTTTTTTTTTTTTTCCTTTTTCCTTTTTATCGGTACTGCGGATCGAACTCACGACTGCCTGCTTGCAAGGCAGGCAGGTGCTTATGCTGCTGAGCTAAATCCCCAGCCCCTCCAAAAAATTCTTGAGATGGTTTTGCTATATGGATAAATTGCTTAGCCTGTACCCAAACTTTCAATTCTCCTGCCTCAGACTCCCAGAGTACTGGGAATGCAGCTGTGCACCACGTCAGCTCCAGCTCGAATTCCTCTATCTTCCAGTGCCCTGTAGGCGCTCACACCGGGGGCACCAGTGCCCCAGCCCCCCACCCGACAACCTTGCCCTGAGGGGCTTCTGGGCAGTCACGCCTGTTCCTGGTACAAGGTATGGGGGACCCTACTTTTCGCGTGAGAAACCCCGAATGGGAGGTACAGTGGTTTCAAGGAGCTGAGGCTGGGCGGGCAGGAGGCCCAGGTCTCCCCTGGCGCAGTGCCCAGCTGTTCTTGGGTCCCCAGGCGCATGGACCCAGTCAGAGCGAGCTGGACGGAGCTGGACCTAGCCGGGGAGGCCCAGAGAGAGGGGTGGGGTGGAGGGGCAGAAAGGGGGGGAGCCTTCCCTCCCCCATGCGAAGGGTTGTGGCATAGGTTGGTCTGCCCTCCCGGCCTCGCCTCCCCCACAGCACAGGAGCAGCCACACAGGCGGGTCCAGACACAGAGCCACGGGCGGACGGACAGACAGACGGACAGACGGTCTCTACTTACGATCATCTGTCAGCCGGGCGCGGTGTGGGGGGGAATAAGGCACCATGAGTGTCAGCGGGGCAGAGGGGGAATGGGAGGAGAGAGGTGGGGATGGCATGGAGGGGCAGACGCCTGCTCAGCCCTGACCTTCTCAGCCCTGCCCAGCTCCACCCAGCCCTGATCAGCCCAGCTCAGGCGGTGGGGGGGACCCTTCTGCACCTGCCACCCCCAGCCCCTGCCACTGCCATGCCAGGACAGTGGCCCCCACCGGCCCCAGAAGGATCTCTGCTCACTCCTCTGACCTCTGGCAGACCTCCAGGAACCCTCTGTTCTGTGGGTGGCTAATCTTTCCTGGTCTCAAGTGACCCTAAAGTTCTCTGAGGAGCCTGTGGACCCAGGACTGTGGGTGACCCTGACCCCTGAGCTGACCTCTGTGTTCCATGTGACCTCTGATCTGAGTGATCCTGGCCCCACCTGTGATCTTGGTGCCTCTTACCAGCCTTGACTCTATTTAACTTCTGTGATCTTGGTCCCCGAATGACCCTGAACCATCAATGACCCTGTTACCCTCTGATGATCCTTTCTGTCTGTTTTGTTTTGTTTGTCTCACCCCCTGGTCCAGGTGGCCTTAAACTCACTATGTAACCCAGGTTGGCCTTGGATTCAAAGTGACCTTCCTGCCTCAGCTTCCCTGCTGCAGAGGTTACAGATGTGTGCCACTGCACCCAGCTTCCTTCTGATGATCCTTGGCCCACAAATGATCTCTGGGGGCTCCCACCACCCGTGGGTAGTCCTTCGCCTGGACGGACACCATGTGTTGCCAGTGCCTTTGAGCCGGAGGCCGAGCTCTCCAGGCTGAGCATCGGGGCAGAGCTCACCGTCTGGTCGGTGAGTGGCGGCAGCACGATGGTCTTCTCCATGGTGTTCATGACCAGCTTCCACAGCTCCTTCAGCACCCGCTTCAGCACCGTCTTCTCGCAGATTTTGGCAAAGAGGGTCAGGCTGGGGGCAAGGGTGGGGCATGAGAGTCCACGTAGCCTAGTCCCTGGGTGCAGGGGTGCCAGGCAGGAGGGCACCCAGCTGGTGCAGGGACCCTGGGTGGTGGCTGGGGAGATCAGCAGGGGTCAGGATGAAATGGGCTTCGGTGCCCTGGGAGAGGCCAAGGCCCTGAAATGGAGGTGGCAGTGGGGAGAGAGAGGGGGCGGGAGATCTGGTGAGTGGGGACATGTGGGGCTGAGGTCATGTGAGGGGGAAGAGGAGGGAATGGCAGAGGAGCGCAGGCTTTGGAGGGGAAGCAGCAGGATTATGGGAGCTGAAGCAGCGGGACAAACTACCAGGATCCACCCGCCAGCTGATGGCCACCTCCCAGCCATCTCCTCTAATGGCTTCATTCTCTATTTCTTCCACCCTCCCTGTATCCATCTATTCGCTCATACATTCACTGGCTCAGGTACCTGCCCATCCATCCATCCATCCATCCATCCATCCATCCATCCATCCATCTATCCATCCATCCAGCATTCATCATTAATCATCCATTCATCTACTCATCAACCCATCCATCATCCATCGATCCAAACATTCATTCATCCAGCAGAGCATTTACAAATAGACTGTCCTAAACAGAAACATCATCTTGTGGAGACTGAACTGCCCCTCAGACGAGTAAGAACTTCTTGGGAGCCATCTTGCAAAACCAGAACTCTCTATGATCAGCCAGCTCCTAGGTCGTCTCAGCCAACCCAAAGGGGCTGGTCTGGGTCTTCTGTGTCTGACCTGTTCAGCAGAGCTGTGCCCCTGCAGCTCCTCAGGCAGAAGTGCCTTCTCCATTATCTCTTATTTTATAATTTTGCCTAGAAACTTGCCTATACCTAAAATATTCCCTCACCCACCCAGGTATTTCTCCACCCCTCTGTCCATCTTTCAGTCCATCCATTCACCCCTTATTCTATTCATTCATCCAGTTAACACTTGTCTTCCACATACCCAACTATGCATCCACTCCTACATCCATCCATCAACCTGTCCATCCATCTGTCAACTTGTCCATCCATCCACCCATCTGTCAATCTGTCCATTATCCATCCATCTTTCAGTCCATCCATCCAGTCATCTGTCAACCCGTCCATCCATCCCCCGCCTGGATGCCTAAGCCTTTCACCTATAACCTGGCAATCCCGGTCACTGCCCTGCCAATCTGTCACATCTTATCAGGCACTAGCCCTCCATCCGTGCACCCATTTCCCCATCCTCCGGGTGTCTGTCTTTCCTTCCTTTGAGGCCCGGGGCTGGCTGGCTCACTTGCTGTCCAGCAGGTCCATGATGGGCTGCAGCACGTTGTCTGCATCCTGAGCCACGCTGCTGCAGGCACTGGCTGGCACGTTGCCTGTGCCCTTCACCTGGCCGAGGATGTCGCCCATCTGTTTGACGCACTCTTCAATGTGTGGCTGGAAGCTGGGCATGGGGCAAAGGGCAGGAGGTGACAGAGCGCTCTGGGCTCACATCCTGCCCAGGGAGCACAGGCTCAGAGCCTCTCAGGCAGGGAGTGGGGAGGTGGAACTGATGCTGGGCTGAGACCCCTGCACATCCATTTCCCCTTGGCCCTGCTTGGGTGCTGTCTGCTCATCCGCCCTACTCGATGGATACACAGACACAGCCCTAGGACCACATGACTGGGATGCAGCTGGGTGGGACTTGAACTCAGCCCTGTGCAGCTCCAAGCCTTATCCTCTCCCCTGGTACCACCCCTGACTCCCCAGGGCCAGGCTCAGGGACCTGGCTGCCTTCGCTCCCCCAGCTCCCTCCCCTGGCTGCCCACCTGGTCGCAAACACCCGGCTGAGATCATCCAGAACGTTGTTCAGTTTCACCTGCAGCTCCTTCAGGATGTCGCTGGCCTCAGCGTCCAGCTGAGGGGAGATGGCACCCCATTAACTGTGCCCCAGCAAGGCCTGCACGGGGCCTTGTGGACCTCAGGGGGGGCCTGGGACTGCAGAGGACACAGGGCACAACGGCAAAGTTGCCCCTTGGCCTCGCTGCTGTGTGGCTCTGAGGTCTTAAACATGTGAGCCCCCTGCCTTGGCCCCTTGAACGTGGGGGCTGCTGGTCCCTGAGCTGCCTGCAACTGGGGCATCAGGGACTAGACCAGGGAGAGCCCGCCTCACCTCCTTGCCGCCCATGGCCTCGAACATCTTCTCCAGCTGGACCCGGAGCTGCTGAGTGTTGTTCATGAGGATGCAGGGCTGCAGGCGAGAGAGGACATGAGGCTCTGCCGAGCCCAAGGCCTCTCCCGCCACATCCAGGGCCCGGAGGGAATCGTGGAAGGGTCTGGAGGCAGGGACCCTCGGGGTCCCCTGAGGATGCACAGGATGCTTGGGCGCAGGTTCCTGGGGTGCAGAGGCTCGTGGGGACTGGGGCAAGGAGAAGTTGGTCGTTTTCCCAGGACCCTATTGCGCACAGGGGGCCTGGGAGCAGCCAATGGCATCCTGGTCCTGCAGGGTGACCATTCACACACCCACGGGATCTGCACTCACACACCCAGACAGGCACACACACATGCATCACCACACACAGCACAGCGTACCAGATCCTGCTGCCCCGGACACGCACACTTGTGCACACACATGCCGAGTGCCCAGGTACACACTCGATCCACGTGTCCTGCCAAGGCAGGGCGTCCACACAGCGACCCTCGCACAGGGGCAGAGGGGAGCCCAGGATGGAGTGGGGCGGGGCCGGGAGAGGGGCGGGGCCAGATGAGGGATGGGCGGGGCCGGGAGAGGGGCAGGGCCTGGGATGGGCGCCACAGGTCACCACTTTCTCCTTCTCCTTGGAGCAGTATGAGGCAAAGTCCTTGGAGATGATGTCCGCATACTGCAGGAGGACGTTGCTGATGGTCTGAGGAGGACACAGGTGTAAGAGCAGACAGAGCTCGGGCGCATGCCTCACTAGGTCCCCACAGGAGCCATCGGGGGGCCAGGGCTGAGCTCGAGCACTATGGCGCTGAGGTGGACACCCGGGAGGACCCGGGATGGCTGCGTCTTGCAGGTCCAGCTCTTCCTCAAAGTAGCTCTCTGCCCTGTTAACCTGGCCCCAGTTGTAAGCTCGGCCCGAACCCACTGAAGGTGGGAGGTGACCGGAAACCCTTGTCACCGACCTGGCCTGACAACGGTCAGTTCAACCTCAGCTCTGATCCATTGATGCCAAGCTCATCCCAAAGCCAGCCCCATCCTGTCACTCACTCCAAAGGCAAGGACAACCCCAAATCCTGGGGTACCCCAAAACCCAGCACTGACCCAGTCTCGGATACCAGGCTCAGCTTGAAGCAAAGGCCATTGCCAACCTCATGAATGACCTTGGCCCCAAACCTCGGCCCTGGCTCCAACTTCTGCAATGACTCAGCACGTGTCTCAACCCCAGCCAACCTGAGCTGCAAGGCAACCCCGACCATGGTGATGTGCAGTGCTAATTCCCACTCATGTCAGCCTTGACCTCAGTTTCAGTCTCAATCCAAAACCCAAACCCAACCTGAACCCTGCCCAAACCTTGAAGCCTGAATCTTAATCCTGACCTCACCCCTGAACTCAGCCTAAACCCATTGTCACCAACTCAGCCCCACACCCAGCCTCAGCTCCACCTTGCAGATGTCACCAATCTCAGCTCCACCCCTGATCCCATTGCCAACCCTGATTTCCACCCCACCCTGCCCCATGACCTATATCCAGCCCTGCCTGCACCTCCACCTGCCCTGTGACCTTTTCCCAGCTCTGCCTGTACCCCACACCTTAGCAAAGCGCCTCATGTAGTGTCCCACAATCTGGGGGTCAGGGCACTCGAGCTTCTTGATGATCTCAAAGCTCTGGTTGAGCTGAGAGAAGACGTCCACCACTGAGCAGGAAAACAGGGCATGCTCCGACGTCTGCTGGAACTGGGGTCGGGGAGTCAGGAGGAAGGAGACATCAGAGCTGGGCAGGCCTCAGGCCCACCCCACTATACTCCATGGGGATGGCTAGATACCCAGTACCCTTGGATGAGGTGCAGAGTATGCAAGGTGACTTAGAGGTGGATGCAAAGGCCATTGGGTGGGTAGACAGGTCAGGCTTGATGAACTCACATTCCACAGTTGTTGTATGAACACAAGATTTTAAAACCCATGAGCAAGACCAAGATGGTGGACACTTATCAGAGATTGGCTTCTCCATAAAGGCAATCTTTGCTCTCAAACTGGATCCCAATGGACCCCAGAGTAAACAGGTGCACTATGAGCCAACTGGGAGCTTAGTCAAGGGTCAACCTTCTTACCCCATCCTTCTTGTCACGTTCCAGGGCTCCATGCAGGAAATCCCGGGACACTTCCTCATTCTCATCCAGCCACTGGATCACAAAGGGTTCGAACCACCTGAAAGGGACAACCGGGGTGGGACCCTGCTACCTCACTCTCCTCACCCCTGGCACAGCCTGGTTCTGATCCAGTCCTGAGCAGTGCTGGGGAGCTGGGCCTATACTGCTCTGCACTCCTGTGGCCTGGCAGCTCCTCCCTCGCCCACCTGCACTTGGCCTTGGTCCACCCAGTCCCTGCTGGCCAGTGGGTTCACCTCTGTGATCTCATTTCCTGTGTGATTGGCCTCTGTGTCTGTGGGCTCCACGGCCCCAGGTTCAACCCATTGGGGGATTGGATATATTTGTAAAAATTGCATGTGTTTGGACAGAGACTTTCTTCTTGTCACTATTCATTAAACTGTGCTGTGACACTTCGCACTGCCCCAACACTGTCCCAGGGTCCTAAGTCATCCAGAGATGAGTCAGGTGCAGGAGGGTGTGTGTGGTTTTACACAGACACTGCCATCTTGTAGAAGAGACCTACATGTTCCTGAACTTTGATACCCACAGGGCATCCTGTAACCATTCCATAGACACAGAGGGCAGACCGTACCACAGGAGAGGTGCTCAGCAAGGGGTGGCTACCATCCTGTCCCACAGCCTAGCCTGGCAGTCTGAGCCCAGGCTCAAATCTTGGCTCCATCACTTACCTGACTTTAGCCAGGTCCCTGGGTACTGTGTGTGTTTGGGGTACTGAGCACAGCACCCAGAATCTTCACACTGAGCTACATTCTAGCCCTTTATATTTTCGAGACAGGATCTTGCTAATTTATTAAATTGCCTGGGCTGGGTTAGAATCTGTGATCCTCCTGTCTCAGCTTCCTGAGTAGCTGGGATCAGACCATGGCCGGCTGCTTGGTATCTTTTTAGTTCTTCATTTCCTCAACCTCACAATGATGGTGACAGCATTGTTACCACACTTCGCAGAACAGTTAGAGGACCAGTCCCCACTTGGGTGGCCCTCTGGGACCACGGTCTTCTGGATTTCACCGTGCAGCCTAGTGAGCGTGCTCAGGCCTGGAGCAGGCCTGCCCTCCTCTCAGGGTGGCCCTGGTGGGCACTTACGTGGGGTACTCGGGCACACGGTCCTTGAAGGCGGGCAGCTCGGCCACGTACTCGTTGTAGAGCCACTTGACTTTGAAGTGCAGGTTCATGTAGTCAGCGCTCTTGCACAGGCGGTGTTTGTCGTGCTCTGGAGGGTGTAGTGGGCGGCTTAGCCTGTGTCCAGGCCATCCTGGAGGAGACACCAGGGCACGGAGCCCTGCAGCTGCCAAGCCAGGGGTGGACCTGGACTCACCCTCCATGGCGTACTTCATGTCCTGGGCGAACAGATTCCACATCACTTCGGCGCTGATCTTTCCCACATTCAGCTCCTGGGGAAACCTGTCAAAGGGCACAGTAATGTGGAGCTGGTAGACAGAGGCTGGGTGGTACAGCTGCCCGTGCCCTCCTGCTCTGGAGGGAAGCACAGGGCAGGCAGCAGGTGGCATTCAGTTTTCTCAGAGCCACTGACAGGCAGAGCAATGGCACCACTCATCCATCCATCCCTCTTCCATGCAGCTGCTAGCCTGAATATCCACCCATCTACCCATCCATCCATCCATCCATTCATCCATCCATGCATGTAACCATCTACCCATTCCCTCACCCATTCAGCCACTAGTCCAATATCCACCTATCTATTCATCCATCCATCCATCCATCCATCCATCCATCCATCCATCCATCTATCCATTTATCCAATCACTCCTCCATCCATTCACTCTTCTAGTCATCTGTCCATCCATCCACCTGCCTCCTATTCATCCTTTCACCTTTGCATTCACTTATCAGTCCATCCGCCCACCCATGCACTCCACCCTTGAGTCCATCTATTTAAATCTCTGATCACTAAGTAACTGGGAGATGTTAGTACTCCAACTTCAGGGGCCTCTCTAGTGCTTGTGTTAGGCAGAAATAAAACACAATAGGTCATTCAGGTAACAGATGAACAATACAGATATACAAATCCACAAATAGAAACTATGTGTGCATGCACACACACACACACACACACACACACACACACAGGGTACTGAGTGCTGCATTACAGTGTGTTGTATAATATTGCACATTGACACCCATTCCACAGTTATATACAATTAAACCTATGGATTGCAACCATGCAAAAAATTACATGCACCCACATGTCAGATAAAACATAATTTAAACATACAACATTTGGTAGAGTAGCCTATGGAATATACTTGAGGAACAGTGCTATTATTTTTTTTTTTTTGTCTTTTTCCGTTTTATGGGTACCAGGGATTGAACTCACGACTGCCTGCTTGCAAGGCTTATGCCGCTGAGCTAAATCCCCAGCCAACAGTGCTATTATTTAGGAGCCTACACATACAATTGTACACACATACATCATTATTCATATACAATCACACATGCACAAAATGCTCATTTGGTGATCTGGGCATGGTGGCTCATGCCTGTAATCCCAGCACTAGGGAGGCTGAGGTAGAAGGATCATTGAGACTTTGAGACAAGCCTGGGCTACAAAGTGAGCTCAAGGCCAGCCTGAACTGCATAGTGAGACCCCATCTCGAAAAAGACAAAGAAAATGCTCATTTGGCTCCACCCGAGATCGTGTATGTGTATATGTGATTTTATGTTTACCTTTGAGAATTACATCCACATCTGAACTTCACACACAGGTATAACATACCACACATGGCCCATGTACACAGGAACACAGTTGCCTTCCCATGCGAGGCACACTTCTGTGTGTGTGTACAGTGACCTCCTGACCACAAGCCCCATGGATCCCCACTCACTGGTTGAGGCAGGGGGTGTAGGAATTCTTGTCCTCCTCGATGATGGACACGATGAGGGTGATAAGCTTGGACCAGAAGTCGAGGTTCTTGATGCTGGGGCCCTGCTCCTCAGGCGGAACCTCCCCCTTCTTGGCCTGCAAGGAGAATGCACGCGTTGGTGAGGGACAGGGCTCTGGCATCATTACCGAGGGGTGCTGCTGACGTGCACTTGGCTCAGGGAGGAGGCCATGGGGGATGGGTGGACCCCAAGGTCTGGACAGACTTGGTTCCATCACTGCAGCTCCATCCGGTGAATGACTCTGACACCCACCTCAGGAACACTCTTCTGAAACTGAGGAACTGAATTTGTCTGAACAAAACCCAGCCCTGGGAGGCCAAGTGGAGCTGTGCTGAAGGAGAGGGAGCCCGCCGAGGCCAACAGGAGCTATTCTTCAAGGACTGGGGGCAACATGGATGAGCACTTTGGGACTGTGTATGAACCTAAGCTATGTGTCCAAGATCAGCGTTCACATCGTGGAGATGTAGTGACTTCATCCCAACTCCTGACCTAACCTGGCTCAACCCAGCTCCAAGCAGCCAACCCTGAACATTGAGAGCCTCTTTAACCAGCTTAGTGCTCAGGCTGGCCAAGGTCTCGTGCTAGAATGCCTGTGCACTTGTTACAGTGCAGAGGTAGACGTGGGGTTCGGGGTGGGGCCTTGGGAAGATGCCTGGATTTCAGGGTGCTGTGCACCCTCCTTCCTCCTGGAGGATGGATTCACCCTGCAGAGCCTGGAACCTGAGAACTGAGCCCTGGGGAGGTGGGATTGGCAGGGTGACCTCCACCCTCTGCTCCTCTCACTGCTGGCCAGGCAACTCTGACAGTGACCTTCCTACCTCAGAGCCACAGGTTGGGACCCGAGTCCTCTGAACTTTGAGCCACACCAACCTCTCTCTCACAGTCTGTGGGTGCTGTGGTGCTGAGAACAGGGACCTGGGCAAGGACCAGAACTAAGGCTCTACCCAAATGGGCCCCGCCTGGCCCAACGCAAGGGAGCTCCAACTGTGCCTCCCAAACTTCACTCATGGAAAAAAAACTGAGCAGAACCAGGGTGAACCTGGGATGGAGGTGGAAATGCATGCTTGGGAACCCTGAGTGGATTCACACTCAAATGTCACTCAGTCTTGTCAAGCTCCGATTGCTGATTCATTATAAACAATTATAACTGAAGTCAACCAAAAAGCAGTGCAGGAGCTGCACAGATCCTGACCTAACCAATTGCATGCAGTTCACCTCCACCTAGGTCAGGGAAGCTACCCGATCTCAGCTCAGGTCAACTGATGTAAAGGAAGTGAAAGGAACAGGGTCCCTCACCCAATGAGGTGACACACCTGCTGGAAGCTGCGGAGGGGGCACAGCTTGGGCTCACAGGCCCTCTGTACACCCTTCCCTCCTTCTCCACTAGGGATGGCCAAATCCTGTGATGGGGTTCATTGCGCCTCTGGGGACTGATCTCAAATAAATTCAGCTGGCTTGATCAGAACCAAGTTCTGTTCCAGGAATTGGACGCAACATTTGAACAATGACTACACTGAGAGCTCAAGCAGCAAGTGGCTGCCCAGTGCCTCCTGGCTGCTCAGCGCCAAGCCTGGGTCTGGGCTGGGTTCACTACAGCAGCTAACGTCTTCTTCAATGTTTCCCTCACACCTGAGTGGGGCTCCCGACCCACTCTGTGAAGTCTGTCAAGAGGGCAGGGCCAGGCTCACAGGGTCCGTCTGGTACTCCCGGCTGTACAGCTCGTGGCAGTTGTTGAAAATGTACTCGTAGGTGGAGTTGAGGCAGGCTTTCACACAGTCCTTCACCACCTGGCTGGCTCGGGGCGGGCTCTGGAGCTCCTGGACCTGGAGGAAGGAGACCGAGGATGGGAAGACCCGTTGACAGCGGAAAGCCCTAGTGAGCTGGGATAGTTGATACACTGCATCAACTTGAGCAGTTTAGAAATTTAGCTAAGCGACTCAGGGAGCCAGGGTTCCTACTCTAAACATTCTTGTCCTGTGCAAGAGGAGGGCACAGATTTTGTGAGGGCTACGCCTGCCCTGGGGTGTGTGTGGGGCCTGTCTACAATGTAAGGGAGAAGAGGCTTGCTCTGCCCTCTTTTGCTTTTGCTCTGGCTGTTGCCTTGAAGTGATTTAAACACTACACAGTGTAGACGTATGCTGAACACCACCTGGTACTTGTTACTATGCACCATTTTTATGGCTTTAACACATCCAGAAAAGGCAGACGTCAGCTTCGAGACCTGGCCCTTCCTACCTTCATCCTGAAGAACGTGATGCTGGTGAGAAGGTCCACAGTGGATTTGAGGTCCTGGAGCCTCTCTGGGCTGCTGGCTGGAAAGTTGTTCTGTTGGGAGCAAGATGAGAGATGGGTTAAAATCGGGCAAGATGGTGCATTCCTGTCATCCCAGCACTCTGGGAGGCTGAGGCAGGAGGGTGTAGCCAGAACCCAGGCAACTCAGTGACCCCGTGAGATGGGGGTGGGGAGGGGTGGAGCTCAATGTGAGGACCCTGGGTCCCACCCTTGGTACTGGAAGTGGGTATGAAAGAAGGCAGGGAGGGTAGAAGGGAGTACAAGGGACAGTAGAGACAACTCCCCAAGTTGCAGGAAGGGGCTGAGGTCAGTGTGAGCATCTATGTCCCAGAAGCAGCACATCGCCCCCCGGGGTGGGGGCGCCCCCGCGGGCCTCACCCGGTACATGGAGAGGTCGATCCGCAGGGAGTTGTGCAACTGGTCCAGCAGCTTCACGAAGCGCTCTTTCTGAGGAGGAAGGGAGGGCAGAGGTTGGGCACCCAGAGCGCAGAGCACGCCCCACCTGCCGGGAGTGGTACCCCAGTGCCCCGTCCCCTGCATGGCTCCCTGGACCAGAGCTCTTGGGGCCACGCTAGGCCCGGAGCCAGCGTGCTGGGTCCCCACCTGGGCCAGCCCGGCCGAGACTCACCCCGAAGTTGGAGGCAGCGAAGCGGTCGGAGGCGGACACGTTGGTGGAGGCGGTGGTGTGCGCGTAGTAGGCGTTGATGTTGGCGAGCAGGGTGCTCATGACGGCGGGTACCCCGGGGCACATGTACTTGGAGGACAGGCAGGCGAAGTGGCTGCGAAGAGCAGGGCACAGCCTGCCTAGATGGCGGCCCGGAGGGGCTCCCTGCACCCCCAACACTGGCCTGCGCTTTGACCTGAGTCTCCTTCCCTTCTTCCCCCATTCTGGGCCAGCAGCTCTGCATCTCCAGCCAAGCCAATCTCCAGTAATTTATGCGGTCCCCCAGGCCCCATCACTCCCCCAAACTTCGGACGCACCCCAACAGAAGGCCACGCCCACAAACCCACACATCATTGGTCAGGCGTTCCGCAAAAGACCCCGCCCACACAGAGCACACGTGGGTACCCCGCCCGCAGCCTCACGTCATGGCTTGGTAGATGGACTCCACGCCGTAGCGCATGGCAAACTCGTCCACGATCTCCTGGGCCGTCTCGTCATAGTACACCTTCCAGGCGTCGTCCCCCTTGGCGTCCGGAATCTTCACAACGCCATTGTTTTGCACGTCCGTCACAAAATGGAAGAGGTTCTGCGCCGGGGAGAGGGGTGTCTCGAAGGCGGTTCGCGCCTTCCATCACCGTTTTGCATTCTTGCGGTCCCTTGTTCTTTCATCTGCGCACGCACCCACTATCTATCCAACTCCTCTAAATGTCACCTCGCCACTCGTCCACCCAGTCAGTAAGCCAACCACAAATGCGTGCAGGTGTCCGTCTGTCCTATCCACTCGTCCACCTGTCCGACCATTGTCTGCCCACCCAAACATGTCTCCATTCAGCTACCTGCCTCTACCTATGCATCCAACCACCCTAGATTCACGTATATATCCTTTTAATAATTCAAGTCCATCCATCCATCCATTCATCCCATACAACTAACCACAATTCAATCCATCTGTACAAAAATTCATCCTTCCACACAGTTAACACTCCATCCACTCAGCCAGCCCCCAGCCCCCACCCACCTGCTCACCTGTCTCTCCATCCATCTACCCATATTTTCACTCACCCACCTACTGAACTACAAAATTCAAGCATCCTTTCACCTATACTTACAGTTCCACCACACATCCACCCATCTGTCCACCGACTACCCATTCCTCCATTTTTTCCTCTTTTCCACTGCCCACTCCCCCGTCTGGCCCTCTGCCTGTCTGCCCACCCCCAAGGCTTCCACCCCCCCATCCATCTATCACAATACTCACCTGTCTCCTCACCCCACACATCCACCCGTGTTATCCTTCCACCCACAATTTAACCTGTCCATCTAATAATTCATCCATTCACCATCCCAGCATCCAGTCCCCGCTATCCATCTGCCTGTCAGTCTGCCCATCTACCCACCGGCCATCTCTTTCCCCACCTAATGCACCACCAGCCATCACCTACCCCAGTTTACCCTCCCATTCCCTGATCCTTCCAGTAATCATTCAACCACACATCTACCCACTGTTTGTCTATTCATGCATCTGCCCACAACTCATCCCCCACCCATCCACTCACTTGCCGCCTCTCCCCCGTCCTTCTTATCCACTCAACACTCAGCCGAGCATCCATTTCCCAGCATTCCCAAGCAGTCAGCCAAGGAACTAAGGCCTGGGGTCAGCAGGGCCTGGCCCTGAGTATGCAGTTCTGGGGCAGGAGGCAGGATGCGGAGCTGCTCAGGGAGAGTCGGCCCAGGGGCCTGGTGCCGGCCCTGGGTGGACAGAGAGGTTTTCTGGGTGCAGGAGTAGTGGGGAACAGTCCCAAAGCTGGCAGAGAGCTCACACAGAGTGGCTGGAGGGGTTCGGGGAGCAGGGGAGCGCACCTCATGCAGGCAGGTGTACTGGACATGGTAGGGGGCCACCTTCTCTTCGCCCTTGATCTCTACGCTGATGTGCAGACGGATGGCACCTGACACGGCTGACTTGTCAGTCCTCTTGTCTGCAGGGCAGAGAGGGATAACTGTGTCACAACCCCACTGTCACCCTGGTTGGCTTTTTTTTTTTTTTTTTGGTACTAGAAATTGAATGCAGGGCCTTCACACTGAGCTCCATCCACAATCCTTTATTATTATTATTTAAATTTTAAGACAGGTCTTGCTAAGTCACTAAATTGCCCAGTTTGGACTCAAACTCACTTGTGTTATCCACCTGCCTTATCCTCCTAGAGTGCTGGGACGACAGGGGGACACCTCCATGCTCACGAACCTCTGTTTAGTAATCCATTTGGCAGCCTCCTAGACTAAGGACCCTCTCTGGATATTGGCTCCCATGGGTGCTGTCTCTTAGGCTAGAATTTCCCATCCCATCTTTCTTGTTAGGTGGAATATAGACCTTGATTCCTTACTCAGATAAAACCCGGGGTGGGCTTTGAAATGTTGCTATAATTTTTTTCTTTTTATTTGTATTTATTTTTAAATAAAATGGGTTTGGGAAAAAATCAATAAAACAAAACAAAACAAAATGTCAGTTATGAGCCTAAAAGAATAAATAAATAAATATAAAAAATGTTTAAAAAATCCCACCAAAAACCTGGGGTAGCATCTCTTGCCTAGCCTGGCACATCTAGGCCTGGCTTCTCCCCACTCTGCCTCCCCCCGGACTGCACCCCGGTCCTGGGCTCCCGCTCTTATTCTTCCCCAGCAGAGGCCATGTCTCTCTGCAGCAGGGCTCCCCTCTGTCCCCTCTGCAGGCCCTGCCCCCCCATGGCATCCCGGCTCACCCAGATTGTACCACACATCCATCTCGCCGCTGAGCGTCCGCACCTCGATGATCGTCTGTCCCAGGAAGTCGTCCGACTCCCGCTTGAACCTCTGCTTCACCCGGGACTTGATGTCATCGTCTTCATCCCACACACGCACCTTGATGCGGTCGGAGGAGTTGTGACACTCACTGCAGGGAGGCGTGGGCGAGGGCAGGAGTCAAGCAGCTGCTGTGGACCAAGCGGAGCCCCCTTGGGACCCAGTCGGGCACTCACAAGTGGAAATTCTCTTCCCACACGGGGTTGAGGTTCCCATAGATGGTCTTCGTTCGCTTCTTGGTCTTCCCGACCTGAACAGTGACGTAAGGGTCGCTGGATCCCGTCTTGTCCTTCGCCTGCAGGCCCTGGGCGCAAACCACTGGAAGACAGCTCGCGGCTCAGGACTCCCGGCTGTGCAGGCTATGCCTAGTCCGGCCCAGCCCGCAGCCCGCTGCCCTCACCCGTGATGCTGATCTTGGCCGACCACTTGGACGTGCCGTCCAGCACGCTCTGCTTCACCGCCTTCATCTGCTGCGTGTGCGCCGTCTTGGTCACCGCGAAGATCTCCTGGATGAGCTCGAAGATCTCGGGCTTGTTGCGCTCCCGAATCTTCATGCGGTCCTTGAGCACCATGATGATGTTCTGCGTGCGGTCTTCGGCGCCGTGCTTGGAGCTTTTCTCGGCGGCCCCTGCGGGATGTGGCCATCACTGTGCCCGCCAGCCCGCGAGGTCACAGGTTTACAGGCGCTCCCCTCCTCCCCCTCTCGGAACCCTCAGCAAGGCCTGGCCTACAGAAAAGTCCCACCCACTCGTAGCCACGCCCACCGGAGATATCACGCACCTGAGCCCGCCCACCAGAGGGCATCCTCTCGGAGCCACGCCTCTTTGAGGGCCTGTCTCTAGGCCACGCCCACCACGAGTTTTGACTCCGAGCCCCGCCCAACGCAGCCCTGCTCTCCTCTCTGAGCCACGCCTACTGGGGGGGTTCTGAGCGGCCCATAGGAGTCCGCCCCCTCTGCTTTTTTCTGGGGAAGATGCCTTTTGCTATGGAGTCGTACGTCCCTCTCCGACCCTCACTGCTTCGAGAGCAGCTCTTTAGAGGAATGGTACCCAAACGCACCATTTTTGTTCTGTTCCAGCAGCTCTACCATTTTCCTCCCACCACAACCTCCTCTTCGCCTTCTCTGAAAAAGAGCCTAGCCGGCCCCGCTCGCCCCCACGCCCCTCTACTAGCCTACCCCAAGACACCCCCTCTTCTCCGCCCCAGCCTCCGTCCTTCGCCCATCTATCTCCCCGCCCTTCTGCCTCTTAACCCAGAGATGTTTCTCGGCCAGCCCCGCTCTTGGTCGGCCCCACCCTCTCCTTGCCCCTTGCCCTTCTCTCCCCGCCCTCGCCCCTCGGCCTCACAGCCCAGCGAAGCTCCTCAGCCAGCCCCATTCTTGGTTGGCCCCTCCTTAGCCCCGCCCCACCCTTCGGCCGCCTAGCCCAGTGACGTTCCTCAATCAGTCCCGCTCCTGGTCGGCCCCTCCACGCCACGCTCTCGGCCCTCCTGCCCCGTCCCGCACTCACGCTGCAGGCAGTCGGCATTGAGCAGGTCCTGGCACTTCTCGTGGCACTTGACTCCACACTCGGTGCAGCGCATGCCCTGGCGCGCGATGCCCCAAAGCAGCCCCTCGCACTCGTAGCAGTAGGTGGGTGTGGTCGCGGTCCACACTTCAAAGTTGTGCGGCGTGGTGCATGAGATGGGGTAGATTAAGGCTTGCAGCGTCTTCTTGTAAACGTGGTTTTTCTGCAGGGAGGTGGGCGGCGCTGTTGCTCCTCGGTCCCTCCTCTCCGCACCCGCCTCTGTGCCTCTGTCCCCAGCCCAGGCCCTCACAGCTCACATACCAGTTCCTCGTTGTTCAAGGTGCTGGAGGCCAGGGCCGAGGTGATGCCCGCCTTTCTGGACTGGACTAGAGACTGCAACGGGGTCACAAGGACATTCACCGCAGATGGGAGCAGCCACGGCAGCATCAGAGCGGGTCACACAGGTCACAGCACAGGAGGAATAGACAAGGGCTCCGGGTTAGAAGGCCATAGCTTGCTCTCCGCCATAGACGTACTAGGGTCACCTTAGGTGATGCCCCAGCCACGCAACAGAGCCACCAGACAAACCTGGGCGCAGCAGGTCCCCCCGAACCTAGCACAAGGGCAGCCCCAAGGGCAGCTCCCTGGGGCGGGGGACTGAAGCCCCTTGGGGACCTGGGCACCAGCACTCACCATGGCCTGAAGCATCCACGCAGCACCGGGGCAGAAAGCAGGCTGCGTTAGTCCGGGGAAAGGCCGGGCCGGCCCTCAGCCCTAAATCCCCGTGGGCAGTTGCGCGGGCTGGCCATCACTTCCCCGCTGCCCCTCCAGGGCAGCGCTTACCAGATCGCTCACGAGGGGGATGGGCTTCCTCTTGCGGATGTCCGGCATGCTGTCAATGATGATGAGGCCGCCCCCGGGGCTGCAAGGACGTGGGGTTGGGACATGAGGGCTGGGTTCCGAACCCTCAGCACACAGGCACTGCCTGGGCTGCTAGGGTCCTGGGCCTCCCCAGGTGTCAGGGTCAAGCTGTGTCCTCAGCGGGACATGCTGAAGCCAGAACTGGGAAGCTGCAGCGGGGTGCACGCAAGGCCGGGGGCACGCGAGGGTATGGATGGCTCTGCGCCACTTGGCTGGTGGCCTTGTACGGAGCGGCACAGCCAGGACCAGCAATGTGACTGTGAAGACGAGGCACACGGATGGCAAGGGCTGGGACAGACAGAGCTGCGGAGAGGGAAGGAAGGATTGCGCCCCACAGCCCATGACACCCTGACTTCCCAATTCTGGCATCTGCCCTACTAGTAAGCCCTATGTAGTGATGCCATGTGACAACCCTAGAAGATGGGAACTGGGGCCATGGTGCACCCGTCCACTTTAATGAAAAACTAAATTAAGGCAAAGGTAAATGTCAAATTAGAATAGAGAGGATTTTTTTTTCAACACTAGGGGTGGAATCCAGGGCCTTCACATCCAGCACCATCTCCCACTTTTTCCAATTTTGAGACACAATCTCACTAAGTTGTCCAGGCTGAGCTTTGACTTGTGATCCTCCTGCCTCAGCTTCCCGAGTGCTGAGATGACAATTGTGTGCCATTGCGCCTGGTAGGAGGCTTTCCTTTGCACTTAGGATTGGAAACACGTGTGTGTGTGTGTGTGTGTGTGTGTGTGTGTGTGTGTGCACTTGAAGTCTGTCCTGGAGGGAGTGGTGATAAAATAGAGCTGACTAAGCAGGAACTGGAATCACTTGTGTGACTCAGACCTTTGTCAATGGCCCTGCCTGGGCTGGTGCATCGAAGCTGCTTTGGCGAGGGGCAGTGACTTCTGCCCAGAAAGCTCTTCTGGGCCCTGGGGGAGTCCATGCTGCAGTGCTTTCTATAGCAGGGATCAGAGTGGCCTGCAGCACCTTCCCCATCCAATCCGAGCTGGCTGCATCCCCTGCAGTCCTGCTCTGTCACCACCTCCAGCCAGGGCCCACTCTTTTATTTTTGGAGCTGCAGCTCCTCCGGCTCCTGATTCTGTGTGCAAGGGAGGCGCACGGGAAGGAGGCCACGGTCCTGATGCTATTTCTGAACACGAGTGTCACTTAAGATTATCTCCTGCATCATCCCACCTCCCTACCCGCCACCCACCGGCAGGCACCTCAGAGGCCACTGGTGACAGCTCTGCACGGGCTCTTTGACTCTTGTTAATTAAAGAGCCTGGGACCCAAGCAAGAATCCGGGAAGCTCAGACACACAAGCTAAGCAAGCCAGAGGCTGCAGCACTGCCCAGGGAGGAGGTTGTGCCCATCAGTTTCTGCTCTGTCTCATGCCTATTTCTGCTGGGTGTGGCCGTGTGTGCCTGCAGTCCCAGCTACTGAAGAAGTTGAGGCAAGAAGATTGCTTGAACCCAGGAGCTCAAGATCAGCCTGGGCAATATAGCAAGATCCCATCTCAAAACAACAAAGACAAAGAGTCCTTTCTAAATGGGGCCATGTCTGGTCCAACTCTTGCTAGGCTGAGCCACAGTTGCAAAGCAGCCTGGGATCAGGATTCAAGGCTTCCTGTTGTGGCCTGCAGTCTGTCACTCACCCGCCTTTGAACCACAAGGACTTGGACATCTCTCCTTCTCCCCGGGCCTGTGGGGTAGACAGATTACAGAGTCAGTGCGGCCATTCCCCACCCCCCCCCTTCGTTTCTGCTCCTGGCTGTGTGATCTTAGGTCCTGGACCCCTCTGGGCCTTGTTCATCCATGTGTGAAGTGGGCTCCTCCCCTTCACACTGGTCCTTTGGCCTTGGTGCCAAGGCTGGGCTGAGTCAGCACGGTGCTCATGAGAGCTCCTCTTCCACAACCCTGCAGTTGACGGGGGCACAGGGTTCAAACTTCTCTAATCCAAACTGAAGAACCAACACTTCTTGAACTCCCAGTTTCACTACCTGAATGCTCCAGGGTCTTTGCATGGCTGGTCACCAGCCTGCATGCTGCCACCTTCTGTACCCTGCTAGCCTCCACTTAGCGCTCAGGTCTCAGTGCAGACTGAGGCAACTCCCTGACCGTGAGTTTGACCCAGATGTGGCTGTAGCCACAATCTCAGTCTGCCCAGGCTCTAGTCCTCCTCTCCCTCCTGCTGGAGCCAGATTGGGTCAGGTACAGGAGGAGCCTGCCAAGTGTCAGGCCTGCCTCTGTATGCTTAACACGAAACCTCAACTGGCGGAGGTGCTTGGCCGGCGAGGGCAGGGCCAAGGGAGAATCTGGTGGACAGTGCAGTCATGGCGGAGTGTGGGCAGGCATTGGGCGTTGCCAAAGTGGGTGCAGATGGGGAAGTGAGTGTGGACAAAGTGGATAGGGGCGATGGGCATGGCTTTGGGCATGACCAGACTGTGAATGGGATGGGTGGGGTGTTGGATGTGGCTGAGGTTTCGGGTGAGCACTGGGCATGGCCCGACAGCAAGGACATGGAGGCACTGGGTACGGCCAAGCAGGTGTTAGAGGGATTGGATGTGATTAAATGTGGGTAAGGTTTTGGCGTGGGCAGGCTGGGCATGGGTGGAGCATTAGGCATAGTTGTCCTGATGTGGGCATGGCGGCACTGTAGTAGGAGGGGAAGTGGGTGTGGCTGCATGGTGTGGGCGGGGCATCGGGCGTGGTCGTGCTGATGTGAACTGCGCATTGGGCATAGCTGTGCTAATGTGGGCGTGGCTACACTGTTGTGGGTAGGGAAATGGGTGTGGCTGTGCTAGTGGCGGGCTGCCCCTCACTCACCTCCTGCAACTGCATCCGCACCTTGTTGAAGGCGCGCAGCCAGTTGGCCTTGGCCCTGGACATGGAGTCCTGGCCTTCCTGGCCTTCTTCATCCTCTCGGGCCCTGAAACTGAAGAGGAGGATGTCATGAGTCCTGTTGCAGCTCACTATAGCCCTAATCTCCCTCCACCCCAAGTCTGCCATGTCCTCGATGACGACCAGGGTCCGAACTCTACCCACGCCATCACCCCTGGCCCTCACAGCCCTGAATCCATTTCCTGTAGTGCCGGCCCCTTAGGGCCTTCAGGATCCCTTTCGTGGGTCCTGTGATGCCTTGTGACCTTCCAGATCCCTGCCCTGTCTCCGACCTGCAGGAGCACAGCGCTCTGCATGGGCCCCAAGGCTGCCAGGTCTGGAGTACCTGTGGCACCCAGGTGCCAGCCCTGCCTTCAGCCTAGCCCCTACCTCTCCTCCACCTTGGGGGGCTCAGGCTCAGGAGTCTCCTCAGGTGTGGTTGGTTTGGGGGCCACTTTGGCCAGGTCAGAGCTCTCAGTTGGCAGCGCCAGGCCCTTGTCCTCCTCAGGGGCGGCTGGAGGGAGGCTCATGCGCTTAAAGTCCTTGGACTCGGCTACCACTGGCTCCTCGCGCAGGGTGTAACTGGCCAGGTCATCAGGCACGGCCTCCTCCTCCTCCAGCTCCTCATCCTCTATCTCCTCCTCCTCCAGGTCCTCCTCTAAATCCTCCTCCAGGTCCTCCTCCAGGTCCTCGGCGTCCTGGTCCCAGCGTGGCGAGTCCTGCTGGTAGCTCACAGAGCTGTGGCACGAGTGGTAGGAGTCGCGGTCACGCTCGTCCTCCAGCTCTGAGCCCTGCAGGCTCTGGTCCTCAGGGTCGAAGTCCTCGCTCAGCTGTGAGCTGCCTCGGCTCAGCTCCCCCGATGATGCATAGCGGCTGCTGCCCGTGGGGCTGCAGGAACAAAGGGGCCTGGGTCAGAGGGTCCTAGTGTCCAGGCTTTCACTCATGGAGCAACTGCCAGATCCTGCCTGAGGCACCAGGAAACAGCTGGATCTCGATAAGTGACCCAGGTGAGGTTCAAACTGTAACCCTCCTGCCTCAGCCTCCCAGACAGGTTGGATTATAGTCATGCGCAGTGGCACCTGGCTTATGTGGCTCGCCTGCTCAGGATTCAGTGGAGAGCATATGTTAGAAGACTGTTATGGTGTGACTGTGTCTCTCGAAGTGCATGCATTAGATATGTGATCCCAGTGCCATAGTCTTTTTTTTTTGGGGGGGGGGTGTCTTTTTGAGACAGGGTCTCCCTAGGTAGTCTAGGCTGGTCTTAAGCTCACTTTCTAGCCCAGGCTGGTCCCAGACTTGCAATGATTTTGCTGCCTCAACCTCCTGAGTGCTGGGATTATAGGTGTGCATCATCACACCTGGCCAAATGCCACAGTCTTGACCTTTAGTTAATCCCGGCGGCCTTTGCCTTTATCCAGCATGCTGGAAGACTGAGGCAGGAGGATCACAAATTGGTCCACTCAGCCTATGCTGCTTAGGCACAAAGAGACCCTGGCTCAAAATTTTAAAAATTTCTAAAAAGAGCTGGGAATGAATACCTGTAATCTCAGCACTGAGGAGACTGGGGCAAGGGGGTCAGTGCAAATTCTAGGTCAGCCTGGATGACACATCAAGGGCCTATCTCACAAGGAGCAACGAAAAAAGGGGGCTGGGCGTGTAGCTCAGTGCAGAGACCTTGGATTCCATCCCAATTGTTGGTTTCTGTTCAGAAGCCTGGGCCAGCAGGTCAGGCTGTCAGGGAGAAGTGGAGACCCTGTGTCACAGGCCTGGGTAGCCTCTAAGGGGACTCTGTAGGGCCATTCCACAGCCACCAGCCACAGTTGCTGTGGGAACACGGGGCCAGGGCCACACCAGGGTGCTGCTAGCTACTCGCTGGGATCCTGACCAGCACTCTGTTCCCCATTCAGCCTCCCCTCTTCCCTGCCTGGCCCATCCTCAATGGGGCAGGACACGGGTCAGGGGGCAGGGGTCTGCATCCCCTGGGAAACTCACCAACTCTCAAGCCCCCTTTCACCTAGCAGCAGAGCCCCAGAACTTCCTTCTGCACTGAGCTGCATCCCTAGGTTGCTCAGGCTGGGCTGGAACTCGAGATTCTCTAGCCTCCAGCCTCAGTCATGCTGCCACAATTATCCTCGCAGGTGTTTAAGTAAGGCGAGGGCTTCACACCCACACAGGCAAGCATTTGCTCTGCTCCCCCATTGGTACCCCCAGGGCCGCCCAGGCTACCTGAGCGCCCGAGGCTCGGAGAACTCCTCGTAGCTCTGCATGGAGTCGCTGTAGGACTCTCGGGAGCCCAGGGGCGGCGGGCGCACCGAGTACTGGTGCACTGAGGCGTTGGGCTGCGAGGTGGTGTAATAGGGTGGTGGGATGCTGTTGCTCGTCTCGCTGCGGTAGTCGCTGTCCCTGTCGTCCACTGCACTGTCGGGGTCATCGTCTGGGAGACAGCGGAGGGGAGGGACTGTGCGATGGGACCCTGGCCCAGGGGGAGGCGTTTTTACGGGGTGCTTAGAAGACTGTGTGTCGTGTTTCTAGATATGCCCCAACAAGGGAGGCAAAAACCCCACCTGGCCTCATCTGATCAGATGGGATCCGGAGTCTGGGTCAGGTAGGACAGAGGCTGCAGGGCCCAGGGACCTTCTGCCACACATAGACTGCCCAGAAAACAAGGTGGGGTCGTGTCCCACCAGGCAGTGGGTGTCCCGTGGGAAGGGCACTGGGGACAGAGCAGGGACAGAGTTCCTGACTTTGCAGGGTAAGTGCCCAGACCCAGGCTTGCAGGTACAGAGCAAGGAAGAGGAGGTTGGGACAGGGGCCATCTCCATCCAGAGAGGGCTTGATTCTTGGGTGGCCTCTACACACCAGCAGGGACCTGGTGGCAGTCGCCGAACTCCAAGTGCTTAACGAGAGCCGAGGCGTATTTTGCTTTGGGTTAATCTCCCTTTTCTAAACTCTAAACAAAAAATTCTAATTCTAAAAGCAATGTGTTCTGGGCATGGTGGTGCACACCTATAATCCCAGCTATTCAGAGGTTGAGCCAGGAGGATCCCAGGTTCAAGACCAGCCTGGGGAACACAGTGAGACCCTATGTCAAAGAACCCAAACAAAAAGCAGTATCTGGGTAGGGCTCAAACACTTTCATATCTGTTCATTTCAGCAACTTCTGGGAAAACCTCTTTCCCTCACACCCTTCTCCCCCTGACCTTCTTTATGGTAATGGAGAGGGAACCTAGGACCTTCAGTCTGTGTTACATCCTCAGCCCTTTTTAATCTGAGACAGGATCTCTCTCTAAATTGCACAGGCTATGCATTGTTATTGTTTTGGGCTCCTAGAGTTATTTGTTGTTTTGCTTTTCTCTCTAATACAGAAAGGATAGATGTACATATATAGCCTTATATATGCCTTCACCTAAAGGGTTTACAAGAATTGATTTTAGTACGTGTGGTAGTATGAACAGCTACACTGAAGAAAACGAGACACCATGGTAGCCATTGACAGTTTCCTATTATTTTGTTTCAGAAGCCAATAATGCTTTTATTCTTGGTTTTGATTGGTTTTAGTCTGTTTTCAATTATTTGATTCCAATGTATATGAACATGTGGACAGTTATTTTGAAGAAAATAAAAGACATTATGGTAGGCATTATTGATTTCCTAGTGTCTGGTCTTGAAAGCCCTTAAGGCTCTCATTCTTGTGTTTTGATAGCTTTTATACTATTTTGATGTATATTAACTTATTGTGAGTAAAGGTATGGACAACTAATTTGAAGAAAACAAGAGACATGGTAGCCACTGTGGATTTCCTGCTGTCTTTCTGAAATCCTTTGTTACTTATATTGTCTTACTCTGCTCTACTTTGTTCTGTTCGGTTTCATTTTGCTTTGTTTTGTTCTCTTAAAATAAAATATAAAAAAATTTTTAAAAATTGCCCAGGCTAGACTTCAATGTACAATCTTCCTGCCTCAGCCTCCTGAGTAGCTGGGACTACAGGCCTGCCCCACTCTGCCCAGATTAAAAAATCATTTCAATAATGCACATGACATTTATAATGAAAGACAGACTAACATTATTATTATGAAAGCGAAGCTGAACATAGCCAGCACAGTGAGGCTGAGAAGTATGGGGTGTGTAGGGGTCCTTGCAGAGGGCACCCCTGTCCTCAGCACTCAGGCCACAGAGAGGCTTTGAGGTGTGACATCCTCAGCAGCATCAGAAAGTATTAAACCCTACCCATGTGAGACACCTCTGTGCATTTAGAAAGTGACACCTGGGCTGCAGGAAATGCAGCCCCGTGCACCTCACAGTAACTTCTGGTGATTTTACCCTGAGGGATGGGGGATGGTTGTGCCTTTTGTATCTACATATTTTTGCTCATTTGCCAGACATTTGTTTGTTTTTCTTTATCTCAATTTTTTTTCAGCTAGGTCTTTCAGCTAGATGCATGTTTGTGTTGTTTCTTTGTTGTTGTTTGTTCTAGGCTGGCCTGGAACTCATGGCAATCCTTCCTGCCTCAGCCTCTCCAGTGCCGGGATCACAGGTGCATGTCACCATTGCCATCATGCCCAGCTAAATGCCTGGATTTCTAAGTGCATGAAAAGGAGGTTTGATTCTTTCACTGTGGTCAACTATTAATTTCAGCCTGGTGTGACAGTGCACCTCCCCCTCATCTCTGCACTCTGGGAAGTTGAGGCAGGAGGATCACAAGTTTGGACCCAACTTGGGCAATGTAGTGACCTAGGGAGACCTTGTCCCAAAATAAAAATTAAAAAGGACCAGAGATGGGGCTAAGTGTGAAGGTCCTTGGTTCAACCCCCAGTCCAGGAAAGTCAGGGATGAGGGGCAGTGAAGAGGATGCTGTAGGCATCTTGCATGGTGGCCCCGGCTTATTCCTGGGGGAGGGCAGTAAGGGGGAGCAATCACACGGCCGAGTCCCAGCGCTCTGTACTGTCCCAGCGGGGTCAGAAGCTGTTAGGGGAGGGGTTCAGGCTGGGCCCCTGCCCTCAGAACCCTAGGTCCCCATGTCTGTGTGGGGGGCAGGGTTCACGGTCCCCAGGACAGGAAGCTGTCTAGGACTCACTCTGTTCTCCCCAGCCGAAGTAGTTCCAGTTGCCTACAAGAGAAGGACCGAGATGGTGGGGGATGGGGGCTTGCTACTGTCCCGCCCCTCCCCCCACCCCCCATGTTGGGAGGGAGGATTCTGGGGTCTTCTGTCTCTTCCTTTCCAGTTAACCTGTGCCCCTGAGCCTCAGGATTCCTGGAGGGCTGGGACTCAGATTAACCCACAAGGTCTCTCCTCAACTCAAGAGGCTGAGGCAGGAGGACTGCTTGAATCCAAGAGTTCAAGGCTAGTTTGGGCCACACAATGAGAGCTGGGCTCAAACAGTGGTTCTAAGGGAGGGCACCTTGGAGTAGTGGAAAGGGGACAGACCCCCAGCTCCTCTTGTCCGGCTCTGCCACCTGCTGATGGTGGCCCTGGACACGCCTTTTCTTCCGTTACTTTAAGAAAACAGGCACGGGAAGCAGCCCCTCACCCACGGGACACATGTCCCTGCATGGGCACTGCTGGTGGGGTGCTGGGGCCTGTGCAACCCTGGCAGAGATTTGTCAAATGATTTCTGGATCTCATTCAGTGTCTAAGTAGGAAGGGCAGGGTTGGCAGCCCCGAGGCTCTGCAGGGGACACCAGGGGATGGAACGGGACACTTACAGCACTGGCTGCTGGGTACTGGCAGTGGCTTCTCCTGCTCATCTGGGAACGAGTACTGCGGGTGGGGGCAGAGGCTCAGGTTTGGAGCTGGCAGCAGCATGGCCCAGACCCCCCCACCCCCCGTTTGCAAGGGAAGGGAGCAGAGGGAAGAAAGGAGCAGCAGAGGATGTGGTGCTGGGGTTGAACTCGTCCTGGGGGACAGGGTGGGAGTGGCCCACACACCTCGTCCTGATCGCGCATGGCGTTGAGCTGCTCCAGCTTCTTGGCCCAGTAGCGTGCTTCCTCCTCAGGGATGTCTGCAGAGAGAGCCAGCATGCAGGCCCAGTGGCCCCAGTGCCTCCCGACCCCAACTCTCTGGCTGCCAGACCAGAGACTGGAGAAAAGGTCATTCAAGTTCTAGCCCAGCCTGGGCAACTTAGCAAGACCTGAGTCAGTGGCTCAGCAAAGAAAGGGATGCAGCTGCGTTGGGACTCCGGGTTCCACCCCGTGCAGCAAAGGGCCGGAGCCATGGGGCCTGGTCCCTCACACCTGACTCGCAATGTTTCATATTTAATTATTTATCTGTGGTGTGGACATTGAGCCGCCTTTACTCTGACCTACATCCTCAGCCCCTTTTTCCTTTGAGGCTGGGCTGGAACTTGTGATCTTTCTGCCTCAGCCTCACAGCATGCTGAGATGACGGGTGTGCCCACCACACCCAGCTTCCCTCTGTCCTGTCCCTCTCTGTCCCTCTCCTAGCTCTACTGGCCCTGTTGCCTGCACCGCCCTGGACTCCATGTGGCACAGCGGCACCCGGGGTGCAGGGCCCCAGCGACTCACCCAGGGGCAGCTCAAAGCGCGTGTCCAGCAGGATGCGGTGGAAGGTGGGGTCTTTGGTGCCACAGATCTCGCTATCGGCCATGATGACCTGGGAGTCCAGTGTCAGCCACTCACCGGGGCCCTCCTGGGGCAGAGACAGTGCCTGGTCAGCCAGGCAGCATCTGCACACCTCGGCAGGTGGCTCCTCTCTGTGTCACCCCACCATAGCCTGGATCATGGTCCCCATCTGGATATGGGACACTTGAGGTGTACAGGGAGGCCCTTACCAGGAGGCTGAGGCAAGATGGGCCCCTACCCTGGTGATGGCACCAGGGCTGAGGACCAGGGTGCTGGTGGGCACCCTCCTCTGGCAGGCATGGCCTCCCTCTTGCTGCCCACCACAGGCATATGACCCCTTCTTTCTTTCCTTCCACAGTATGGTAATATAAATTCTAGCTCAGTTCAGAGGGCGTGGTTTAAAGCAGCATTTCCCAGAATCCCTTGCCGCTAGGCAAAGCCACGTGACTCAATAAAGTGCTGGGAGTGGCTCTTTCCTTTGCCACTGTTCCCCAGCTAGGATACAGATGCAGTTATTAGCCTTAAGCAGCCACTTTAGGTCACTGGACAGAAGCCACACCGGGGAAAGCAGGGGTAAGGGCATGGAAGGAGTTTAAAAGGAGCTGGTGATTTTGGGCTTGTCAAGGCGACCCCAGATGTCCCGGTGGATGTGCTCATCTCCTTCAGATCACGTGCCTCTGGGCCCTCCCATGCCCTGCGGTCACCTCATTAGACTGGCGGATGGTCCGCAGCGGGATCCACACAGTGCCCACCATGGTGTCCCAGATAAGACCCTTGTTCCACACCTCCACGGTCAGCCCCAGGTCCAGGCGGTTGATTTCGCTGGGGAGAGGGGCAGGACAGGGGCTCAGGAATCAGGTCCTCCCCAAGTCACCACTGTGCAGACCAGGCCAAAGCTCTGCGGGAAGGAGCCCAGCCTTCTCATTTTTCAGAGGGAAAACTGAGGCCAGAGGGGCTGTGACCAGCTCAGAGCGGTACAAACAGGTCCTGGACTGGGCAGCGAGGGGCGGGCAGCCTGCCTCTAGGCGCCTGTGCAGAATCACAGTGGGGCACAGGGCCTGGAGCTCCAGGAGGGGGCCAGAGACAGTGCAGGTGCAAAGGCCCTGGGGCAGCGCCAGGCGTGTGGGCGGTTCTGGGGGAGGCCACCGAGCCAGAACGCGTTTGGAACGCACAGTGTCAGAATGTGATCTGCAGTGTTAAAAATATCCCTGGCTGCACGAGGAGAGCAGATTGTGCGAGGCGGGCGGCAGCAGGAGGCCGGGGTGGAGACTGGCAGCAGCCAGGACTCCGAGGTGCCCTGGAACTGGAGGGAGGCCAGGGACACCCAGGGGTCTGGGGTGGCCTAGGCTGGTGTGGGCAGCCGGATGGGGGCAAAGGTGGGAGGGGCGGCCCGGGAGGGTGTGATCAACATGGAGGGCGTCGTTAGCAGGGAGGAGCCCTGCAGCATGGGCGTGGCCAAGGAATGGTACTGGGCTGGGGCGTGGCCATGGTAAGCGAGGCGGAGCAGTTGTGGTGGGGGCGTGGCCTGTTAGGGGAGTGGTCAGGGAAGATAGGGGCGTGGCCAAGACTGGAGGGCGTGGTCTCGATGGGTAGGGCCGCGAAGCGAGGGCGGGCCCTGAGGCACTCACAACATGAAGTCCTGCTCCCAGCTGGGCTGGCTACCTCGCACAGCGATGGTTGTGCTCTTGACATTCTGCACCTTCAGGGTCACATACGTGTTGAATTTCTCTGTGGCGGCGAGAGCAGAGGTCGGCCTGGCACTCAGGGACCCTGACAGCCCTTCCCAAGCTCTGGGTGTCCCCGCGTTCCGTTCCGGGGCCTGTCCTTTCTTCCTGCAGGGTCCCCGCAGGGCACAGGGGGACGATGTCGCACAGGGTTGCTGGGCGCCCGGTATGCTTCCTCTGAGCAATAGGTGCAGATGGACACAGACCAGACCGGTATGCAGCCGGGGAGGGGCTCCGAGATGTTGCCCTTGTTCCTGGGCCTCAGTTTCCCTAGCTATAGCCGATCCAAGGCACCCCCCCCCCTCCTGACACCCTGCCTGGCACTCCTGGGACAGAGAGCCAAGTCCAAGTCTTGGGCCAGTGCCCTCCTCCCTCTCCAGAGACAGGACAGACGGACAGAGGACAGACGACACAGGACAGCAGGTGGGCACTTACCTTGGGCCCCATCAAACTTGGCTTTTTTGACTGTGGAGAGACAGAGATAGGGAAGGGAGATGGGAGAGAGGAGAAGAAGAAAAGACAGATACAGAGAGATGGGAGGGAGCAAGGTAGAAACATCAGGAGAGGGACAGTGAGGTGCACAGCCAGAGACAGAGAGGAAACACACAGAGACAGGCAGAGACATGAAAACACACGAGAGACAGGGACGCACAAATGGAGACAGAGAGGAGAGACAGGAGAGAGAGACACACAGACAGGGAGACAGAATGAGACAGAGATGGGCAAAGACAACGAGCACAAGTGTATCAAGAGACACAGCAGGAAAAACAGAAAAGGTAAAGAGACATAGAGGAGGAGAGGTGACAGGAGGAAGAGGAAGAGGAGGAGGAGGAAGAGGAGGTAGGGATGAGAGAGAAAGAAAGAAAGCATCAGACAGACAGCCTGGGCTGGCCTAGGCCAGGAGGAAATCTGACCAGAAGCAGCCAGCTCTCACTCCATTCCCATCTCTGTCTATGTAGCAATGCCTTTACCCCCAGTGGAAGAAGATTCCAAACAAGGAACTGAGCCTGGCACAGCAGTGCCTACCTGTCAGCACAGCACTCTGGGAGGCTGAGGCAGGACGACTGCGAGTTTGAGCCCAGACTGGGCAACTCAGTGACTTAGCAAGACCTTGTTGCAAATAAAAAATCAAAAAGGAGCTGAGAAGTGGTGGAGGGCCTCCTGTGGAGGAGGCAGGAGGGAGTTAAGAGGAGGCTACCTCCCAGGCCCTGTCCCTGCCCGTGTACACCTCTTCCTTAATCATCCAGGTCTGGCTCCCAGAGGCACTTAGGGTTCAGGGTGCACATCAGAGGCAGGGGTGGCAACATGAGACAGAACAGGCCAGAGAGCTGGCCCAGGGTGCAGCTGTTAAAGGCAGTCCCTTGCCTTGCTTGGGAGCACTGAAACTTGAGTGGCTGCTAGGATCCTTGGAACCAATCTCCCAGTGCCTAGGGATCATGAGCAGTGCCACCTGGGCTGTGCCAGGCCAGCTGCTTCTGTGTGTGGAGCATCATCATCTGGGTGGCACTGGGAGCTTTGCACTGAGCTACATTCTTACCCCAGACTTTTTCTTTTCTTGGTTTCTGGGATCAAACTCAAGACCTCGCACTCACCAGGCAGGTACTGTGCGGCTGAGCCTGAGTCCCCACCTCGTGACCCAGACTTTCAAATGCACAGGAGCCAGGCATCTGCCCTACTCTGTGTGGGGCTGTGCCGGGAGGTGGGGCTGGGTTGATCTCCCCCGCTGTGTGACCGCGAATCTGCTCCCACATCTCCCAGACCCCGTTCCTCTCTGTCCCCTGTGGCCTCTGTCACTAAAACCATCCTGCTTCAGAACCTCCCTGAACACAGCCCGGCCCTCGTGGGGTTGGGCTTCTGGGTGCTGGAGTCCGGGGTCCCTGGGGACTGCCTGGGGTTGGGTCCAGTCTGCCAGAGGTGCCACCCAGAAGGATCTGGACTAGAGGAGAGGGAGCCCAGAGGCCCTTTGGGGTCTCTCTGTCTCTGTCTTTGTCTCTCTGTGTCTCTCTGTCCCCATCTCTATTCCTCTGGCTGTCTGTGTCTCTCTTTGCCTTTCTGTCTCTGTCTCATCCCCACTTCACCTTGGGTCCCCTGTCTCCCCCTGCCTCAGCCTCCTGGCAGGATTTCACTGTCCCGGCTCTGCCCCACATCCCCCTCTGGGTCTCTTCCTCCCGTCCTACTCCCTCTCTGTCTGTCCCCTGGGGTCCCAGCTGTCTGGGTTCTCCGAGGCGGTCTGGGAGCTGTGACCTGAGTCCTGGCTGTTCGTTTGCTGGGAGGCTCGCGGGGTTCCGGGAGGCCCTGCTCTGGTCCCTGCTGGCAGCACAGCCCTGGCCAAGGCCTCCCGCGCCTCCCGTCACAGCCCGCGCGGTGGCGACATTGGGGCGGCTCGGGTCACGCCGAGCTATTTGAGCTATTTATAACGCGGGCGGTGTAGACACCGCGCCCTGCAGCCGGGCTGGGCGGTGCTGGCTCCGTCTCCATCCCCCTCCCAGCGGCGTCCCGTGCAGCCGTTTTCATGACTGGGCCGGGTCCTGAGCCTACTGGGCTGGACGGAAACCCACGTAGTGGTGCAGGGCCAGGGGCTGCCTGCTCAGTGCGGTTCACTCGGCGACCCTGCCCCCCGGGCGCGGTCATAGTAGCTGCTCATTAAACCGCGGGTTTCAGGGGGTGACGATGGAACCTCTTCCCCCTGTGACCCAAGCTTGGCCGGGAATAACAACACTGGCAATTCTAATCTGGAACCTTCACGGGGCTCTGGCGGGAAGCCCATGGAGCCCAACTGAGGGCTAGAGGTGGGAGCTGGGCCACAGCGTCAACCTGTGCCCTCCCGGGCCCTAGAACCCCAGGAGGGCTGCTGAAGCTCCCTGGGCCTCGGATTCCTTGTCTGTAAAATGGGACTGCTGTGAGGAGGATCAGGGCCGGGAGCGCTGGGTGTGTGGAGCTTGCTGGCCCTGTGAGGAACACCCCTCATCAGCGTTTGTGGTCTTTTGACGACGACCAGAGCGGGGCAGACTAGGCAGTGCACATCTGAAATTCCAGCACTCAGGGAGGCCCAGGCAGGAGGGTCACAAATTCCAGCCCAGCTTGGGCAGTTTAGTTACCCCTGTTTCTACATAAAAAAAATAGACCAGGCTGGGGATGGACCTCAGTCCAGAGGACTTGGATTCAATCCCCGGGACCAGAAAAAAAAAGGGGGGGGGTGCGGGGGGCTCTGTGCCGAGACCACTACTGGGCGATCTATCCTGTTTGTCTCCTGGGCGTACTAGGAGTCTGGATAATAGTGGCAGGCATACATGTGTGCGCGCAGAGGGCCGTGTGCAGCGGTGCATGCAGGTGAGCCCTGCACACGTGTGTCTGGGGTGCGGGTGCGCGGTGTGTGTGTGTACTGTCGGCACACGCGGACACGCGTGTCTGTGTGCAACACTGATCCCGAGGGCCTCCCTGGGCCGGCGCGTGCTCTTGTACGCACCGCTGTGGCTCCGGAACTGCCCGCGTCAGTGAGCTGCTGTTCTGCACCCCTAGCTCCCTTTTTTTGCTGGGCCGGTCCTGCAGTCACTCACTAAGTTGCTCAGGACCGGCTCGCACTGGTGATTCTCCTGCCTCAGCCTCCCAGAGAAGACATGAGACCTTCGTGTGGGGTGCAGCTATGTGCGGGCGCCCCCGGACACGTGCCTGGGGTTCTTCTACTGCGGTAGCCCAGCCTGCGCAGCCTGGGCTCCCCGGTTGGCTCTGGATCCGGGTGCGAACGTGTCGGGGATTCCGCAGCGCGAGAGCTGGGCACACGCCTTCCCCAACTCGGCGGATGCCTCTACCTTCCCTTACCCGGGACTCCCACGGGCGCCCCTTCCCCTCCGGGCTCTCACCTCTCCCAGCCCACGTCACCCCAACCTCGCGTCAGAGGCGGGGCGCGACCCCCACCTCCTGGGAGCCCGGCCGGGAGCGCGCCGAGAAGGCAGCAGGAGCCCCGAATCGCCGGCCCCAACCCCGCCCTCCCTCCCTCGGCCTGGTCTTCGGGGCGCGTGGGCGCCTACCCCACGCGCTCCGAGCTCCAGCTGGCCCGGGGTGGCCTTTGCCGCCCCGCCCCCGCCCCGTCGGCCGCACCTCGCTCGGGAAAGGGACGCTGTCCCTTTAAGAGCCCCGAGTCCACGCCGCGCCGGGCACGGAGCGAGCGGTTTGTGAATGGAGGGGGGAGGGGCAGGCCCACGCGCTCCCGCGGCCCCGACCCGCCCACCGCTGCCGCCGGGATGGGGTCTCCCGGCCGCAGGGAAGGGGCTCGGCGTCCGCTGCCGCAGCGCGTGGGCCGGGCGTGGCCCCCAGATGCTGCCCTGCGCCTCGCCACCGAGGGTGCGGCTGCCGGAGATCCCCCTGCCTCGGTCTTCGGGCCCGTGTCCGGGCCACGCCGCGCCCGCCGGGTCTGCAAGGCTCCGACCTCGCGGCGCCCACGCGGCCCCGCCTCGCCCGCACCCACGCGGCCCGAGCCCTACCTCCCACGCAGAGCAGCGACATGGCTCCTGGCTCAGTGGCCGCGCGGCCGGGGCAGCTCCGCGCTCGCCGGGGCCCGGGCGCCACCTGCCATCTTGGTCAGCACCGGGGCGCGGACAGCGCCGGCGCCGTGACGTGCGGGGCGGGCCCAGGCCCGGTCCCGCCCGCTCTGCCGCGCCCGCTCTCTCCGGCCTGCCCGGCCCTGGTACCCAGAGAACTCCTCTTCACCCTGTGGTGCCCAGGCCAACCGCAGCCCCTTCCCGGGGAAGGGACCCTTTTTATTGCAATCCTGGGCCTTTGAACTTTTTTTTTTAAAGACAAGTGCAGGGGACACAGCTCAGCGGCACAGCACCTGCCTGGCAAGAGTGTGGTCCTGAGTTCCATTCCCTGTACCAAAAAATAAAAATAAAAATACAGGCAAAGTAAAATTTTAAGACAGGGTCTTACTAAGTTACTAAATTGCCCAGGCTGGATTTAACCTTGTGATCCTCCTGCCTCAGCCTCCAAGATCAGTGCGGAGTCCTTGTTTTCTTGCTCTGGACTTCTCAAGCTCATCCTTCTGCTTGACCCCGACTCCCGCACAGTTCTGTTCATTGTTTCAAAGCCGCCGCCAGCCGGAAAACCTGTTGGCTCTATACTCCGCATTGGAGCACACTTGGCTGAGCCCCAGGGATCACCACCCTGGTCCACGCACACGGAGGAGGGTCGTGAGTGCACAGCGTGTGTTCAAAATCCTACACCCAGCCAGGCGTGCTAGTGCACTCCTGTAATCCCAGCACTGGTGAGGCTGAGGCAGGAGGATCATTGCAAATTTGAGACCACCTTGGGCTACATAGCAAGACCCTGTCTCAAAAAGACAAACAAAACAAAACAAAAATCCCCCAAAGCCCTACACCTCCCCCCACTTTCCTCGCTCTCTGGTCACCGGCATGAACCTGTGGATCACCTGAACGTTCTGTGCTTTGGTTTCCCCTGCCGTGGAAGAGGGACATTAACAGACCTCGCCCCACAGCATCGCAGAGGCACTGGCATCCGTCGTGCGCTCCACTACATTTCTCATAAATTCTAGTTTTAGTTACCTAACCATCAGCTATTGGTCAGGAATAAGTCGCAGTGGTGACAGATTTGGATTTTAATACCTGTGGTCCCAGAATCCTAGGAGGCTGAGGCAGGTGGATCTCAGGTTGGAGTTTTTCCTGGGTGACTGGGTGACCTAGCAAAATTCTATCTTGAAACAGAGAACAAATTCTGCAAGGCCAGGCTGGGGGTGTAGCCCAGTGGCACAACCTGCCTGGCAAGCTCGAGGTCATGAATTTGATCCCTGGTACCCCAAAACCCCTGAAAGGCCTGGCAGGCAGCACAGCATGAGGTGTTGTGTCCTGGCCCAGGCCAAGGAGTGCGGCTCTCTCAGCTCAGTGGGTCTGTGCCCTCTCTCAGTTCCTCCCAGAAGGAGAATGCGAGCTCCATTCTCCAAGCTGCTGCTGTACTTTGCACAGCCATTGGCCCAGGTTCGCATCCTGCGTGTCCCAGTGCCATGACTGGAGTTGAGTTCTCATGCTCCCTGCCAAGGCCACTATCTGCACACGGCCCTCAGGTCCGTCTGTGCTGCGCATTTTCAGTGCAGCATAGTATTCCTGTTGCTTATGACCTTCTGTGCAGCTAGGGAGCCTTTGGATTGGGCCTCATTTGGGTTTGCTACAGACATTCTCAGAGCTCTGCCCGTGGGTTCAGGTTCCACGGGGGGACAGTGTGTCACAGGGCACTGTGATTGTCATCCACCTGCTTGCCTGAGTCTCTGCCAGTGCTTCCAACGGTCTGGGTCTTCAGTGTGTGCCACATGGAGGGGCAGAAGTGATCCCTTGCTTTTTTCTGGTTTTCCCTCTGAATCATAAGTGCCCAAAACTCTTGAAGTCTGGAGTTCGTATGCTGTGATCCCAGGGAAAAGTTACTGGAATTCTCGAGAGTAAATTCCAATCTGCCACTTCCAGTGCAACCCAGGAAAAGAGAGGCAGAGACCTGTCTGCAACTGTGGGGGCCAAGGGGTTCTAAGTCTAGCCAGACCAGGGGCCTGGGCCCAGGGCTGAGCCAGATTTATTATCTCGTGAGGAGGGGAGCGGCTGCATGGAGCAGCGGTATGGGAGCTGGGCCAGGCAAGGTTGTGGAGAGGGAGCAGAGTGTGGGACTCTGGATCCTGGTAACAGGGAGCCTTTAAGACTGAGGAATCTGTGTGACACAGTTTGGGAAGTATCTCCTATCTCAGGCTGGCTGCCTAGCTCTGAGGCGGCCTTTATTTGCCTGGGACATCTTTGCTTCTCCCAGCTGACAGCACAGGGCTTTGCAGTATCTGGGCTGGACCCACTGCATGGCTCCGAGCCGGTCTGGGGTGGAGTGGCTCCCTCACCAACTCAGTGCAGATCCGTAGGCGGGATAGGGGGAAGTGAATCAAGATGCAGGCAAATTGGTTCCTTTCAGGGGCAGCGCCCAAGCTGTCCTGCACACTGATTGTTCATGCCACTGAACTTTTCATGTGATTCCTGGTTTTTTCTTCAGGAGAAAGGCCTGCTCAAGTCATATATATATTTATATGCCTGGTGGTCCACACCTGTGATCCCAATACTTGGGAGGCTGAGGAAGGAGGATGGCTGTGAGTTCTAGGCCAGCCTGAGCTACAAAGTGAAACCTTGACTCAAAACAAACAAACAAACACAAAGAAACAAACAAAAGAGAAGAAGTTTGTGCATGGCCCTGGCTTCCATCCCTAGCACCAAGAAAAAAAATTGTTATTATTTTTGTTTTGCTTTTTTGAGACAGTCTTGCTATGTCACTCAGGCTGACCCAGAATGGTGGAAATCTTCCTGCTTCAGCCTCCCCAGTGCTAGGATTATAGGCATGCGCCACCATGCCCACCTCACCAACAAAAGTATTGGCTGTTGGGTGCAGTGGCATATGCCTGTACAGTAATTGAAGGTACATGGGAGGCTGAGGCAGGAGGACCACATGTTCAAGTCCTATGGTGAAAGCTTGTCTCGAAATCAGAAATAAAAAAAGATCTGAGGTTTTAGTTTATTGAAAAGCCCGTTAGACTCCTCTCATACACAAACAAAATGAGGAGAAGGAGATGAAGAAAAAGAGGAAGAAGAAAAAAGGAGAAGGAAGAGGAGGAGAAGGAAGAGGAGGAGGAGGAGATTCAGGGCCAGGAGTGGAGCACTTGCTGTGATCTGAGACTCTCAGGCAGAGGGCAAGTTGGAGCTTGCTTGGGCAGCTCAGTGACCTATTGAGTCCTGTCCCCCACTTCCCAATAGCTGGGTGCAGTTGCCCACCTGTAATCACAGCACTGAGGAGGCCGAGGCAGGAGGGTCTCACAACTTGGGCTACCTAGTGAATTCAAGTCCAGCCTGAACTGCATAGGAAGACCCTGTCTCAAAAACAGAAATAAATAAATAAATAGAAGAATAAAAAGGACACAGATGTAGCTCATGCCCTGCAGTGTTCTCTCTCCTCTAGGACCCTGAGGACCAGGCCCTGTGGTGGCCTCTGTCTCCTTGCATCAATGACACTTTCCCCACCTTCCACTGTCCCTCAATTGGAGAGACATTATTTTCCCTTCATCCCTTTTATTTTACTGTTGAATTTTTCTATTTTTTACTGTTGAGCTTTTGACACCATCTCGCTGAGGAGACCAGGCTGGCCTCAGACTTGTATGATCCTCCTGCCTCAGCCTCCCAGGTGCTAGGTGACAAATGGGCGCCACCACCCTGGTTTCATGGAGTTGAAGGTGTGTTATTCAGCAGCCCTCAGCATGTTCACAGTGCTTTGCAGCCATTGGCTCTGTCCAGGTCCAGAAAATTCGAGGCCCCACAGATGGACTCCTGCTTGGGCTCAGCTCGGGACACTGTGTGTCTGCGACCTTAGTTGGGCACCTCGTTGTTCCCTGGGCCTGATTGGAGTGTGCAGCTGCCCCTGCCCTGGGGAGACTGACACCCAGTGCACTGGTGATGGAGCCGGTGGGCACCCGGTCTGGGTCCCTACTGTCCCAGGAGTGAAGCTGCTGGCTCTGCGTGACCCCGGCAACCTCACCGCCTGCTTCGCGCTTTGCTGTCTCTCAGACCGGGTTTCACAGGAAACCAGCAAAGCTGGACTGGGTGCAGGCCTGGGTCTGCAGTGCCAGCCCCACTCTGCAGGGCCAAGCAGAAGGGCGGTGAGTTTGAGCCCAGCCTGGGCAATAGAATGACTTAGGGAGACCTCGTTCCTGAAGAAAATAGAAAAGTACGGTCGGGGAATGTAGTTTCATGCAAAGGCCTGGGTTCCATTTCCCATTTAAAAAAAAAAAGGAAGAAGATAGAGAAGAAAAAACAACCAAAGTCCACTCGGGACCTTGACTGGAGCTGGAAAGGCCTCCAATCCGTATTTCATGACTGAGTCGGGCAGCGCGTACGCAATGAGTCTTTCCAGATGGAGCTTGTAACTTCCAGGCTAGTTTCTAGGCGCTCACGATGCTGGTCCCTGTCTTCCTATCCCTCCTGGCGCGTGAGGTCTCCATCGCCCTGTGACTCCGTAGGGAGAAGTCCCTGCAGCCAGACGAGGGTGGTGCCGCATCCTGGTGAGCCCAGCACTCTGGGAGGCTGAGGCAGGAGGATCGCAAATCTATCTAGATTGAGCAGTTTAGTGATGGAGTGAGGCCCTGTATCAAAATTAAAAAAAATTAAAAACGATTTAGGCAGGCAGCTCATCACGAAGGCCTTGAGCTCAGTCCTCAGTACCAAAAAAATAAACAAATAAATAAAAGAAAAATGTTACCTGAAGAACTTAAGGAGCCCGAGGCAGCAGCGAACCCCTAAAGTGCGGGGCACCCCGCAGGCAAGAAGGCAGAACTAACACGAGGAAGGAAGTGATTGGATTGGCCCGGGAGGTGCCCGTAATAGAGAAGAGCTATCGGATTGGCCAACACGATGACACGAGGCGGGAGTAAGACCCTCAAAGGAACGGGATAGGTCCAGACTGGACGGGGCGGGGCTACAGGCCCGCACTCTACTCCTAGTCGACGGCGACCTGCAGGGGGCGGAACGGGGCATGCGCGGTCCTGGCGCGGAGCTGAGCCCCCGGGGACGCGCTCTGCTGCCGCTCTTGTCATCACCAATCGATTCCACAGACGGGAAAACCGAGGGCAAAACCAGTACATTCACACAGCGGGTGGGTGGCAGAGCGCGGGTTTGAACCCAGGCAGATCCTCAGCGCCCCAAAGTCCTACGCACCACTGGCTCTCCTTCCCTAACCCCTTGACGGCAGTTTATAAACGGTAAACTGGGTGCAACGACACACGCCTGGCAGCCAAGCACTCCGGAAGGCTGAGGCAGGAGGGTTGCAAATTCGAGCTCAGCCTGGATGACAGTGATTTAACAAGACTGTCTCAAAATCCAAACTCAAAGGGGCTGGGGCTGCAGCTTGGTGCAAAGACGCTGGGTTCCACCCCCACCCTGCAATATTAATTACATAAAATAAATTAATAAATGAAAAAGCTAGGGCTTCTGCTGTGTTCTTCCCTAGGCGCCTCATTTACGTGCCATCTCGGGAGGACAGCTGAATTCCATTTTACAGATGAGGAAACTGAGGTGAGGAGGACTGACCTCTGCACGTTGGGGCTCCAGTGGAGCCGGGCTCTGTGGCTGCTGCTTCCACACTAGTCCGCCGGGGACACCATCCTAACCCATCCCGATCCTCCAGCGTTGAGGCTGACAGGATGCTGGGCTCACTCACAAGGGGCTTCCTGTTGCCATTTCCAGGGACAGCATCCATCCAGTAGCAAGATGGTAAATCACAAGAGTAATGTGCTTGGTGGCACATGCCTGTCGTTCCAGCACTCTGCGAGGCCGAGGCAGGAGGATCACAAATTGAAGCCCAGACTGGAACATTTAGAGATTTACCGAAAGCCTGTCTCAAAATATAAGGACTGGGATGTAGCTCATTAGGAGGCCCTGGGTTCCATCCCCAGGGCTGGAAAAAACGGAACAACAAAAGCAATTCTCTGGGCTGCGGGGGTGGGGCATGCTTTGCATGCACAAGGCCCTGGGTTCCGTCTTCAGGACCTAGAAGAAAAGAAGAAAGAAAGGAGAGAGAGGAAAGGAAGGAGAGAGGAGGGACCGACTGCGGTTCCTTCCGCCGTGCATCCTGTTTTATTGTTTTCTGTTTTTTTTGAGATGGGAACACACTGTGTAGCCCAGGCTGGCCTGGCACTCTCGGCCATCCTCCTGGCTGAGCGCTGGGATCGGAGGTGTGTGCCACCGCACCGGCTATTGCTGTGTTTTGATCCGGGCCTCTCCTACACTCCTCTTTCCCTTTTGAGCCCGGGAGCCCAGCCCCTAATATCGAAGCTGGCGGTAGCGCCCAGGCTGTATCAGGAGCCAAGAGCTGTTCTGGGCACATGGTCACCTGCGGGGTCTCGGTTTCACTACCTGTAGCACGGGATGGGCAGTGAGGCAGCTCTTGCGAGTCTCCGCGAGGGTTCCCGGGCTCACATCGAGCCTGTGCTTTCAGGGACTGGGGCTGAAGCCAAAGCTCTGCGGGGAACTGTAGCCCCAGCCCTTTCTGCTGTTACATTTTTTTTTTTTTTTAATTTAAGAGGAAAAAGAGAAAAACACAAAACAAAACAAAGCGGTGTAAGGGTACACATAATACAGAACTACAAAAAAAAAAAAAAAAAACAAAACAAAAAAAAAACATAACAGTAAGAAATCACCTGTTAGTAGATTACATATTATCATCTTGAAAATAGTTGCTCAAATCACAGTATCAAAGAATACAAGGTGGACATTCAAACAGGGAGACTGCAAACAGCTGTGTTCAATGATCCAAAAACATTGATATAGTCAGCTATTTAACACCCCTAAACACACTTGCTGTTATATCCGTTAGAGCTCTTTTTCTTTTTTTTTTTTCCCTCTCTTTTTTACAACAAAATTTACACATCTTGGATTTTATTACTCCTTAGTGCTTATTACTTTTTTTGGGGGGAGAGAGAATACAGTCAAATATGGCAAAACAAAGCTGTCAGTCAAAACCAAGGATAGACATAGCACATGATGTAGAACAGAGTACAAGGTTATCAACAATGGTTATCAAAGTTGTCCCTTGTTTCCTTAAAAAGAATTGTCTATCTCATTAGATATTATAAAGTTGGACAAAACAGTAGAGAACAAGACCAATAAAACTTAGGCATTGTAAACATTACAGGACTTCCAAAGAAGACAATAGTCAAACCAGAATGGGCATCTTAGTGAATCTTATTGTCTTCAAAGTAGTTGCCTATGTCTTCAAACTTGATACTATCATATTCTGCTGTTACATTTGAAGGCTGCCCAGGCTGGCCTGGAACTCGGGATCCTCCTGCCTTGGCCTCCCCAGCAGGGGGGATGGCGGGCGTCACACCTGGGGCTCTGACTGTCTGCTTGCGAGGCGCTTTCCGGGCCCTGCCGTTGCCCCCACAGCCCAGAGCCGCTGCGGGATGTGGCCCATGCGTCCATCCCTCCTGCAGGCACCAGCCTCCTTCACCTCTGGTCTGGAGCCTACTCCCCAGGATCCCAGACCTCAGATCCAGGTTCTCTGCACCCTCATGCTGCAGGCCACGGTGAGACGCTACACCTGTTCCTGGTGAGTGTTCCAAGGTGGGAACTGAGGGCAGCTTGGGTGTCTGAGCAGAACCAGTGTGTGTGTGGGGGGGAGTTCAGCTGAGCTTTGCCTTTCGGAGCAGAAACATTTGGTGCCACCCAGTTCTGCTCCGAGGGGCATCGGACCATGGCCCCCCCTCCCACCCCCAACGGCCCCGCCCATTTGGCAACTGCCCCACCCAAGGGCCACTTCCCCACCACACAGTCCACTGGGCCCAGCCCCCTCTCCATATCCACACCTACATGCACTGGGCCCCACCCACACCTGGCCCCACTCATATGGCATCAGGCTCTACCCATTATGGCATGCCCCCACCCACTCAGTCCTCAAGGCCGGCTCCCAGGCCATGTTCTCATGCTTAGGCCCCATCCATATATCCCAGTGAAGGCCCTCCAGAGCCCTCACTGTTTGGGATCCAGGTCTATCTGTCCCCCTTCTATCAGCCCCTGGGGGGCCCTTAGGGGAACCTAAATCTGGCCCTACTGCCCTAAGCCCAAGGAATCTTCAGATCAGGCTGAGATGGGGTTAGCACAGAGTCTAAGGGAGTGTTTATTAAATTAATGTAGGTGAACTCCTATGCATCTTCAAAAGCCCAGCTATAATGTCCCTTTTACCAGAACACCGTCTTTGTCTCCCAGACATAAGTAAGGCTTCAAAAGTTCCAGAACCCAGATATGTGTGTCCAGTTTGTCCTCTTTCAGTCTGATAGTTCCTTGAGGACCAGAACTGACACCAATTAGGGCTCCAGCATGTCCAGCCCAGGGAAGTTTGGAGGAGTGTTTGTTGATGAATGAACAAAGGAAGTAAGGGATAAACGTTGTCACATGCCTTGCAGTCACTTGCCCCACATCCACACCACGCAGTGTGCTGGTCACTGACTGCCTGTGACCTCTGGGTACCTCACTTTCCCATGTGTGAAATGAGTTCACCCAAATTGTGTCGAGTGTCCGGGGCCCCTGGGCCAGGCTTGGGCATCAAGGTGCGTGGAGGAGAAGGGAGGGCAGGGCCCGGGGTGCTGGGGCCCTCTCCAAGCTCCTCCTCTGCGCCCTCCCCATCCAGGTGCAGTGATCCACAATTGTAATCCCGGCTCAGGAGGCTGATGCAAGAGGGTCTCTGTGAGTTTAAGGCCAGCCTCGGCTACATAATGAGTTCAAGGCCAGCCTGGGCTACAGAGTGATCATTTCTCAAACAACCACCCCTGAAACCAAAAAACAAAGAAGAGTTTACTTGGAGTCCAGGCCCTAGATAGTTGTAAGGATGAAATTAATACCTGAGGGTGACGAGGACCTGATCCCCCTGGTGCAGCCTGGGGGACCGTCCACACTTTAAGGCTGAGACACACACACACACACACACACACAGGTGTGCAAACACTGACACAGATGTGTGTACCCATTGCCATGGACGTGGCGAGCCAGGTTTGGTCCTGGAGGCCTGGGGTATTCTGAGCCACAAAAGCAAAACCCAGAGGACCATGAGGAGCACACAGGGAGAAAGCGGAAGGCTCTGCTGGGGGTGTGTGGGTTGGCCAGTGGCGGTCTGTGCTGCTGTCCTGAGCCCTACCGCCCACAGACTGGGAACTGAGCTGGAGCCACAGACAAGCTCAACAATCCTCAGGAGCGGCCGACACTGGGCTCCCCGCAGTCTTTAAAAGCTATGGTGCCCGCTTGGTGGCATCTGCTAGTAATTTTCCAACACTTGAAGGCCGAGGCAGGAGGGCTGCCACCTAATGAGATCCTGTTTCACCCCCCACCCCTCCAAAAAAAGAGGCAAGAAAGAACGCGCCCCAGCGAAGTCACCGTGGTGGCGGGGCAGGGAGGTCAGGCAGAAGCTGCTGAGGTCAGGAGGACGCAGTGAGTGAGTGAATCTGGGGGAGGAGGGGAGGAGGGGGTGCGGAGCTAGTGACACGTCAACTGACCCAGCACGGATCCAGTCCCCTACCCTGCCCCTACTGGCAGCACCCACGGGCGGGGGAAGGTAGGAAGATCTGCCAGGCAGGGGTGCAGGGGAAGTGAGGCCAGAGGGCCAAGGGGGCTACATGGGTCAGCGCAGTTAGGGGCTTTCAGTGGGTGGTGCTCACCTGTAATCCCAGCCCCCAGGAGGCTGAGGCAGGAGGGTCGCTGTAGGTTCGAGGCTAGCCTGGGCTGTATAGCGAGACCCTGTCTCAAAAATAGCAAAGCAAGCCAAATCTAAACCCAAACTGAGATTCCTATCTTTTGCAGACAAACTTTCCCACACCTCCCACCCACTCTGGGCCGTCCTGCTGAATCCGAATGTGAGTCTCTCCCCCTCCACACCTTAAGACTGCTGGAGGGCCTTGGACAGCTGCTGCCCTCTTGACTTGGTCGAACTGTAACCAAACGCACGTCGCCATGGTCACGGACCACCCAAACAGGGAAGGGGAAAGTGACCTGGGTTCAGATCTGCCCCATGTCCGCTGGATCAGTGCCTCAGGTTCCTCTCTGGGTCTCTGCAATGTCTACACCGGGCACAGTAGCTGCACAGTAATGCGCAGCCTGTGCCTACGCACCCTCTGCACGGCAGCAACTTTCACCTCCCCTTGCTTTCGCCCTGTCACCCACACCTGGTGAACTCCTACACATCCCTAGGGGCCCTGTCTACGAGGTCCATTTCTTTTTTTCCGGCTGGGGCTTGGGTTTGGGAGTTGCCGTCAGCCCCTGGCTCTGCCTGGGCCTACTGGTGTTCGAATGCGTTAATGCTGATCCCAAGGGTGGCAGGGGAGCGGTCAGAGCTTGTGGGCCAAGGGACAGAAGAATGGATGAATGAAGGATGCATGAACCGACGTCACCCGCAAGGCCCCCCCCACAGGACCACCCCTCCACTCCCAGACCCCGCCCACCATAGGGGAGGGGACGCTTCCGGGCGGGGCCCGCACTTCCGGGGCGGGCCTTCGAGGGGCGGGGCCGGCGGCAGCGCGAAGATGGCGGCTGCGGGTGCGCTGCTGCTGGTGGTGGGTGGCGAGTGCGGCGGCGCGGGGCCGCTGGGCCTGGTGCTGGAGGAGCTCGAGCGAGGTCAGGGTTCGGGGCGCGCGGCTTGGGGCGCGGGCTGCGGGGCGCCGGCGCGGGCACGGGGGTCGGGCGGCATGTGAGGCCGCGGAGAAGCGGCATCAGGGCCGGGCCGCCCCACCGCGGGCACCCTGGCGCGGACGGGGGTGGGGGCGGAATGGGCGCTCTGCGGCCCCGCTCCTGTCCTCCCAGTGCCCCGGGGCCCGCTTTCCATCGCGGTTAATTGGGCGTGGGCGGCCCTGGGCCGGGCGCGTGAGTCACGCGTGCACCTGCCGCGCCGGGGCGGGACCCCCGGCGCCGCCCCCGCCCGCCCGGGTTTGCCGCGTGCCGGCCCGGCGCCCTCGCTGGAACCCTAGGCGCGCGGGCTGGAGAGGTGTCGGGTCAGGGAAAGGTGCACGGGCTGGGAACGGGGTGGGACGGGAGTCCAGGCTTGGCCACCAGAGGAGGGGCGGGTGGAGAGGAGCTGGTCGCCAGGGTCTGGGCTTCTGACCGGATTGTCAGTTTGTAAATTGTGTCGAGTGTCCGGGGCCCCTGGGCCAGGCTTGGGCATCAAGGTGCATGGAGGAGAAGGGAGGGCAGGGCCCGGGATGCTGGGGCCCTCTCCAAACTCCTCCTCTGCGTCCTCCCCATCCAGGCATCCGCTCCTGGGATGTGGATCCTGGCGTCTGCAGCCTGGATCAGGAACTCAAGACTTTCGTGTCCCAGCACTCGGCCACCTTCTCCAGCATTGTCAAAGGTGTGGCCGGGCGTCCGTGTGCCCAAGCAGCTTCTGGGCTTTTGTTTGGGGACCGGTTGACGGCTATGTGAAGGCGCGGGGCGGGAGTGCGGGAAACAGGAACTGAAGCGCAGCCCCGCCCAGCTTGAGTGGCCGCCCTCGGCAGCTCACAGTCCGGAACCTGTGTCTTCCTCCCGCGTGACAGACAGGGGATCTGGGGTGTTGTCGGCTGGGATCAGGAGACCCCACTAGAAAGGGGTTTTGGGATGAGGCTGCGGGGCTGGGTCACCCGGGCCGAGAGAGGGGCCTGGCCGTGATGGTGGGGTATCAGGAGGAAGGGACAGGCCTTGAGCAGGTCCCAGGGGTGCAGGCAGGTCAGCTGTGACGTTACACAAGGCTTGCACACAGTGGGTATCCGCAGATGGGGAGCTGAGGGCAAAGCAGGAGGGCATACGGGGTAGGGGTGGGTAGTGATCCTAGGGGAACAGCACTGGGCAGGCTTGGGGATCACTTGCATCCCACCCTGGCTGGTCTGTTGGGCCACCTCCCAAATGCTGCTAGAGGGGAAGGAAGTGTCCATCTGCGTCTCCTCCCAGCGGGCCCTGGTGGCTTCCTGACTGCTTGTGGGGCAAAGAGGGGGCTGGAAATCCTGTCTGCCCCGTGGGACCTTGGTGGCCACTTCCCCTCTCTCGGCCTTGGTCTCCCCCGTTCTGTGGCAGTGTCTCGATAGCAAGCATGAGGAGGCTGACCAGTTGTGAAGGACAGGGTGTCCAGGTGTGGAGCTGGTACTGGGTCTGAGCACTGGTGTTTGAGCTGAGGAACTGATCCCAGGAACAGCTCCAGCCCCTCCTTGCCCCTCAGGCACCTCATCCCTGCTGGTTCCTGACTTTGCTGGCTTTGTCCTTCCCCAGGCTGGGTCTCCCTGGTCCCTGAGACTGGGCTTCTGTCCCTCAGGGTTCCATGTGCAAATCAGCCCGGCTGGGGGGCGTGGTGCACCCTGGTGCTGCTGGTTTCAGGGGTAGCTGCCAGGCTATTTGTTCCTGTCCTGTGCTCATCCTGACCGTCAGCTCTGCCCAGATGGCCCCTGGGGAAGGGTCCCTCAGGCCTTGTGCTTCCTGAGGTCATGCAGAGAAGCAGGAGTGGCCTGTGGCCAGCATGGTCCTGACTGGCCAACGGCCCTGACTGGCCAACTGCCCTGCAGGCCAACGGAGCCTGCACCACCGCGGAGATGCCCTGGAGACATTGGTCCTTCTGAACCCGTCGGACAAGTCCCTGTGTGATGAGGTAGGTGGGAGGGGCTGAGGGGCTGTGCTGTCTATGTCCCCCTGGTTGCTCCTGTGCCTGGCCTCTGCTGCTTGGAATCTTCTCCTTACACCTAGCACCAGCACCCCATCCCCATGGCTCCCACTGTAGCTTTGTCCCTGCCGTTGGTGGGAGGGGGGGGGGCTGTGTTTTTGGGGAGCTCAGCACCCAGGTGAGGGGACTGGGAGGTCTGAAGGGGAGGGCAGGATCCCAGTGCCGCTTGGGTCCTGGGTTTCCCTGGGGAGCTTGAGCTGTCTCTCCTGGTGCTTGAGGTAGTTTTACATGGTTGTGGGGAGGAGGAGGAGGAGGAATACAGAGCCCTGGGGCACACCGGGATACCCCTAGTATGCTGAGCTCTTTCACTGTCTGGAGGGGTGCTTAGGCCAGAGGAGGAGCAGAGCCAGGCAGAGACCTTTAGTCAGGACCAGGCAGCAGGGACGAGGGCTGGAGGGCACCGGAAGGGGCAAGGAGGACCTCGGGCCAGGATGCAGACTGAACAGGGGGCCCAGTGCCTCAGCTCCCTCTGGCCTGGCTGTGGCTGGGGCCCAGGAATGTCCAGTGCTGGCTGCATGGCATAGATGTTTCCCACTGTCCCCCAGCTCCGGAACCTTCTGCTGGTTCCTGCCCCTCGAAAGCTGCTGGTGCTGGCTGGGCCCTGCCTGGAGGAGACTGGAGAGCTGCTGCTCCAGACTGGGGGCTTCTCGTCCCACCACTTCCTGCAGGTCCTGGAGGACAGGGAGGTGAGCTTTCCCCACCCCAGTCCTAGCTCCTGCCCTGAGGCTGCAGGGCAGGTACCTTTCCTCAGTAATGTGGTGGTATCAGGGACTGGTGCCACCTTCCAGGAGAGGGCACAGTGCAGCTGGTTTGCTGGCTCTCTGGGAGACTGAGACAGGAGGATCATCAATTTAAGCTCCACTTAGTGAGATAGAGAGTGTTCTTCACAGGGGAAAGGACAAGGGCTCGGGAGCAGGTGAGGGGAAGGCCTGGGCTCAGCCCCAGTGCTGCAGGCCTGCTTCTCTGCAGATGTCCCTGAGGCCAGAAGTAGCTTCTACCTTTCACTTGGCCTGGGTGGGGCACATGGATGAGCATAGCAGGACTGAGTCAGGGTTCTGGAGTGTGTGCTTGGGCAGAACAGCAGTGCCAAGGCCCAGGGGAGGAGAGGCCTTGGGCGTTAGGAGGCCACACTGTCCCCGGGGAGGCATGGCATGGCTTTGGCTTCCTTTGGGGTTGGCCTTCTGCAGTGGCCCTTTCCCATGCCTCACCACAGATCCGGGACCTGCTGGACCGCACTCCGGCTCTGGCTGAGCCGCCCACGCTCACGCTTGGCTGCCCACCTTTCGGGGCCTGGACGCAGCTGGGCACCCCCAAGCCGGGCCTGCTTGGACATCGGCTGAGGCTCAACCCTGCAGTGCGGCTGCCGGCCTCTACTGGGCTGCAGGAGCTCTTAGACTACTTGGCTGGGTCCCTGGAGCCTCCGTGCCCCTTTGACCTGCTGGAGCCGCCATCTTCCGGTGACTTCCTCAAGCTCGACCCACCCTGCTGCTACATCTTTCCTGGTGGCCTAGGGGATGCTGCCTTTTTTGCTGTCAGTGACTTCACAGTGCTGGTGAACGGAGGCTCCAATCCCAAGGCCACCTTTTGGAAGTTGGTGCGCCACGTGGACCGTGTGGATGCTGTGCTTGTGACGCATGCAGGTGCTGACAGCCTCCCAGGCATCAACAGCCTGCTGCGGCGCAAGGTGGCCGAGCGGCAGGAGGCTGCGGTCTCGGCCTCCTGGGAAGAGGGGCCACGGCGCCTGGCATCGCCCGGCCTGGGCGTGGTGTTTCTCCACGCCCCAGAGCCCCTGTCTCGCCTGCTGGGCGGTGAGGATGAGGCTGAGGTGACACGTGGGCTCCTGGCACAGCTGGGCATTGCGCCCCTGCCCCTGTGCCGCAGCTTGCCTGCCACGCCCACCGTGCTGCTGGAGAAGCTGGGCGTTGGCCGCCTGGACCTGCATGTGCTGTACCCGCCTGCTGCCGACGCTGAGGCCACCTCAGCCTGCGCACTGCTTGTATGGCTGCCTGCTGACCCTGCTGAGAAGGTGGTGCGTGTGCTCTTCCCTGGCCGTACACCACCTGCGCGCCTGCTGGAGGGCCTGGGCCGCTTGCAGCACCTGGGCTTCCTGCAGGACCCTGTGGTGACGCCACAGGACCTGCAGGCCCCACGGCGCACGGGCAGCAGAGACAGTGTGGCCTCGAGGGACAGTGCCAAGCGGGAGGCGGGGGCCACTGGCAAGGCCAGGCCAGGTTATGAACGCCCCACGGCAGTGCGGAAAGAGCCCCCGCGCAGGACTGCGGAGAGGGACACCAAGGTTCCCCGGGAGGCGAAGAAGGACCCCAAGCCCACCTTGTCCCGAACTCAACCCCGGGATGTGCGCCGGACCACCCCTGCTGCCCTGCATAGCAAGAAGGTGGGTGCCCAGGTGGCTCCCAAGGCCCTTGCTGCGCAGCCAGTGCAGAATGGGCCCCACAGTGCCCCCTCGATCGTGGCTAGCTCGAATCCAGGGATCAGCCTGGAGCCGGGACCCAGCTTGGATGCTCCAGAGCAAAGCCTGGAGCCGCAGGGCGCCCCTGCTGCAGCTCGGCCCTCTGCACTCTCGCCCTCTGAGTGGCCCCGGTCACTGAGCCCAGTTCGGGATGCCTCACCGGCCGCCACCACGCCCACCGCCACCACACCCTCACTGCCTGCTGAGGTGGGCTCCCCGCACTCCACTGAGGTGGATGAGTCACTGTCAGCATCACTGGAGCAGGGCCTGCCCCTGGCCCCCTCGAGTGACACTGGGCTGAGCCTCCCCCTGCTTGGCCCCCGTGCACGGCGCCCTGCCTCACCACATGACGTGGACCTGTGTCTCGTGTCGCCCTGTGAGTTCGAGCACCGCAGGGTTGTGCCTGCTGCGCCTGCATCCCCAGGCAGCTCTAAGGACAGCAGCTCGGGGTCACAGGAGCGGGCAGTGCCCGAGGAGACCCTACCTGCATCTGTCAGCGAATCCCTGCCCACACTGTCTGACTCGGAGCCCCTGCCCACTGCTCCTGGGGCTGGGGACTCAGATGATGACCCGGAGGCCTTTGGGGTGCCCCGAGACCCGCTGCCAGCACCCCTCAAAGATCGCTCACCACTGCTGGACCCACCTGGCCTCTGCATGGTGGACCCCGAGGTGCTGCCACCTGCGTCCACCAAGCCCACTGAGAACTCCAGTCGCCCCCGGAAGCCCCTGACCCGGTCCACTTCTGGCCCCGGTGGCCCCAAAGCCACGCCTGCGGCTGCAGTCAAAGCCAAGGGGCCAGTGGGGGGGGACCGTGCCAGCCGGGTGCTCAGTGCACGCAGGGAGACCAGTGACAAGGGAGGCCGGATGCCCCTGACCAGGAAGCCTTCGGCCCCCAACGTTGTCCCCAAGGCCAGCTCCAGGACCCTGGTTCGAGGCACTTCTGGTGAGTGCGGGGCAGGGTGGGGCTGAGCTGGGTGAGGCCACCTGGGCTGCAGAGGGTGTGGGCTTCTTCCTGCTTCCCCTGGGACCCCAGCCACCCCACCTCCCTCTTTGGGCCTTGGTTTGTCTCTTCGAGAGAAGTTCAAGTCTGGGTGTTGAAACGCCTGCCACTTCTGCGTGCCTGGGTAGGACCCTTGGCAGGCACCTGGTGGCTTTTCTGTTACTACAGTAGGTCAAAAGACACTGGCAAAGCCAGTTTTAATAGCTTTTCATATTGTTTGGTCCTGAATGTAGATTAAACCAACCTAGATCAAAAGTATTCAGAAAAACCCCAAAACAGAATCCCAAGGCTGGTGGTGCATACTTGTAGTCCAGCACTGGAAAGGCTAAGACAGGAGAACTGCAAATTTAGGTCTCACCAGGTCAAGGTTGGAAGGCCTCGTCGCAGGAGATAACAGAGGCTGGGGTGCAGCTCAGCTTGAGGGTCCTGGGTCAGTGGCAGGAGGAAAAACAAGGGGATCCCCGTTCCCTCTGTGAGGCTGGTGGAACTTGTGATGTGGAGAAGTGTGTGGGTCTCGGGCCTGGCACCTCAGCCCCCTCGTCTGGCCCAGGGTCCTCAGGGCCAGGCATGCGCTGACCACTGTGCCACTCGATGGGCCCCAGCTCTGGGAGGAGACCGTGGGCTCCCCTGGGGTCTGTCTGGCTCACCTGGCTGAGGTGCCTGTCTTCAGTTTGCTGTGCTGTTGATTTTTTCTGTTTTAAAAAACTGATAGAGTGCACGAAGATGAGCGTCTGAACATTTTTTAAGAAGTAGTGCTAGGCAGGGACTCCAGGGTCTTTACATCTAGCTGCATCCAAGCCCTTTTTAGTTTTTCCTGTGAGACAGGGCCGGGCTTAAACTTGCAGTCTCCTGCTTTGCCTCTCAGAGTGCTGGACCTGAGTTGTGCTCAGCACACCTGATGAGGGCTTGTTTTATTTTGTTACGGTTTTTGAAACAAGGTCTATCTGTGCTATGTAGTGCAGGCTGGCTTTGAACTTGCTGTGTAGCCCAGGCTAACCTAAAACCTGCAGCCATCTTTCTGCCTCAGCCTCCCAGTTCTGGGATCACAGACATGCATGACCACGCCTGGCTCTGGCAGCTGTGTTTAAATGTGCGATGGATAGTGTCCACAGGCTGGCATCAACATCCTCCTCCAGAACCGCAGTGGTGTAAATGAAAGTACACTGTTAGGTCCTTGCCCGTCACTCCTGTCCCCAGCCTGCCACCCTGCCTTCTGTCTCTGCCAGGAATCCAGGGAGATGGGGGCAGTGCAGTCCCAGTGCCCATGAAAGGCAGGGTCACCGTGGGCAGAATACCCTTCCTATTTGGGGCTGAGTCACCATCTGGCACAGTAGCTTCTGCATGTGGCCTTTGGGGGCGCTCAGCTGTGTCGCAGGTGTCCCTGGGCACTGCTTGTGCGGGGTCTCGCAGATACTGTACCACCTCTGGCAGGGCCTTTCTCACCAGGGCTGCTGTCCACAGCAGCCGAGGGCCACCCTGCTCCCTGTGCACTGGCCCATCCAGGTCATCTCCAGCAGGGACTATAGGGTGCCACACCATGCGCCCCAGGGGTGACTCTGTGTTGGGGTATGGTGCTAGGAGAATGATGGGCAGCAGGTGACAGCCTAAGTGTTGGCCATGGCTGCGCCTCCAACAGGGTCTCCATGGGCCCTCCTCCCGTGGACCAGGTATCCCCTCTTGGGCCTGCGATGGCTTCTGGCACACAGTGGGGTGGGGGTGCCCAGGGGCATTTTAGAGGGAGAAGAGATGGAAGTGGGTGGGTGGGGTGGCAAACACCCAAAAGCCTAGCACTCTGGGAGGCCAAGGCAGGAGGGTCTCAAGTTCCGGCCAGTGACCCTCCCATCCTGCTCGCAGGCCCAGTTGGCAGCCGGCCCTCGACCGCTGCCTGTCCACCAGGGCCCCCGGTGTACTTGGACCTGGCCTACCTGCCCGGGGGCAGTGCAGGCCCGCTGGGCACCGAGTTCTTCCTGCGCGTGCGTGCACTCTGCTATGTCATCAGTGGCCAGGACCAGCACCGAGAGCAGGGACTTCGGACTGTGCTGGATGCACTGCTGGATGCCAAGCGGCAGTGGGACTGCGACCTGCAGGTGCTTGCCTTGAGGGGTACCGGGTCATGGGCTCCGCCCCAGCTGCTTCATGGGTGGACCTTCGGGAACCTGGAGTGTGGGATGTGGGGGCTACTCCCACCTGGACTGTGGCCCAGGGCTGTGCCTGCGTGGCAAAATCCAGCCAGGATGGAACGGGCTGTGTGGCTTCCACGAAGGTGTAAACTGGCCACAGGGTCCTAGATATAGAAACAGCTGGGAGGGTGGGGCTGCCTCCGTCTGGAGAAGGGGTGAGCACTGGGCAGCTGGGTGGGGGGATACTGGGAAGTGCTCATGACCCATGCTGTCCCACCTGCCTGCAGGTGACCTTGATTCCCACCTTCGACTCGGTGGCCATGCGCAGGTGGTATGAAGAGACGCATGCGCAGCACCAGGCTCTGGGCATCCGTGTGCTGGGCAGCGGCAGCATGGTGTTCACGGAGGACGACGCCTTCCCGGCCTGCAAGCTGGTCTTCTAGCCCCTGCCCACCAACCTGCAGCATGGCCAGTGTTCTGCGCCCGCCCTGCAATGAGGGGCAGCATCGGCTCCAGGGCCAGGACAGAAAGTGCTCGCCCCCGGAGCCCTGGCCTGTCACATGTTTGTATTTTCGTTGCGTTTCCAGGTGATACTGGCAGCCCAGCCTAGGGGACTCCTATTATTTTACTTGACACAGTCTTGATGAGCAGCCCAGGTTGGCCTCCCTACCTGCAGTTCTTCTGCCTCATCCTTCTGAATAGTAGGGCTTATAGGTGCTTGCCACCACAACCAGCAGTGCATGTACTTTAATGTTAGAAAACTCCCCACGTACTCTGGGCTGACTGGTGACCCTGGATAAGCTATCTGTTCAGATCCTAGCCTTGCAGGGCTCGGTCCATGAATTTGCAGGGAGCTGGGGGAACAGGTGTGCTGCTGAGTGGTGTCCACGCCCTGGGGGCCAAATCCCTGGACTTGGGACCACTGACCCAAACCCAGGGCGTGGGGCCTAGTGATGCCTGAGGCCCGGGCAGAGTAGTGGCCCCATCCCTCCCCGGTTACCCTGGCCATGTGTCTCTGCCCTCTGGCTGAAGGGCAAAGGGCTCCGGACTGCGCTGAGCCCAGGGTCCCTGCCCGCATTGCCATGGCCTTGACAGTGTGTGTGGTACCAGCTGCGGGATCTGCTGCCCTTTGCCTGCTCCAGGGTCACCAGGGATGCATTGGCCTCTGTCTTCCCCAGCTTGGGGTCAGGCGAGCCAGCTCACACGCACGCCCCTCCCCATGGTGAGGTCTTTCCCACCCATGCACTCCTGTGACCACTCCCTGCACACTCATATCTCCCACTTGTGCAGTCCTGTGCACCCCTGCACGGGCGCCTCAGTAACTTTCTACACCCCACAGTTTCTGTGCCATTCTCCTGGTCCTCACTCCCTGCAGCTGCTCCCTGTATCATGATTCTGGAGCTTATACCCCTTCCTGGGTGAGCAGTGCTTGAGGGGCAGTGCTGGGCAGCATCTGCCTGTGGGCTGCTGTTTGTCACCAGCTCTCTGTGCCACCTTAGCTGTGCCCCTTCCTGATCACCCTACTGAGATGCAGGTATCACCCCCTCTTCTCACGAGGTCAGGGGTCACAAGTCCAAATTCCGCCTGTCAGGCAGCAGGCTGGGCAGGTGACATGGGTGACCTGCAGGGTGCATAGGACCTGTGTGCCTGGTGTGGGTAGGCGCAGGCTCCAGGGCTCGGACATGTGGCGGGCCACAAGACTGCAAGGGGTTTCTTGTTGAGTTTCAGGTTTCCTTGAAGTATTTATATTGCTTTCAAGTGACAGCATTGCTTATGAAGTATTTATTGGAACTGAAAACTACTCTCGAGTGTCTTTATTGTAACCCCCTGCCTCCCGTTAAGTATGTGGCTAGGATAGAAACAAATCACAAAGACTGAATCGAAAGTCATCTTGGCCACTGATGAGTGAAAAGCACTACGATGGATGAGGTACCCCAGCTCCCCAAAGAGGGCTTCCCACATGGGCTCGGCTGACTTGCTGCCCGTGTGCTGCATCCCTTCTCCTGAGCTGTGCCACTATGGTATCCGCAGGCACAGGGCGGATCAGGCCTGTGGTGGCTTGGGGGTGGTATGTCTGGGGCAGCACTGAGCAGGGCTGAGTGGACACAGAGGTGGCCCGTCTGTTGGCCCTTGGGTTGGGCAGTGCAGAGGGTTGTGTCTTGATTAGTGACATGAGGGCCCTGCCTATGCCCTGCACACATGTGGCAGACTCTGCAAGGAAGCTTTTGCTCTTTTGGGGATCTGGCACTGGTTCCTGCCTTGCTGTGTTCCTCAGCTGTACACAGTGCCAAGCACAGAACACAGAACACAGCACGAGTACTGCTGCTTGGGGTGGTGTCTGGCTGGCGGCAGGGAAGTCAGTCCAGGGCCTGGGAGGGCACAGGACTCAGGCAACAACCCATCTCTGGAGATTGGGATGTGGTCCTGAGGAACACAACACTCAGATCCTTTTTGATGCTGGATGCTGCAAGGGATTTGGGGTGCATCAGGGATGAGGTCGGTGGACAGGGCCTCCAGGTTTGCCAGCCATTTGACCTCTGCATCTCATGTTAGTGTGACTCATAAGGTAAAGGGGGTGCCCCATCTCCCTTCCCACCCTGCTAGGAGACCTCGTGCAAAGCTGACAGCTGCTAGGTGCGAAGCCGTGGGGCAAAGCTCTGTAAATATTCCTGGGGAGGTTGGCAGTTGCCAGCTTGGAACAACTCTGTATCCTTTGTGTCAGATGAGGCTTCCCAAGAAAACCAGTCATTGATAGCCAGCCAAAGCTCCCCCATTCCAGGTGACTGCATAAACCCTGCTTATCATAATCTTACAATATGCTGTGGTCTGTACACAGCCATCCATGAAAAGTGATCTTGAGTTGAGCACGAGTCTGCAGCGTGAACAAAGTCCCAGCTGATCACGACTGGCAGCGTGACTGCGTCCAGGGCCCCTGGGAGTACTGCACGGGCAGGGCTCCCTCCTCAAGGCCCAGTCAGCAGAAGCACAGGTCGGGCCTGCTGGGGGTGCCTGCGGCTGTGGCCTCGGGGACGGGACGGCTCTGTCCCGGCCTGTCCTGCCTGGTGCGCAACTCTGCCGGCTTCTCCGCCCTCCACCCGCTGGGTGCACCGTGGAGCAGCCTTGCGACGCCGCCGCTACCCTTACGTCCCCGGGCGCTCGGCAACCCCTCCGGCAGAAGTGCTCTGCAGAGGAAGGCCAGACCTGGGTGCAGAGGTCTTAACAGAAAAAACGGCATAGGGCCCCGAGGCCGGGTGGGCTGGTGTGGTCGGGATTGCTCGATCGGGTGTGGGGAACCGCGCCAGTCCAGATGCTCGGGATCGCGCCCTAAGTCGCCCTAGTTTTCCCAGGCCGCACGGCTCCCTTTGCGCCTGCGCATCCGCACCGCCCCTCAGCGGCTTGCGAGCGGAAAGTCAGCCCCGAGGCGCCTGCGATTTCCGGTCATCTAGCGGGCCCGCTGGGACTGAGGAAGATCCTGGGTTTCGGATCCCCTTCCTCTCGTCCAGGCCCTACATCGCAAGGAGAAGTTAGCCGCCCAGCCCCTCGCTGCAGCACGCGGCTGGAGAGGGGACCGGCGCCGGGCGGGCCTGCGGGTGATCGAGGGAGCCAGGCCGTCTGGTGGAGCCACCTGCGCCGGACCCTTCAGGACGTGGGACGAGTTGGGACCCACGAACCAGGAACCTGGTGTGGCGGGGCGAGCGTGCAAGACCCGGGCGTGACAGGCATCCCTACACCTCTAGGGACACGTCAACGGACATGCGTGGATTGGACCAAGGGGATGGACGGAACCCGGAGGCCCTATCTGGGCGTGAGGAGCTGGAGATGGGTGGAGCCGGGCGGGCTCAGCCTATCCGGGCACGAGGAGTTGGAGATGGGTGGGGCCTGTGGGAGGAAGCCTAGTGGATTGCTGCGGGCCTGGCTTAGTCGTGACCTGGAACCGCGGGGCTGGGCTGAGGCTGAGTAAGCGAAGAGGTGAGGCCGGCGAATCTCCTTGAGGTCTGAAGAATGGAGAGGGGCGACTGCTCTGGAAATCTGGTTCTTTTTCGCTTTTGTATTGGGCCCTTTGAGACCCAGCAGGAAAGCAGGGCCTTTGGCATCCCCTGGCCGCCATGCAACCTGAGGCAGACTTGTTTCCGCTGGCGGCCTTGGTTTCCCCATTTGGAAATGGAGGCAGTAGAGGGAGGAGAAGGTACTGTTTGTGCACCGGCCTCAGCTCTGCCCACTCCTGGACAGTGGGGGTTTCCCGTGTTCCTGGGCTGTACGCTGTGTCTTCGGTCACCATCCGTGTCCTCTCACCCAGGGAGAGCCTGGATGTCACTTAGTGACACTGCTGTCCAGGACAGGAGTTCTCCGTAGTGCTGCACAGAGCTTTCTCCTGGCGACTTTGTTGCTGGTCGTGGTGGTGCAAGCCTATCATCCCAGCATTCGGAAGGCTGAGGCAGAAGGGTCACCTTGAGTTCTAGGCCAGCCTGGGCTACATAGTGAGTTCAAGATCAGTCTAGACTATGTGGCGAGACCGTGTCTCAACAAACACACCAATCCAAACAAAGAAACAAAAAGTCCAAATTATTTTGAGTCTTCAGATTCTTACACTACTTAATAACTGTACCTTCTAATGTATCCTCTCCTCTTCCAATTTAAAGCCAGTGCCTCCTAAGCTCATAAGGCTGCATAACTTTGAGGCCGGTGAGGTTAAAGTATCATCTTCTCTTTTTTGTTTCTTCTATTTTATACCACATTTCTATATGTGGAAGAACTAAACATGACAAAAAGATCTAAATAAAAGTGATGAACATTGGAAAAATTTGTAAAAGATGAAATCTGGAACTGTTTTGCATTCATAATTTATAGTGTTGAACAGAAAAAGGACGGTGATAAATGCTAATAAATCACACCCTTTTGCCTCACTGCTCCATTATGAAAGAATGCAGCATTTGGTCTTGCCAATTTCAATGTTTAAACATTTTTATAAGTCAGTATAAACAAATGTTAATTGCACATCATGTTTAAATAAAAGTAAAATACTTCCAATCTGCTGAGTTCTGTTTCACCGTGAGTGATATATATTATGTGCATGTTCAAAGTACAAAATGCAACGGTGTCATCCCATCATTAATGAGAAGATTGCCAGTTCTAGCAAGGACTGTCACATCACATGGATGGATGACCTTATGCTGCAGTGTGTCACACAGCAGATGAGACAGGCAGTGACCCACTACAAACCGGTGTTACTTTGACTAGGGATGTGAGGGCCATTATCCAGATAAACATTATTCACAGACCCTAAAAATATTCAGGAACAAATATGAAAAGGACAATTTTTGCATGGATAATATTTATTCATATAATGTGCAAAAAGGAATATACAGACACATGTCTCACAAGAGATTATTCAACAATGGTAAATGGAAAAGTATGTTGGTTTGTGGAGAGAAGACTTCACTATGTTACTCTAAAATGTTATCTGCAAAGGTGATGGGTAAATTTAATACCCAGTTTTATTAAATTCAAAGTATGACCAACCATTTCGAAAAGTATGAATGTCATATGTCAGAGAAATTCTGCACGACTAGCCTCAGGAGTTTTGCGCCAGGTAAATGTGAGAAATAAATAAATAGCTATAAAAAGACAGTATTACAGGCATATTAAAAGCTTGATACTTCTGAAGAGGATAAAAACATTAGAAAATCTATTGTCATTTAAAGCTACCAATTTTTAGATACAATTGTATTAAAATTAGTAAAGGTGACCTAGAAATTTAAGAGGAAGACAAAAATTGAACACAAAAATGACATGGACTTAATGGAATAAATCTAGAATAAAATTCGATTTGAAAGGTGATTAGTACAGGTGACAGTGATTGTAGCATTAGTAGAGAAAGAAGGGTGACTTGTCAGAGAAATAAATCCCATACTGTAATATCTGACAGGAAAAACGTTGCAGGATTTCCTCAGACCTTCCCATATTTTAAAATGCATGCACACATGAACACCCACACACGCATATATATATATATATATATATACATATATATATATATATATATATATATATATATATATATGTTTTTTAAACTTAAGGCTTCTTTCTCCCAGAATGTGTCTTATTTCTGAAACCATGCAAGGAATTCATATGTGGCCTTCACAGAATAATGTAGTACTTGGGGCCAAAGATGCAGCCCAGCAGCCCTGCACTGGAGGCCAACATGGAGAAGACCTCCATGGCCACCTTCACCTTCCCCTTGCTGCTGTGGCACTCGGGGAGGAAGGTGACCCACATACTGCAGAACAGCAGCATGCTGAATGTCAGGAACTTGGCTTCATTGAAGGTGTCAGGCGGTTCCTGGCCAGGAAAGCCACAGTGAAGCTGAGCAGGGCCAGGGAACCCAGGTATCCCAGGACACAGTAGAAGGCAGTGAGGGAGCCCTTGTTGCACACGACAATGATGTGGCCATGTTCAGTGTGTGCGTCTGTGTCAATGGGTGGATTTGTCCCCATCCAGACTCCACAGAGGGTGAGTTGGATCAGGGAGCAGATGGGGATGATGTAGTTAGGAGCCCCTGATACCAGCAGCTGCCTCATCCTTCTGCCTGGAGCAGTGACCTTAAAGGCCAGCACCACAGTAATGGTTTTTTTTTTTTATTTAAGAGGAAAAAGAGAAAAACACAAAACAAACCAAAGCAGCGTAAGGGTACACGCAATACAGAACTACAAACAAAACAAAACAAAACAAAACAAAACAAAAAAAACATAACAGTAAGAAATCACCTGCTAGTAGATTACACACTATCTTCTTGAAAAT